TTAACTGAGTGATTTTTTAAAATTATTATAAATTCAATAATTTAGAATTTTGTTAAACTATCATATCATATATTTTATGCGAATTCCGTTCAATTTAACGAGAAGAAAAATATAATAGGCAAAATTCGATTAACTAAAAGTTATATTACATAAAAATTCAATTAAATAAGAAGTTTTAGATGGGAATTTTCTTTAAGTAGCAACATCTTTTAATTTATACTTATAAAAATAACCCAGAATGTTCTCTTAAAAATATTTTTTATTTTACAGAATTTAAATAATATACTTTTTTAAAAAACAACTTGTATGGAACAAATTGTTTCTCAAAAGCAAATTGACTGATTATAATCACATTCAAATATGTTATAATCAAAAATGAAATAATTGAGAAAAAAGCCAAAAATATTAGTTTTATCGGTTGACATAAACTTGTGGACCTTTCAATTACATGGCACTGTCAAAGGTTAATGCGTGAACAAAGGTGCAAAATTTATATTGTAAATGCTTACTTACCCAATTAAATTTTCCGTGAAGAAAATTTATTCCATTGGAAAAGAGACGCCAAATTTCACAATTTCACTCAATATCACAAAATTACAACTAACACTGTCTTTCACCGTGTAAAGGCCGGACAAGAACTGAATCCAGCAAGCATGGCAGAGAAAGCGCCGGCTCGGTAGCCTAAACCACCAGTTGCGTGCTATTACTTTTTTTTGACACTTGGCGCTGTTACCGGCAAGCTGAAATTTACCGACCCAACGTTTATCAAAATAATTTTAATAATAATTTGTTTTACACAGTTTTATTAAACTTAACCTTTTTTAATAATGTAATAAATAATTGAAATTAAATAATAAAATGCACTATTTAGTGAAAATGAATATTTTACAAACAAAGTTGAAAATGACAAAAACAATTTTAATGTAAATATTCACTATTATATCAAAATTACTAACATATTAATTAAACCTTTATTAATTATTTACATCTATTAAAATTTTCAAATAAAATTGTGTACGTTAATAAAACAAGAATGATAAAACATTTGAAGAGGAAAGAACCAGTTCTGACATCTAGCGTGTTTCGTGCGCGGCAATCTCATTATCGGCTAAGTGACATTCTACCGAAACACATAAACAGGACATTTATTACAAAATGTACTATTTTTTTTATTAATATGCACTATTCAAAACACAAAATATATAATTTAGACACATTAAATATTCATTAATATATACACATTTGGTTTTATCACAATTTTCACTTTTTCACTTTAAATATTTACGAAATAAAGCGAACATTAAAGTGACAGGTGGGCACCTTTTGACTTTCAACATTAATAATAAGTTAATAAAAGCTGAATTCAAATAAATTATTACAGGAATAAAACCTTGGATTAGTTATTTATTTATTCCAATAGTTTTTTTCACCATTTTCCACCTTTTTCATGGGTTTTTCCACATCGAACCGAAACGTGACTGAAATCGGACCGAGTTCAGTCCCATTCCAGTCCATGCGATCCGCCAGGGTAATCATCTCTCTATCACTATTTTAAAGTGTTCTTACATATTAAAACAATTATTTAATATTATATTTCTTAAAAAAACATTTTTTGTATAAAACAATTCAAAAATACCCGCCGTGAAAATGACTTTTCACGCATTTTCACTGTCCAGAAATAATGTTCATCTGATCGAAATTTGAGGTATATAAGCACCTTAAGTATACTCATTGAAACTCAAATCGAATTAGGTTTAGTATTTTTTTTCTATACATGACCAATTTCACAAAGGTGGTACGACTTGTTTCTGGACATATTTGTCCCATGGACCGACAGGGTGTAGTCCCATGACGGCGAGAATACAGAATGCAAATCCGAAAACCATGAGTGCAAAAGAGATGGAAAGATATCGCTATCCTTTTCACTCTCATTATTTTCAACTTTGCATTCTGCATTTGCGCCGTCATGGGATTGCACCCTCAGGGAGTTAAATTTACGAAAAAAACGTTTTTTTGCTATTCAAAATACATATAGGCAATTTGTACCATTATTAAGATACTTCTACAAAGACTTTTTTATCTCTGTTTACATTTTGTTCATATCGATGAAAAAAGTTGTTGTAGAATCAGCTTTAAGTAGATATTCTTGACTACCCAATCCTGTCGACTAACATGCTTCATATCGTCTTTTGTCTTTCTGTTCATATCATGCAAATTTTTTTCCCCATAATTATATTGGCTTTAAAGAAGAAATACTTTTTTATTTAATGATTTAAAAAGTGTTGTAATTAATTAAAAATGAATTAAACGTATATAAATATACTTTTGATTTTAAGTTTTTAATAAATAGATCTATATTTTTGGCTTCATTATTTTATTAACATAAATTTTTTCGCCTAAAAACATTAGGCCTCTTCAGATGAAAAAAGATTATATGGTTTTTTGTATCGCTACAATAAAATGTAATATGAACTTTTAGGTTATGTTTTCAACTTCAATCGTAAAAGAATAGCTTCTAAAATGTTAATTTCTCAAATCAGGCTGATTAATATCTACATTTGCAGAATTATCTATGATAAAAGTAAAATTTATTGATTTCAATTAGATTCAAATTGTTAATTCTGCGCATCTGAGAATAAGTCTTTAATTCATATTCTGTGTGGTTGTCTGGCGTGTAAACATATTTGTGAAACTCAATTCCCTGTGTTAAAGTACGACAACTTGGAATTTTTGTCAAATATTTTGTTTTCAAATGACTTTAAATCTTTAAAAAGCATTGTATTTTTATTTAAGAAAATTTTATCTGATCGTCAAGTTGTATAGGTTTTTGGTGTGTTTTTTTATTGCTTTATATATTAATTTTTTATTATTTTCTTATACGAGCAGATTCCTTTTGTACGCATTATTATATGCGCATAAATAAATATATTTATTTTCCCAATGAAATTAGTACCAAAAAAAAATAATTTGAAATAAAACGATAAAATAATAATAATAAAGAAAAGATGGAATTTTTCACAGAAAATTAAAAGGTAGGGGAATAGTGTCAGGGTTGGACACTTGTCAGGGTTGGACACTTGGCTTTTTTTAAATAAGAACACTAGCGCCACCTGTGTGCGTACGTGACGAATCTTATAGTAGTGTAACCTAAAGGTGCTTATATACCTCAAATTTCGATCAGATGAACATTATTTCTGGACCGTGAAAATGCGTGAAAAGTCATTTTCACGGCGGGTATTTTTGAATTGTTTTAAACAAAAAATGTTTTTTTAAGAAATATAATATTAAATAATTGTTTTAATATGTAAGAACACTTTAAAATAGTGATAGAGAGATGATTTGATTAAAAAATTTAGCAAATTTTGCTCTAAAACGTTTTCTGCTACAAGAAAGTGTAAAATGACGATGTTTGTGAAATGGTTTGTACAGTGCTTCTTCCTTGTGAGTGTCTCTCAGAGTTTTGTTTATGTTATATCGTTTCTTTTTAACTTGTAATAAATAATGAGTGCTGGAAATAAATCGGTAAGTTGAAATGTTTATCAAATAAATTTATATTCTACTAATTGTTTCGAATAACTGAAAGAAACATGTACACATGTACACTGTACAAACCATTTCACAAACATCGTCATTTTACACTTTCTTGTAGCAGAAACATTTTAAAGCAAAATTTGCTATATTTTTTAATCAAATCATTTTTCTATCACTATTTTAAAGTGTTCTTACATATTAAAACAATTATTTAATATTATATTTCTTAAAAAAACATTTTTTGTTTAAAACAATTCAAAAATACCCGCCGTGAAAATGACTTTTCACGCATTTTCACGGTCCAGAAATAATGTTCATCTGATCGAAATTTGAGGTATATAAGCACCTTAACTTTTTGTGGCATTACATTTTTGGAGAATCAGAAGTAGCGTCTCCTGTGACTTCGGTGCAATCGAAGAGACAAAGAAAGTTTTGTTTGACTTGTGAATAAACCTAAAAAATGTGTAAAAAAAAGCAAGAATTCGGCAAGGTAAGCTTATTGAATGTATTGTGGGGTACATAATTTAAGAAGAAAAAAAGTGAAAAATCGAATCACGACACATGTCTGTTTATGGTTAGCACAATTCGAAAATGATGCTTCTAGTTAGGGTTGGACACTTTATACAGTTAGGGTTGGACACCCATATTAATTATGAATTTGACACATTTTATAAATAAATATACAAATAAATTTTATTTTATTGATATTGCAGTGCAAAATTGTGCCAAAGATATTAGAAAAATAATACTTAAATTGTATAAATTTTGTTCATCATTTCATTGAGTTATTTGGAACAATAAAGCGTTATTTTTTATAATTTGAGTTCATTCCTTTTTTAAACCCATGAAGCTTTACAATTTGTAAACAATAAGTAAAGATAAACATGAAAAAATAAGAATAAAAAACATTACAAATGTTATTTTACGTTTTTACCAATAATGCGTTTCGATTTTCAAAAAGTGTCCAACCCTGACTGAAAAGTCCAACCCTGACTAGATTTTTTTTTTTAATGTTTATAACTTTTTTAATTTTGGACCAATCAATTTACGGTCCACAGCAAAAGTGTTCCTCTTTTGTAGATCTTTCCACCCATATACCACAATTGACTGAATTTATCTAAACAAAATATTTATAAACAAAAAACCAAAACTGTGTCCAACCCTGACACTATTCCCCTATTAAAATAAGGTGCAACGCTTATTATTTTAATCCAATTTTGCTTATTTTAATACCAAAAGTGGATTAAAATAAGCAAAATTGGATTAAATTAATAAGCGTTGCAGCTTATTTTAATACCTTATAATTTTCTGTGTTTTCATTGCACATATTAATTTTTTCCAAAAATATATATACTTGAATTTAATAATTCATTGAGTCAGATAACCCAAAAAAAATGCTTTATCCGTATTTTATATATATATCTGTAGATATTTTTTATCGATTATCGAATAAGAAATTCAGGACGCACCGCAAGTCGTGCAGAAGAACATGGTAGACTTGTCTCTCTTATCGCAGTTGGCGCAAGGAGGATTTTCCGAATTTGCGAGCTCCACCAAATGCCGCATTAGCTGGTCCGCAGGTGGAAGCTGGGTACCTTCCTTCAGTATCGTTACTTGTCTGGCGTTGCAAAAAATGTAAAACGAATTTTTTTTTTAAATTCACACAAAACTATATTGGAATATATGGATTTATGCAAGAACAATATGATGAATAATGTCTCGGAGAAAACACAAAAGGCAAACAAATGACTTCTTTAAGACGTTCAAGGTTTGGTCTATATAATATAGACAACCTTGGAACACATCAAATATATTTCCTTCACTATTTCTTCTATGTTCAAACTATTAATAAGACATAAATAAATTTCCAAAAATTTCATTTTTTTATTTTTTATTACTATTCGATGATAAAATTTTAACTATAATCATTTAATAATAATAATAATAATAATAATAATAATAATTTACAATAATAACAAGAACCACACAATATAACCGCGAAAAATTAATTTTCCATTTCCTGTACCAACGGAATATAACATATGTAATTGTAACACCGATATTCATAGTTCAAACCACATCCTTAATTTGAAATCACCATTACTCGAAGGATATAGAAAATTAATTTAAAAATTCGAAAAATTGTTCTTCAATCTATTTGTTCAAAATTTTAATTTAAGAAAATTAGAGTTTAAAAAAATTTTTATTTTTTTTTTTTCATTTTAATCGTTATTAGAATTTATATTTCATCGATCTTTCAATATGATCGAATTTTCCTTTAACCGAATTTGCTTTCGACCCAATTTTCATTTAACCGAATTGCTGTTTGATGGAATTTTTTTTTTTCAAAAGAATTTGTATATAATAATAAACTAAATTTATATTTGACGGGATTTTCTTTTGAATGAATTTTTAATTAAGAACAATTTTAAATTTTGAAATTTTCAATTGATCAAATTTTAATGTAAACTATAAATTTTCATTTAACCAAATTGTTATTTAATGGGATTCCCTTTTTAAACTAATTTTCATTATAACGAATTTTCTTATTATTAATCGTTTTTTTAATTAATCGATTTGTTTTATAGGATTTTGAATAAAATTATGTTACTCAGAACCAGCAAATAATGAAAATTTAATGTTTGAATTGGTTTCATAACAAAAAAAAATTATAGATATATAAACATGAAAATAAGAAAAATAAAATAAACATAAAAACAAATCAAATAAAACGATGAAAATAAAATTAGCAATCAGTCATTCTCACAACCGTCAATAAAATGATATAAAAAGATGAACATCCAAAAAACACCCATATATGATGGAGAAATAATATCTGGAGTCAGAATTAAATTTTAATTAACAAAAACATTTAAAGTTGATTGAATGATTAGTTCTATTATTAGTTTGATAAATTAAAATTAATAATTTTTTATTAATTTTCATTCTTCAATTTAAATTTTATTTAAAATTGAGGCCTTGGATATTAAAAGGACACACTTCTAATTTTTGTCGATATTTATTGGCTTCAAATAATAAATTTTTGAAATTTTTTAGAATAAAATTTTACTTATTGTTAAAATTTCAAAATATTATTGGGGGTCAATAAATAAAATTGGAAGCGTGCCCTTTTAAGATCCGGAGCTTCAATTAAAAAAAATTAATTAATTAGTTACTAATAATCACAGAAAATTATAAGGTATTAAAATAAGCTGCAACGCTTATTATTTTAATCCAATTTTGCTTATTTTAATCCATTTTGGTATTAAAATAAGCAAAATTGGATTAAAATAATAAGCGTTGCAGCTTATTTTAATGCCTTTTAATTTTCTGTGAAATAAATATTAAAAGGAAAATCCATTAAAGATAAAAGGATTTTCTTTAATAAATTGTTTTCTCAGTGATAATTAGAATGGATTTTGTAAACATGCGTCTTATAAATGAAGAATAAGAGGCGTGTACTCGGGACGATGATCTGTGGTGAAGAAAAAGCGCAAAGCGCTCAATTTTTCATAAGGGACTCACGCGCATATTGGACAAGATATTTTGCTGTCCATATTCTGTCCGCGTAGACATCGGGCGCAGAAGGTGTGGAAACACGAGAGTAGACATGGTTCCCTGTAGTAATCGTGGCATATGCCGCAAATAAGGGGATTCCTTGGGCTCGATATCCCAGTGGACGGAGCGTCATTTTCACCGATGACACCGTCGGTTGCGACCGATCCAGAATTGGCCATCGTTAGGCGCCAATGAATTTGTCACAGAAAATAATCACCGATGACCTACTCTCTATCTCTCTTTTTTTTTTTCTCTCGCGATATTTTTTGCGATTAAAAACAACGCGCGAGGTTCTCGCGACAACCCTACGAAGGGCGTCGAACAACTGAACCGCAGCGAGAGAAAAGAAATTTTGAGCCCCGCCGCAGGCTGACGGTCCACTGACTCCCTTGCGCGCAGAAAACCTCCCGCGCTCTTATCGGCTCGTCATTCTGACGTTGCGATAACGACCACGACTGGGACGCTGCCCTTTCTCTCTCTCTCTCTCTCTCTCTCTCTCTCTCTCTCTCTCACCCCTACAACCCCTACAGTAAGTTTATACCCCTTCCAATTCCATATATACAATTCTCGCGAAGCACATTGCGCGCGCGAATTCAGAACTCCTGCTCCGTCAATCTCCGCACCCTTTTCCACTTTTCCTTGAGTCCATTTTACCACCACCCGCAATGTTTGTTCCGTTATTAAAAAATATAGTATATAATGCGTTACGCAAACAGAATCTTATGTAAATACCCTTTTTTACTCCCCTTTCCTAGAATTTGTTCATTTTTACCTAGAGAGATGGAATTTGGTACAAATTTGTATTTTTGCATGCAGATTATTTTTTTGGCTATATATATTTATATTTCTTTTTACAATCAATCATTGAATTAGATATTTTAACAATAGCCCTGTTAACTCCTTCGTTAGCAGAAGGAATTCGATAAAAAGTGCCCAAAATGTACGAAAAAATTTTTTTCCTGAAAATTGATATCCAGGGGTTTTTTTGGGGTCGCTGATTACGAATTCGATGTTAGTTTTTCAAAATTCAAAATGTCGGATCCAATATGGCGGACTTTTTTTAAAAAATCCATTTTTTTCCTAAAAAATGTTTTTTTTTGGAATCAATGACTACGAATCTAAAGTACTATTTTAAAAATTTTGAATATTCAAAATGGCGGTTCCAATATGGCGGACGTTTTTATGAAAAATCATTGTATTTTCTTAAAAACTGGGTTTCTGAGGATTTTTGAGGTCTGATTACAAATCTAAAGTTAGATTCTTAAAATTTTGAAAAATTAAAAATGTCAGATCAGCCACATCAAAAAGCCTATAAGATACCCAGTTTTCACGAAAATCCAATATATTTTTTCAAAGAAACCAAATTTTTTTTGTCATAATTCATCCGCCATATTGGATTAGCTAATTTTAATATAACATCTCGAATTCGTAATGAGCGACCCCGGAAACCCCCGAGTACCAATTTTTAAGCAAATTCTGGCAATTTTTAAAAATATGGTCCGCCATTTTGAATTTTGAAAAACTAACATATTTGATTCGTAATCAGCAACCTCAAAAATCCTAAGATACACATTTTCACGAAAATCAAATATTTTTTCAAAGACTATTTATATAGTTTAATATTTATTTTATCATAAATAATTAGTTTTAAATATTTTATTTATGGAAAAATCATGTTTTGCAAAAAATTCATTACGAAGGTTCGACCCAGATCCACATCAATGAGTTCCACCAACAGATATATAGTATATGAATATTCATAAAAGGAACTTTCAGAACAAAAAAAATTAATTCATAAAAATATTAAATGATAATCTTTTTTTTATATTTGCTTTTCAATAACAGTTTTTATATATTGCAAATATTCGCATCAAAAAATTTAACATTTTATTTCTTTTATTTGTAATTTATTATTATATATTATATTATTTTATCTAAATTAAATTTTAATTCTAATTTTTTAAATATGAAAATAATAAATGTAAATAAAAAAAAAATAATAAATAAATAAAATAAATAACAAATATTAGAGAATAATAATAATAATAATAATAATAATAATAATAATAATAATAATAATATGTATATAAAGGCTCTTGGGAAATATTTTAGTCATATTCTCTCCATCATCATATTCTATTTGGTTGGCTGAGAGACAAAGCGGTGCTTTTTCTTTTAATGCATATACTTTTCCTCTCGCAACTCTTTTTAGCTCTTTCTTTTTGTTTTATTTCTTTTAGAGAAAAAATTTTTTACTTGTCGATAATTCCATGCTTTGAATATTTATGTATCTCCAACTGGGAAAAGCTAAAAATTTCAATACACAATTTTTTTTAATAGAAAATAAATATTTTAAAAATTTTTATTTATTTTTCCATTTTTATTCATTTATTTAGCAAATATTAAAAATTAAAAAAAAATTAATTAACAATTTATTATTATTATTATTATTATTATTATCATTGTTATTATTATTATTATTATTATTGTTATTTGAATCGAAATAAATTTTATTTAATTGTAAAAGTTAAACACACCTTTTTGTTAACAAGTTTATAAATAAAAAAAAAAATTATAATAAATTTTATTTATTTAAATAATATTTTGAGTTAATAATTTTTTTGTATATATTTAAATAAGTATTGTGTAGTTTTATATAGAAATCATTTATTTTGTTTTTAAATAAATAAATTATTAATAATAAATTATTTTTATAATTTTAACTAAATTTTAATAATAGGGGATATATTTTTTTTTTGAAATGGAAAATTAATCCAGTCGGTTAGTGGAGTAAATTGATTTTACCGACGCGTTAAAAATTTTAAATTACCCGCTAAAAAAGTTGTAACAATATTAACGCATGCGCACAAATCAGTTGACAAATGGCCTCTCGAAAACAATCAATAAAATTCAATATTGTCATGTTTGATAATTACAAGTGCATAATATTTTTGTGAAAAAGAAAACAGTGTATTAATTAGAAAAAACTAAAAAATGCCACCACGCGGAGAAGAAATTCTTAAAGGATTTCAAGTGTATCCTTTATAAAAAAAAAAAAAAATTATATATTCAATAAAAGAAAGAATGAAAATTCTGTATTTTTAGGTTATGTATAGTAAACAAATACAGAATTTTTATTTTATCTTATTAATTCCGAAATTTATATATTTGTTAATACAAATAAAATGCGTCACATTTTTTTATATATAAAAAAATATAACTTTATTTTATTTTTTTTAATTATTTTAGAAAGTAAATAATACGAAAACAAAAAATTTACACTCATGTTTTCATAACTTAAATTTTATTAGAATATCAACTTAAATATTCTTTGCGAATATTTACGACTAAAAGTTTGTTTTATTAAGTCTTTTTTTATTATTTTCTTAAAATAATTGTTTTACAAAATTTTCTTAACCAACATTTCTTTAGAAATTGGATGAATTTGCGAGATGCTGATACAGGAAAAACTCTTTGGCAGGGAAACGAAGATTTGTAAGTAAATTATATAAAAAATAATACAAAATTGAAATTTCTATTTAAAAAAATTAAATTATCTATTTTTTTATTTAAAAAAAAAAACTGCAATTCTTTACGAAAATTTTAATTAAAAATCTCATGAAATTCAATTATTTCTAAAATTTGTTTCTTTAATTCTTTAATTATTTCAATAACTTTTATCAATTTTTTTTTAAATTAAATTATTTAATACTTTTTTTAATTCAAAATTTCCTAAAATTCAATTATTGTTTAAAATTTTCTTAATAATTTTCAATTTACAATAATTTCAATTATTTTCAATTTATTTATTTATTTATTTACGGGACTTCAAAAATAAAGTACCCTTTAAATACAAATTGTATAATTTATATGTATAACGCTGCTATTTAGGAAAGAAAGAAACTAATTATTAAATAATAGATTACGCAGTGCTGTACTAAATGCTTCTAAGTTAATATTTAAAAAAGTCAATGTCATTAGCAACCGTATTCGCCTTTATAGATAATCTGTTAATGATAGAATTAATTCCGTAATTTGTACGATGGTATGGTATTTGAAACACTCTCTAAATTTGAATCAGTCATATTTTACTGATTAGCAGTAGAAATCTACTAATTGCCATAGCGAGAATTGAGCAACTGACAATTAGTAGAAATTTACTGATTCAATTAGTAAAATATCAATTACTGATTGAATCAGTAATATAAATATATGTCTGGAATGACGTTTTGGAATAGAAAATTTAATGAATGATAGTAGGGGGAGGGGCAATCCCGTTAAAATTTTAAAAAAGAAAAGTAAATCAAAATAGTCAAATCTAGATGTAAGTCTGGGTATGTTCGCCAATGAACGATTTTGAACTCGTTCGATTCTAACAAGATAATGAGCATAATATGGTCTCCATGATACAGAACAATGTTCAATTTGTGATCTAACAAATGAAAAGTAAAGCGATTTCAGAATTCGTGAGTTATGGAATGCTAAAGCATTTCTAATAACAAATCCGAGTGACCTGAGAGCACAGTTAACGATATTGGAAATGTGATAACTAAAAGATAACGAGTCATCAAGTGTGATCCCAAGATTCCGCACCTGGTTTACTCTATTAAGCTTCTCATTGCCAACAAAGTATAAATATCTCTGAATGATATTAGATTTACTAAAAGAAAATGATTAAATTCTTTATTGAATTAATTATTTCTAAAAACTAATCAAAAATTCAATTACTTGAAATATTTCTTAATTAAAATTTTTCTAAAATTCCATTACTATTTAAAATATTTGCCAAAATTTGCGTCAATTCAAATAATTTTTAAAAAGACCTAAATTTTCTTTTCAAAAAAAAAGGTAGGGTCAACCGGGGTAAATCCGAACGCTTTTAGTAAGTTTCAACAATAACATAAGTTTTTTCTTTAAAAAAAAAATACTTCCGGTATTCTGGTGCATGAAGTTGTTACTTTACTTCCATAGAACAAGTTTATGGGGTAGCAAAAATTTTTGATAAATTACAATCGCAGGAAACTTAGCGTTCGTATTTACCTCGATACTTTGCAACTTTCCTAAAATACCGGGGTAAATACGAACGCCACTGTATTTCAGAAAAATCTTAGGGAAAATAAATTTAAAGTATTGCAATTGTTAAACTTATATAAAAACTCAAAAAAAATACGATAATAAACCTATTATGTAATAATGCATCATATATAAATACAAAAATCAAATAGGTTAAAAATTAAAATGCATTACACAATTAAAACCTTCAATAACTTTATCAAATCATAACGGATTTTTGCAAAACTTGGTACAGAAAGTATTTTGGAGTGATTGAATGTAAATACAAAAATAAAAGTCAAATTTTTTAAATTCAACATGGCGGACTTTCCTTAAACTTATTTTTAAAAATGATCAAATTTGCTAACTCCAAATTCGTAATCAGCGACCCTGAAACCCCCCGAGTAACAATTTTCGAGCGAATCCAATGAATTTTTTAATTCTCGTCCGACATTTTGAATTTTGAAAAACTGACTTCAAATTGGTAATTAGCGACCCCAAAAACCGTAGAATACCAAATTTTATTAAGATCCTGAAAAACTTTTTTCAACAAACCATTTGGCAAAAAAAATTGAAACACTCCTTCGAGAGAACAGAGATTAAGTTTCTGCTTATTAATTACTAACGAGGATACGTATAGAAAGAAAAACTTTTTTCTATGTACTTTTATAATGTTAAAATAATAGTGTAATGAAATAAAAACAATTTTGTGTGGCTCTGATGTAAAAAAAAATGATTGAAAATACCGTTCGGATTTACCCCGGTTTTCCAATTTTCCTGGGTAAATACGAACGGTCTGATATTATTAATAAAATTTTACAGAAGGCAAAAATGAAAAATAGTTTCTGTTCTAGTATTCATAACAAACAATTATAAATAATAAAATGAATTTTTAGCTTCTTTTTCTTCAAATACGAGACAAAATACTGAAAGAGTGTCATCTTTGATTTTCAATCTTTTTTGCAATACTCGTTATCTTTGTTTATGCTGTTGCTAATTAACAAACGAAAAATGGGATAATACTTAGAATCTCTTGAAGAGGATCTGAGGTAAAAATTCTCATATCGAACTTATTTTTAAAAATTTTAATTAAGCTGAAATAATTAGCGTTCGGATTTACCCCCCGTTCGGATTTATCCCGGCTGACCCTACTTGAAATATTTCTTAATTAAAATTTTTCTAAAATTCCATTACTATTTAAAATATTTGCCAAACTTTGTCAATTCAAATAATTTTTAAAAAGACCTAAATTTTCTTTTCAAAAAAAAAGGTAACTAAATAATTTTTTTTTTAAATGTAACCTATTTATTGAAATCTTGAAAATTTATCTCAATTCAATTTAAAATAAATAAAAATTCTTGAATTTCTATAAAACATTTTTATTAAGAAATAAATATAATTCATTTAAATTCTGGTAGTAAAAATATTTGTTAACTAATTAAATTTATTAAAAATTAAAAAATCAAATTTTTTTCGATGTTTAACTGAAACGACTTAATTATAAGATTTTGTATTAAAATACTTTATAAAAAGAACTCATGAATATCCCATAAAAATCATTGATTAGAATTTTCATTTTTATGAATTTCATTTGAAAGAATTCCTTTTTAGATAAAATTTCATTTTTCAAATTAGCATTTGAATTATTTTCTTTGTAAATGAAATTTTATTTAACATAATTTTTAGATACCAAATTTTTATTTTATCAAATTATTTTGATCCAACTTTAAATTTAAAAGAATTATAATTTAAACTAGGGTAAGTGTACTAATTACGGCGAGTGCACCAATAACGGCGCATTCATAAAAAATAACTATTATTACTATTATATTTAATATAACTGTTGCCAAATGATTAAAAAAAATTATTTCAATCTTTTTTTGATACAAATACTTATAAAGATGCACATTTAAACAATTATTAATTTAATTATTTGAGATCAAATTTTTTTCCGCGCCGCAATTGAAACATTTTTAAGATTTCCATTGGCTTCAATTTCGGCGGGCAAAGTATCTTCAAAATACACGTAATTTTGGTCACCGCAATTGATACACCGAAACTGATACAAACTCGCCGCAATAGAAAATTACGGTATTAGTTTTAATTTCTCATATTTGTTTAAATAATCGATTTTTATAGAGTTAAAATTTTTTTTTAATATCTTAATAACATAAGCTTTAAGTTTAATAAGTCTTAAATTGAGTTTATACAATAGAAATGTCGAATTTTCTATTTCAAAAGTGTTTTGACTCGAATCGCGCCGCAATTAGTGCATTTACCCTAATTGATTTTTCGAACTTATTTTTGTGTCACCAAATTATTTGATTTTTGTACAAATTTTAGTAATTATAAATTTATATACAATTTTTTTTAAGCAATATAAATGAATTCTGAGCAATTTACAGAGACGAGTCTGATGAAAATATTTATATACTTATTAATTTCTGTACGAAAAATACTATCGTGCTCAAATATCATTAATAGAATTGTAGGAAAAATTTTTAGCATTTCGCAAATTAATTGTACCGATCGTTTCTTCTATCCACTTGTAGCAGTGAATAATTCCTGAAAAAATGCCTATATCACAAATATTATTTTCACATATTGGACCATCAACAACAAGACCTGCCAATTTTTTGTTCCAAATTACAGGAGTACCAATATCGCCTGCACATGTATAACTACCTGTTTTAAGTTTAAAATATCTGCCTAACAAATTTAGTGATTTATTTGGAATTTTTAATTCTTTCTTTTTTAAATTCCCCATACAGGCAAAGGGTTCAACATGCGACATCTATAAAAAAAAAATATATTTACATTATTATTATTATTATTTTTTTAATTCAAAATTTTTAAAAATATTAACATTTTCTTAGCCTTCTTTGAGAAATGATTGGTTAAAAAAATTAAACAATGTGCATGACTTGGAATTATTTTACCTTTTTTCTTCCATAACCGATAACTTTCAATTCAGATGTACCATATTCATATTTAAATTCGTCAAAATATTCTTTACTCAATAAAGTAATTGGCTTTCGAAATTCATTGAAATTCATTTCTGTTGTTAGCTAAAAAATTACATTAATTTAATAATGTTATATAAGTGATGTATACCACGCCAAGAGATTTTTTATTTTTCAATGCTCACAACTTTCTTAAAAAAGAACGCATGAATGTGTTCTAAAAATCATTAGTTAGAATTTTTATTTTATGGAATTTCATTTGTCATAATTATTTTTAAGCCGAATTTTTATTTGTCCGAATTAGTGTTTTGGAGAATTTTCATCAAAACGATTTTCTTTATTACAGAATTTTTATACAACCGAAAATTAACTTCACAGAATTTTTATTTGTTCAAATTTTTATTTGCTCGAATTTTCATTTAACATAATAGGCATTTTAAAGAATTTTTATTGGGTAGAATTTTCATTTTATTCATTCAGATGAATTTCCATTTGTTCAAATTATTATTTGATATAATTTTCATATAACCGATTTTTCTGCAGAATTTTTACTTAACCGAAAAATTATTTAACAGAATTTCTAATTGATAGAATTTTCATTTGTCCGAAATTGCAAATGACCGAAACAATCGATTTTGGTGCAATTTTTAAAATTATCCAATCACAATTTTATGTATAATTTTTGATTGGTTGATTTTAAAAATTGCACCAAAATCGATTGTTGTTTCGGTCATTTGCAATTTTGGACAAATGAAAATTCTATCAATTAGAAATTCTGTTAAATAATTTTTCGGTTAAGTAAAAATTCTGCAGAAAAATGAAAATTCTACCCAATAAAAATTCTTTAAAATGCCTATTATTATAAAATTCGAACAAATAAAAATTCTGTGAAGTGAATTTTCGGTTATATAAAAATTCTGTAATATAGAAAATCGTTTTGATGAAAATTCTGCAAAATATTAATTCAAACAAATAAAAATTCGGCTCAAAAATAATTATGACAAATGAAATTCCATAAAATGAAAATTCTAACTAATGATTTTTAGAAAATAATCATGCGTCCCCGATTCAAACATCGGAGATGTAAATGCAAAATAATGTCTGATTTGGCATGGAATACCTCAAAATATAAAAGATAAAAATTAAGTCAAAAAAAGAAAAATAATGGGAAAAAATTTTGATTTGTTTTTAACCAAACATTTTACCTTAATAATACACATATCACTTTTATGCTCGTGGGCACTTTCAAGCTCGTCACATTTAATTTTCTGAACATTAAATGTATCTGAGTGTGAAGCATTTTCTAAATGTGTTGTTCCTGTCACGACTTTTAATCTTGAAACTTCACTAAAATTCATAATTTTACCATATAAAATAATATAAATTTTGTTTTCAAATTAAAAATACTTATATTTATATAAATATATATATATATGAATTTCCTATAAAAATCATTAATTAAAATTTTTATTTCCAAGTATTCTATTAGAAATAATGATTTTTAGAAAAATTTCCAAATTAAAATTTGATAGATTTTCTTTGATTGGCAGAATTTTTATTTTACAGTCATTTTCTTTACATGACTTTTTATATAAAAGAATTTTAATTTAAGTTAATTTTAATTTAACAAAATTCTCATTCAATCGAATTTATGTAATTCGAATTTTTAAATGACAGAAATTCCAATTCACCGAATTTTAATTTGTCTGAATTTTTATTTGTACGAATTTTTAATTGATAGAATTTTTAAGACGCCAAATTTTTATTTGTCAGAATTTTTAAGAAGCCGAATTTTTATTTGTCCGAAATTACAGAATGACCGAACAAACTATCAACAGAACGATTTCGGCGCAATTTTTAAAATTCACCAATTACAAAATTATCAAGAAAATCGTGATTAGTCAATTTTTGAAAATTGCGCCTTTTTTTTTTCTTTTCGTTTGTTTTTTCGGACAAATGAAAATTCGGTGACTTAAAAATTCTATCAAATAAAATGATTATAATAATATATTATAAAATATAAATATAAATATTTATAGATTTATAAATATAATAAATAAAAAAAAGGAAAAATAATTTTTATATCCTAATAGGAATAAAATTTCATATAATAAGTAACAAATTACTATTATAAAAATATTAATATATTAATGAAAAAAATTTAACCAACGATTCATAAAGGCGTTCAGTAGTTATTAAATATTGGCTCGTAATTATTATCGCAATACTGATCCTTTGAGGTTTAAAACAGTTTTTTGTTAATACTGTCGCCTGAAAAAAATCAATTAAACAGATATATTTATAAAAATCATAAGAGAGGGAAAAATTAGAATAGAAAGGTATTTTTTTTCGTTTAATACTTACAACATATGGTGCATCTTTGATGAAAATTGGATCAGTTAAATTGATATGTTTCTTTGAAATTATAGATTCTATTAAAAAAACATAAAATTTTTTAATAAAAAAATAGTTATTAAAATTTAATATTATACCGAATTTAACATTTTGATAAATTAATATTATTCTCATATTTTAGTTATTAAAAGTATTTTGTATTCCAAATTTCATTAATTTAACATATTTTAAATAAATTTTCACAAAAAAAAAAATTAAAATTTATTCATTTAAATAAATATAAATTTCTCTTTTTTATTTTTTCAAAATGAATTTCGGGCAAAAAAAAGACTTTCAATCATTTTTACTTACCATGTTCAGTTATACGATATGCCATGGAAAATCCAGATAAGATAACAAATAAAAGGATTCGCCACATTTTTTAATTTCGACTGTCCATTTATTTCGAACATCAATTTCTATTTATACATATAAACCGGATGCTTTAAACGGAAATAAAATGATAAAAAAAAAATTGTCTAATTTAATTACGATATATAATTATCATGTTAATTAAAATTATACAATGTATTACTTTTTTGAAAATCATATTAATTGGAGAAAATCTTTTTGATTTAAATTTTATTTGAAGACGCCTGCCAGGCATATATTTTGTAATTTAATAAATTGTAGATTTTTTATTTTAGTAATAAATTTACATTTTTACAAATATAAATTAAATTTTTTAATATTTTATTTTGAATTTTTATTCAATTGAAAAATTTATTAATAAAATTTGTTTAATTGAAGTACAAATTAATTTTTCAATATTACCGTTTTTAATTAAAGATCTGTACCGGAAATGGAACACGAGGCTCGAGTACCGAAGAAAATTCTTCGATGTCGAGCAGTTTCAAGGGAAATTAATTTTAGTTCAGTGGAGCCAATGGAGAGATTTCGACTCGAGCAAAAAGTTCTTTTTAAAGGACGATGTTTAGAAGAATGGTTTTTTGAATTTGGTTTTGTCATTCCAAATAGTACAAATACATGGCAGAGTTTAATTCAAGCTGCGCCGGAAAGTCAAATGATGCCAGCAAATGTTTTAAAGTAATTGAAAATTATAATTTTCATTGAAATAAATTATCTACACCGTCAACTGGGGCTATTATACTCAACGAAATGTTATTTTTTACGCAGTGCTTCACAAAAATTCAGAATTAAAAAAAAAAAATTTTTTTTAACTTTTTTGTTATGTTATGAACATCCGTCTAAAGGTATTCTGTAAGTTAGACGACAAAAATTTTTTTTTTTTACAAAAATTATCGAAATTTGAAGTCATGAATATAATAGCCCCAGAGTGAGTAGAATAATCCCAGTTGAAGGTAGTTCACTATTCAAAATGGGACACATAATCCCATAAAAATAATTGTTTTTTAATTTATAAAATTTGTATTAAAATAAAAAATTTTCTCTTTACAGTGGCAACGTTGTGATTGAAACAAAATTTTTTGATGACGAACTTTTAGTATCAACGAGTAAAGTACGACTTTTTTATGTGTAATAAATTTTGGTCCTAAATTTTTGCTAGAATCCAGAAATGAATCCTGGGACCAAATAGTAAAGGGGAAAAAAAAATCGCACTGAAATGTTGAATTGTTTTTTTCTTCACAAGCACCAAAATTCAAAGCATTTATGGATGTATCGAACGAAATCTTTAAGAAACGAATCGCACATATAAATAATATATATATATATATATATATAAAAATTGCAATTCTTGTTGTTTATGAAAAGAAAAAATCGGAAAAACATACAAAAGTTACTATATATAATAAGAATGTGATTCCTTTACCAAAAAATTTGTTCATTGACTTCTAGAATCAATTTTTTTTTTTTGAAATAATAAAATTTAAAAATCTACTAAAAATTTTTCCACGAAATTGAAATAGACAAATTTTAATTGGCAGTAATATTTATATATTATAATGCTAGTTAGACATGTAACAGGGAAAAAATTGATTTTAGAGTTCGACGATTAATTTTTGAGGTTAGATTTTAATTAACTTAAATAAATTTAAGTTAGAGATGTAGATTTATGAGATTATTTATTTTGTATATATCGTATAAGAAAGAAAACAACGAATTTTAAAAACAAGAATTCGATTACAAAAATTTTTTAAATGTAAAATTTTTGAATAATATTCCTCAAGATTGTCAATTTTTCGCAAATTTTAAAAATTGAATACTCCAAATTAGATGAAAGTGACGAATTTTAACAAACTGTTGAAAGTACAATATCAATTTTACAAAGAAAACTTTGTAATATATGTTTTTTCTGTGATTGAAATTTCATTTTTTTTTTTTTGACATGTTATTGTAATTCGAAAAGCATTAGAATTGAATGTTTTTCTAATTGTCATGAATCATTGTCTACGATTTGTAATCAGAATAAAAAGAAAACTTCTTTACTGAAATAATTGACATTATTATTTAGAATAGACATTTCCTTCCTTTAAAAAAAAATCATTTTTATAGAATGAAAGAAATTTTTTTTCCCGTTTATTTTCATTATGAATCATTCATTATCATTCATTCGTATTTTGAAAAATTTATTTTTCACCTTGAAACCCTTGCATTTTGAAACAAAACCTTGAATTATTTTTTCTCAACATTTTTTTTTTTTTTGAAACTATAAAAATATTTTAGATAGAAAAAAAATTCAGAGCAATAAAATTTACATGCAGTATAAAAAAAATCAACATTTTGAAATGGTAATTCAATAGTCAAAAATTTATATTTAAAATTATTATCAATTAATAAATATTAAAAATAAAAATTATATTAAGAATTGAATTTTTACTAAGCGAAATATAATTTCGAAAATAATAGAAAGAGAAGGAAGACAATAATAGCAAAGAATAATAATGAAAAACTAATAGAAAGAAAAGGGAGATATAAAATTCAAAAAGGAGGAATATTTATAAGCCAACACGAAAAAAACAAACTAACTATTTTAGCACCAAACTGCTTTATCCTTTATTAGTATATAATTTCGTTTACCTATTAAAGTATGAAATAATGCTTTTTTAGTTTAAAGTAAGTCCATACTAAATAAGTATAATGGTTATACTCTTATAGTAATCAAGTAATATTATATTAAATTAATCATTTAAATTTGATTTATTTATAACCTGAAAAGTTAATTTAGAATAATATAAGAGAAATAAATCTATAATTTTGGTTAGGGTAAATTTTTATAAAATATTAATTTTCATATAATAGAAAGCGACCCCCAGGTAAAAATGATTCGTGTGTCGTTTTAAAACAGAATTTGTCTATAATTTAATCGTAATTCGTATGATTTTATTCGGAAAAACGGTTACAGAATTGATAAAAAGAATAAAGACAAAGTCGCCGAGCAATCAAGTGATAGCCAGTTGGTGTATATTCTTCACTACGCATGCGCCGCGCTATAGTTATAAGCTGTTTTTACAATACCGCCGTATACTCTTGCCCGAGTATTCCAACATTTTTTTGTCCTTTTCTAACACACATGTTGTCATGGCAACACGTGCGATAGAAAAGAACAAAAAAGTGTAGGCATATATACGGCCAAGAGTGTACATAAGTTTACGTTTTATTTTTTTTCTCAAAAACCATTAACGATCCAAAGATGAAACTTGCAGAATATATTAAGCACATTTTCCCCAACATTTGGTGAAATTTTGAAGAAAAAAATGTACATTTTATTAAATTAATTTTATTCAAAAATATACTTAAAACCAAAGAATTTCGTCTTTTAACCAAAGATTTCGTAAACTAAATTCGGTTAAGTAGAATAAAAGTTACAATAACATTTTTAAAGAGCAACAATTTTCAAAATTTAGTTATTTTTCAAAATTTTGGAAAAATATTTCGTGGAGTTATTTATCGTTATTAAAGTAATAAATTCACAAATAGTAGTGGCATAAATCCCATTCAATCACTAAAATTAGTGCGTGATGAACTGACGTGGAATCCACGCAATGGGGGAAAACCTTCAGCGCTACTCAAATGATTTTTTTCCCTCAATGATCTTTTCCGCACAAAAGTGAATAGTCATATAAAAAAAATTTAGATATTTATATCTCTGATTTTTTTTTTTTTTTGTTCAATCGTAGTTTCTTGTGTTATTGATTCGTGTGGTGTAGAAGCAATACATTTTTGCGGCTTCCGCAACCCCTCTTGAATACGCGATCCCCTACTCTCGGGGCTCTCTCGCAGGTGTAAGAAAAAAAAGAAAAGAGAGGAAAGAAACGGCCGAGTTGTCGAGTCCAAGGTAGTTGTCAAGCCGCTTTCGATTGGCATTAGGAAAGTCCGTGGATTTGCAAAAGCCATCATCTAATCAAAGGAAAAGTTTCTCAAGGGAGAAGGAGGGAAAAAAAAAAAATGATTCACTGAAGAAAAGTGGTGTGTGTGTGAGAGGGAGAGAGAGAGGTGAAGAAATAAATATCCCCCTCATAATGGAATTGAAGGTGGAAGACGAGAATGGTACCGAGAGGCAGATGTTCTTGGTTGGTAGCCCTCGAGATCCTTTGGTGTCGACGGGTGCAATTGTTGCGACTGGTGCCGAAGAAATCAGTCCTGGCGATCTCCAGTCGAGCGCTCTCGCCGGTCTAATGGGAGCGCAATCTTCCTCCGTTTGCTTCCCAGCTAAATTCAGTAAGTGCAACCCAGGGTTCTGATTTAATTAGAGAGAAGCTCTCTTTCTCGAGGCTCCTCTAACTTGGGGTTGAGCTCAATTAAATTATTGCTAAATGCATTAAGCCTCTCTGAGTCCGTCCCTTTTTAAACAAAGTTAGCGCTAATCAGCTCAGGAGTTATGAACCTCTTTACACCTCTTTACACACCCCAAACATCCGGTCTATCAATTATTCATCTCTCCTCTCTGGAACTGCAACTCTAATTCCCATCTTCTAGAATTGTTTCATTTTTATTCACCGACAGTATCGTTCCTTTTTTTATGAAATCATACTTTTCTCCTTTTCTTTTGATGAGATTTAGAAATAAATCACATCAGTTTTGTTCACGTATTCGAAAAAGCTGACGAATTAATTTTTGGAAAGTGGAAACTAATTTTTCGCTGAATGAAAAATTTTCAATTAGTTTTTTAATTGAGAAACGTATTTTCAGAGGAATATAGAAAATGAAATGCATAAAAATATAAAATCTACAAAAACAATATCTATAGTGAGTTTTAACCCCTACAGATTCTGCCACTAAATGTTTTTGCAGATTAGCAGAATGGATTTTAACCAATCAAAATTTATTCTCTTGCCGTAAAGTAATATTTGCCGAAAGAGACTAAATTTTGATTGGTTAAAATCTAATCTGCTCCATGTGACGAAACCCTAATGGAGGTTAATGTTTAGTTTACAAAAACGACTTTTTAAAATATAATTTAATTTTCAGTGCAATACAATCGTCGAGCCGTTTTTGATAAAATCGATTTTTTAGGTTAAAAAATTTAATTTTTGAATTTTTATTAATTGTATGTGCAGGATATTGTAATAAAAATTAATATTTATAATGCATTTTTGGAAATAAAAGTATTGTTGCTTTAAAAGTTATTGAAATTATGGAAGTAAACGCAAACGTAACCGGAATAATGAGTTAGAGAAGGACAAACAATCTATCTATCCTTCTCCAACTCATTCTTCCGGTTGCATTTGCGATTACGATTACGTTTCTATTCTGCTCAGGCCTTCAGGACGGTACGATTTTGTCTATTGTGGAATCAACCTAACGCGTATAATGTTTTAGCAAAATTGCACGGCAATATTTATCAATGGCGGAAACCGCGGAAACATTTTCCTGTTTTCATCAACATTTCATGAACCTCGCATTGAAATATTTCAAATCTTTCAATAAAATATTCAGAAAATATTTAGGAAATATAATATACTGTGTGGGCTGTCAAATTTCTAAAATAATTTCTCAGTTTTTATTCAATTTGAACACTTTTTCACTGTTAAACTCACTGATAAATATCGTTCACTTTAAACATTAATAATTTAATAATTGCAACTTACTTTAAGACAAAATATTCAAAAATCAATCATTTAATAGTTTATTTATTCAATTCAATAACATTTTTTTTATCAATTTTCATTCATTTTCACCATTATTTCAACAAATTACAAATGTGCAACGAGTTGCTTTTTTATTATTTTTTTTTTTTTTGGAAAACAAAATTAAAATTCAGTATCTTTTGCAGCACAATACTTTTATTTCTAAAACTGCATTATAAATATTAAATTTTATTACGATCCTGAACATTTTATTAATAAAAATCCAATAATTAAATTTTATAACCTAAAAAATCGATTTTATCAAAAATGACTCCATGAAAGATTTTGTTTTTTTTTCGTCTATAATTTTATGCTGCTGACTGATTAAATTTTCTAAATAGCCCAATTTCAATTCGATAAAATTTTTTTTGTTAAATCTTTAAATGTATAATAAATAAATTTGTTCGAGTTATCGTCGGACCAAATTTTGTCTACAGACATACATACAGACAGACATTTTTTTAAGACCCATTTTTTCGGCATCAGAAAGTCTCAAAACGTTGAGATTCACTGGAATTAGAGAGGGCTCAAAATCGCCCAAATGTAATACCTTCTCATTATGATGAGAATGTAAAAAAAATTCTTTAGTTAACAGAATTATTTAGGACCTAATTAAGAAAATTCAGTTAAATTTCAGCCTATTGAAATTAATTAATTGTTAAGAGGTGTACATTTTTTTTTTCTAACCTTTAGAATCTAAAATATTATTTATTAAAGTTTTTTAAAAAATTAGTTTTGTCTATTTTAGAAATTCTGTTTTTTTTTGCAAAAAATTAAAATTTTTAAAAATCCATACGACTGATTGTTCAAAATCATTAAAAAAAAGCGTATAAAAAATTTGTCGAAAAATAATCAAAATTGTGGAAGAGATTGAATTTTTAAAAATCGTAAAATTTAAACCATTCAAAATTAAATTTAGGGGTAAACAAATTTTTTTGTTTTGCCATTTTTTTAGAACCTGAAATCACATTTCACTATGATAATTAACAAAAGTAATTTTTAATTCAACTTTTTTTATTTTTTAAAATTGTCTGGTAGAACACATATATCGACACATAAACATCATACCACATAATTTGAATTATGTTTGGTTTCACGAAAGCATTCCCTTTTTGGGAAAAGTATTTTTCTAATACAATTTTTTATTATTTTTTTGTTTAAAATTATTAAATGAGAGTGAAAATCCATATATTGTATTTAAATCTGATGAGGCCCGAGACGTTGACGGGCGAAAGCTCATTTAATTATAAGAATTTTAAAAATAAAATGTGGATTATTACCAAAAACAACTAACATCTTGACTAAATTATGTAAATCCAAAAAAACTATTATCTATACTAATTTTTAATTTTTGATAAACTTTTAGTTTTATTTTTAAAAAATCTTAATTTTCACAATTTTAATCAAATAAAGAAATAAAAAATACGTATTTTCTTATTTTTCGTAAAGATTTTGAAAAAAATGTTCCATAACAAAAAATTTTTGAAAGACAATCTGAAATACCCCAATTGTAATTGTTAAAAAATTATAGTTTTTTTTTTGAAAAATTGCTTTTTACTAATTTAAAAATGAATGAATGCATTTCTCGCCTTTTTTTGGTTTAAAAGAAGAATGTGTGTATATATATCAATCAGATGAAAGTATTAGAGCTTCTGAAGTTAGACTTTATAGTGATTCTTTCGGTTGTCGAATCAATATTGTCTACATCATGGCGTGTATTGTTTTTTTTTCCAAGACAATTTTTAAATACCTATATTTATCACTGCGACGAGAAAAAAAAAAGTTTATTTTAAAGTAATTTAGAAGAAAATGTCTGTCTTGAATTTTAAAAGTTTTACTTTTTAAAGAAATCTTTGCCTTGGATGAAAGTTTTGAGCTGCGCTTTAACTTTTCTTTTTTTTATAAGAGCTCCTGACCTCGGAATTCATTAAGGCTTGAAATGCTGATTTTATTGATGCTAAATTCAAAGTTAAAAAACTTTTTTTTTTCTCAAATATATCATCATTTCTTAGATAAGAGTTACAATATTGTACTTTCCAAATTAATCGTTTATTTTTCTTACAAAAATATTTTATTTATTTTTTAATTTCTATTTCTTTGTTTTGGTTAATTATTATAAATTAATAATCAATGCTTTGAGTTTTAAATTTTGCAATTTATAATAAGGTACAATTTTTTATTGAGAAAAACTAAAAGTGGGTTAATTTTTTAAAAATTCTTCGTGCAAACATTTTTTTTTTTCATAAATATACGATTTTTGCGTAAAATATATTTTTGCAGCTTATGATTTTTCACAAAGTCCAATAAGTGAAGAGCGTCAAACTTCGGGAACCGTTGGAAAAAGAAAGCAACGAAGATATCGAACGACTTTTACGAATTTTCAACTCGAGGAACTGGAACGTGCCTTTCATAAAACTCATTATCCCGATGTATTTTTCAGAGAAGAACTTGCACTTAGAATTCAACTCACTGAAGCAAGAGTTCAGGTAACATCAAATAATAATAATAATAATAATTTTCCAAAATAATAATCACAGAAATTATTTAATACATACTTGGAAAAATTTCGAAATTTTAATTTAATTTTAATTCAAATTCACCGAATTTTAATTTGTACGAAGTTTTAAAACGCCGAATTTTCATTTGTCCGAAATTACAAATAGCCGAAAAAAACAATCAACAGAAAGATTTCGGCGCAATTTTCAAAATGTAGACCGAAAATATCAAGAAAATCGTGATTGGTCAATTTTTGAAAATTGCGCCGAAATCTTTCTGTCGATTATTTGTTAAGCCATTTGTAATTACGGCTTAATGAAAATTCGTACAAATTAAAATTCGGTCTAAAAAAATAATGATTTCTAATGAAATACGTTAAAACCAAAAATTCTTAATTAGAATTTTTATTTTAATGTATTTTATTAGAAATCATATTTTTTTTAGACGAATTTTCAATTTTTTGGTTTTTTATGAAAAATTCATATGAATTACAGGTGTGGTTTCAAAATAGACGGGCAAAATGGCGAAAACAGGAGAAACAATGCAAGGGAAATCATTTGGGACCACATTTAGGTTCAAATGAATGCCAAGAAGTTCTACAACAACAACAACAACAACAGCAACAAGATCATTTATTGTTAGAACCACCATTGGGAAGTCCGCCACCAATTTATCTTGGAATGGAATGGGCAGGATTTTCTCCATATACCAATAATTCCTCGTCTCCTTTAATTGTAAATGGAATGAATAAACCACCTGATTCTGACGACAGTCCATTGTTAGATCCAGAATTACTTCAATTGAAACCGCCTCGAAATTAATGAAGTAATTTTCCTTCTTCCCCCCCATCACCTGCTTCCATTTTTTCAGACGTGATATTATGTAATTCACTAGGATATTTATAATATCGATTTAAAAAAAAAAAAAAAAACTTGTATAATGATAATTAATAATATCAATTTTATAGCTTTAAATTATTTAAAGTTAAATTAATATTTATTGATGCTATTAATGTTTTGTCGATTTATTTGTTGTCTCATATTAAGTTTCGAATTCTATGTAAATTTATAGTCTGTAGATTTTTTTTTAAATACACATGATTTGTTTGAATATTTTTGTGAATTTTTAATTTATTTTCTTTGGTAAACTTTTATGTTTACTTATATATAAGTAGAGTTATTTGAGGTAAATGTAAACAGTTGTTTGAGATTAATTATTTAAAGATTTAAAAAATAGAAAGTTAAAGTGCTGAGTATAATAGCCCCAATCACTGCTGGGGCTATTATATTCATCACTTCAACTTGCTATAAATTTGATAAAACAAATTTTTCTTTTTAAGTAAATAGTATAATAGCCCCAATCGCTGCTGGGGCTATTATACTCAGCAAAGTTTGTTTATTTATAAAATATTCTTAACATTTTTTTTATACATCTTTAGCTACATGAAATATTTTATTCAGATAGTCTAGATTACGACAAAAAAAATAGAAAATTAAAAAAAAATTTAAACAATTGTTTAATAAATTTGAAAGTTAAACATATTTTATTAAAATCTATATTTTTATTAAAATTATTTAAAAAGGTGAAATTTTATTTAAATTAAAGATTTTAGGGTTAAATAAACAACTCAATATAAATTCTAACAAGCTTCTTAAGTTATTTTAGAAGAAAAAGTTACTTTGAAAAACATGTAAAATATTAATTTAGTGCCCTCTGTTACAAAACAATCAAACAATATTTACGTCAAATTTAATGAATATTTTATTAATTAAAAACTGGTGCTGAGTATAATAACCCCAGGATGAGTAGATTAGCCCCGGTTGACGGTATGTACTTGAAATAACTTGTACACCATAAAATTTTTCTAAGGCAATTTTTGAAATTTACCAATCACGATTTTCTTGAGGAAATTTGTAATTGGTCAATTTATAAAAATTGCGCCGAAATCTTTCTGTTCATAGTTTATTCGGCCATTTGTAATTTCGGACAAATAAAATTCAACGTCTTAACAATTCGTACAAATAAAACTTAAGTTAAATTTAAATTCAGTGAATTATTGGAATTTCTGTCGTTTAAAAATTCGAATCAGATAAAAATCGATTGAAAGAGTATTTTGTTAAATTAAAATTTATTTAACTAAAAATCCTCTTAAATTAAATGTTATGTAAATTAAATGACTGTATAATAAAAATTATGCGAAACAAAAATTCTATAGCTAAAAATTTTGTTAAGTAAAAATTCGTATAGAAAGAAATTTTTGTGAAATTCTAATTCGAAAAATGAAAATTCGTCTAAAAAATAATTATTTTTAATAAAATTCCTTTAAAATGAAAATTCTAATTAATGATTTTTATGAGAAAATCATGCTCCCTAATTCCGATCGCAATAGTTTTTTTTTAGAGCAAAAATGTACTTTTTTAATCTCTATTTCAAAAAAATTTCATTTTTCACTAATTCAACGATTGTGAAAGTTATTTACGAGATAATAACTTAAAATTTTGGTTCCCTGAGTATTTTTATAGGTAGAAACTACTTAAAAAAAATTTTGAGTCAAATCGATGAACTGCTGCCAACAAATTTTGGTTTTAGCCGTGGAATATCTCAGAATACAAAAAAAATATATTTTAAACTAAGGAAGTAAATTCCTTTATTGGAAAAATAAAATTATTTAATTAAAAACACTTTTGAATTAAAATAGTAACTTTATCTTTATTCGGTGTGCATATATTACATTTCTGTTAATCGACTAATCATCGTATATTAATCAACTGATTTAGAATCGATAACGTGGATTCGAAGTCGTTCTCCTCGAAACGCTTGGCGTTCAAGTTTAATTTTTTTTTTGTTTTTTTAAAAAAAGCACACAAAAATTTCCAAAAAAAATCCTTCTTTCCTTCAGTGTATACATTTTTTTCAATAAAATACATAATTCTGTAAATATTACCATTCTTCAAAAATGAAAAAAAAATATTTTTACAATCAGTAAACATTTTTCGATTGTCTCGGTTTTATTTAAAAAAAAAAAAAACCGAAATTCACAGATAAATATTATAAAATTTTCAAATCTTAATTATGAAAAATTTAATTATATTCAAAATGCAACATTAAACATAAAATTTTCATTTCATTAATATTTTTTTGGAATTTTTCCGTTTTTTTTTTTTAATATTCCTTTTAATTTGCTACAATTTTCTAATATCGTATGAACTTTAGTATTAATTTTTGCGAAACTCGAAAATTGTTTATAGATTAATAAAAAGAAATTCTCCTCTCTCACCTCTTTGTCATTTGGTGTTAAATTTTCCATTCAGATAGTAACAAAATATATTCAAAAGGGAAAGAAAATTAATCAATAAAAAATTTGTGTGGCAAATAAATTTCGTTGACCCCCCCCCTAGCCCCAATCTCAAAAAAAAGTCAACGTATAATGAATTCTGATTTCATGTTTTTGGAGAATCGCCTTTTCTGTTTCTTTTTTTTTTAACTATACAAGAAGAACGTCTTGCGCGAAATAAATTAGTATCGAAATTCAGGAGCGACGTTACGCCACATATGAGTATTCGTCCGCGCTATTTGCCGTTCGCTCGATATATTGTTTATCAATTAACGCCTCGATGCATTTTTTGATCATTCCAATTGACGGTGCGAACGTTACTTTCGATTGGCCTAAAACCTGCAACAACAAAAAAAAATATGCCAAATTAATTAACAAAAAATTAAAACAAAATCGTATAATAGAAATTTTCTTTATATTGCATAATGTAGAAAAAAATATATTAAAAAGAATTTTTTTTTTTGGAGAAATTACTTCTTGAACGAGTTGATTGTGTCTGAGCAATTTTCGACTTTTCATAATTCGAACAATGGCTGCTTGGAGGTAAAGTTTTCGGTCGTCGTCGACACTACGATGAGTTGCTTCAGTGTCATGTGGCGCGTCTCTTTGCAATGCTCCTGTGATTCGAAATTTCGTCCTTTTATTGTAATAATCAAAATTGAGCGTGAGTATCGTGTCCTCTTCGAGTTCACCCTCCGTCGATTTTTTCAAAATTTTACAATCAACCAAACTCGCTGCATGCTTCACTAATTGATCGTGTGATAGTCTCAAAGAAGCTGCAGCTTCCCTGAAAAAGAAATTTTTATTTTAAAAGAATTTTCTTTTAATTCTATGACGGTCACATGAGTAAATAGAAAAAGAAAAATTACCTGCAATTAATAGAATCGCATTGCTCAAAAAGAAGCAAAAGTGCCATCTGATAAGTTTGAACAGTGACGAGGTAGGATTTCTTGAGATAATTAAATTTGAGTTCACCCTGACATAGATGATGTAGCCAAGTAAGTTTTCTTCCGCTAAATTGAGCATGATAAAAACTTTCAAATGCTTGAATTGATCTTTCAAGTTGTTGTGGAACGTGAAATGGTCCCGGCGATGGCGAGAGACCCAATGGCCATGCACCGGCTTGCAAAACATAAACAACAAAGCCAATGCCCAATTGACTCTCGCCTTCACGTTCACGTAGGCTTGCGGCAAATTTTGCATTGAGATCCGTCGACACCGACATATCGGTGAACATTCGATGCAATTTATTGGTGAATTCATAGCCGCACGCTTGTTTCAATCTATCGATCATTGCCTCCTCAGCGTCCATTGACTGTGATAATTGATGAATTAAACGTTTTGCCAACATTCGGGCATAAAATTTTTGAAATATATCTTTGTCGTCGACATATTTAAAAACAGTTATCGAACTCGCGAGTTTCTCCTCAATTTCACTTTCTGTCGCTCCTTTCGCTGATTTTTTTAATAACGAGTCACAATATTTTGCCAACTGTAAAAGAAATATTAAAAAAAAATCATTCGAATACTTTTTTATTTTAATTATTATTAATTGGGATAAAAAATATTTACCAACTCAGGAGCTCGAGAAGGTTGTCTCGGTCCTGGCCTATGATTAACAAGGGCAGAGCATGCTTTATCTAAAGCGCCACCAAAGACTTGATCGCCTTTAAACACCTCTTTAATCATAGTTGAAAATTTCGAATGTACAACAAGCATACTTTCCACAAATTGTGTATGAACCTGTAAATAATAATAAAAATTTAAATATTGATGGAATTTTTTTGCAAAAATTTAAAAAAAATAATTACATTTTCTCCTTGCAAGGATCCAATGGCCTTTAAGCCTTCATTTATAATGTGTTCGGTGAGTTTTTGAACTAATGCCCCAAGACCATTGGGCAGTGGCCTAAGTAAAGGATAAAGAAGGGCCAAATTTCTTCTCCTTTCGTTTTGAATCATCGCATCGACTTCCGCATGTAACCAAGTCAAATGAGCGGCGACCATTTTCTCCTCACAACATCGCCGAACCTACAATTTTTTTTTTTTTTTTTGTATTTCCCCTTTGATTTTAACTTTAATTTCTCAAAAAGAAAATTCTTTTTAATAACGATTTTTTTCACAAATAAGAGAAAACTACCTCAATTGGGGCTATTTTACTCATTAAAGGGCTATTATACTCAGTGTCAATTTTTGAGTGTTTCGTGGCTCAGGCCCGAAAGCTTTATAGATTTGCTTTGGCAACAATCAAATTTGTAAAAAAAATTTTATAAATTTTTTTTTCTATTTTTTTATCGTACTTTAAACTATCTGCAGAAAAGATTTCAAATAGCTAAAGCTGTTTTAAAATATATTGAGAACATTTTATAAATAAACAAACTTTGTTGAGTATAATAGCCCCAAACTGCGGTAATTAAAAAAAGAAATTAAAATTAAAATAAAAACATTGTGTGATTCGTTAGTAAATATTAGAGTTTCATTGAAAAAAAGATACTGTGAATTAAAATTCAATTTATAATTGTAATTAATAGTTAAAATTATTTTCTCGATTTTTTTTTTGAAAAAATTAAAATTAGTTTATGTAAATTATGAAATTTTTTTTTTTTTTTCAATTACCTTTGGCACTGAACTGCTATGAAGAAATTTATGAACTCTTAATTCTTCCTGATTGAATCGCCAGGTAACTCTTTCCATATAACGAGTAACGTCCGACTGTTGCAAAAGTTCTGACGCTTCTCTCGAATAAAATTCACCACTTGCTTCTAAAAACGGAGTCTCGAAAATTTCTATATACATCTAAAAATTCAAAACACAATTGTTAGGAAAATTTTTCAACTTTTTTTACTAGTAAAAAATACCTTTTTTTTTTGAGAGAGAAATTTCATGGCTAAAATAAAAAATTTTAACTTATTGAGTAAATTTACCCGCAATGAGCAAAATAACCCCGTATTACAGTTTGAAATAATTTTTTTTTTGTCCAAAATTTACGTTTTTTAGAGCAGTTTTTAATCTCTATTTCCAAAAAAATGTTATTTTTCCTCTGGCAAAAAATTTGGATTTTATCCATGGAATCCCCTCTCGAGATAAATTTCTAAAAAAAATAAACTAACGTCTAATTCTCCCTTTCGTTTATATTTCTTAACAGTGACAAAACTTTGGATAACTTCACAAATGACATCGTTTGTCGTTGGTTGTCCCTCGCCAAGACGATCGGCATGAATACCCTCAAGAAGAAGGGCAACAAGTTGATTTTTCAATGGGGTAATCATTCGTTTCTCCCAAATATCAAGGCCCAATTCGCCAATTTCCATTTGCTCTTGATATTCAGTGGCAGTTCCCGACGACGTACCGTAAATAATTTCCGGCTCGGTCAGTCTTTGTTTTTTGATGTGTTGCTGATTTAGATATAAGTACAATTGATGAAGGTAATTAATTCCTTGAGAATATTCCATCCATGCATGATGATAAGCTTGCAAGAGGCCAATGTCCGTTTGGCTCAATACTTTCGTTAATAATTGTGAAACGTGCTCGTCTAAAAATTGCTTCGTCTCGTTGTAAAGACGATCCGCGTGCGGTTCCGGATAAGCGACACATAGCGAATAAACGTCACTGGAAAATTTTTCATTTTTCTTATTATTCATTGAAGTATTCATAAGAGAGCAGAACCGAGGGATTAATATTAAAATTCTATTTTTATTTTGTAAATTTCATCGATTACGAGAAGCAAATGAATTCAAACACGTGGTTTAATGACCGTAAACATAAATGTTTAGGTAATTATTGTAACATAAATTTGAGAACGAAAGAAATAATAGCTATTGTCAAAATTTGAAGAGACATTCGATTATTAATTTTAATTACATAAAATAATGAAACACACTAACTGTATCATTAGATAAGATTGTTAGATTATAATAGAAATTTAAAAATTTCTTATTGATTTATTTTGCTTATTTCCCAATCAATATTTATTTTATCTTTTTTTTTATGAAATATTTGTCGCTTTTTAAGCCAAATTAGAGGAATCTTTTCAATAATTATTTGGTTTTTTAGCTTTTGCTATTAACTTTTCAAAAATTCTTCTACTTGTTTAAATTATTTATCGTTTCGAAGAATTTGATACTAAAATAAATTGATACAGGCCTCGGATCGACTTTAAGGCACAAAAAAGTCGATTTATATTCAAAAAAAAATCGAAAAAGTCGATTTTTTTTATTTTAACAAAATTTAATTGGTTAATGAATATTTTACTTTAAATAATTAATGTTATTAAGTATATTAAATTTATTTTATAAATCGTAGGACAAATTTTCAAAATTTTATTTAAGTAGGACATATTTCTAAAAAAAAATTCTTAAAGTTCCATTTTTATAATTTTTTGAAATCTGATTTATAAGGAATTTCTTCGAATTAATAATTTTATCATAGTTGTTTTTAGTTTTGATGGTCAAAAAAATTTCCGTCAATAATTAAATTTTACAGAACTAAAAATAATTTATCAAATAATTTTAGATAATATTTTCTAAAAATAATTGAATTTTTAAAGATTTACAATTTAGATTTTTGAAATTAATATTGAAATTCAAGTGATTTTTAATTTAAAATTTTTGATAATTACACTAAAAAATTTATTAGAAATTGCAGACAAAAATACAAATAATTTAAAAACTATTTAAGCGAAAAATATTTTTAGACAGTTGAATTTTCGAAAAATATTATAAAAAATCATTAAAAATAATTGAATTTTGAGTTATAATTGCAATTATTAAATTTCAAAAAATTTTAGATGGAAAATTTTAGAAATAATTAAATTTTAGAAACTTTAAAAATGAAATTTTTGAAAATAATTGAATTTCAAGTAATTTTGAATTAAAAAATTGTTTGGCAAGTTTATTTGCTAATTTTTTAAAAATTATAAACAATTATTAAATTTCATAAAAATTTAAATTGAAAAATAGTTTATGATAATTAAATTTGTGAAGAATTTCATTAAAATTATTAAAAATAATTAATTTAGTGAAGAATTTTAGTTAAAAATTTGTTAAATAATTGAAATAAAGAAAATTTAAAGATGTTCTTTACAATTTCTTTTGTTTGAATTTTATATCTTTCTTCTCTTTCTACTTTTTTTAAAATTTATTTTCCAACTTTCCTTTTTTTTCTATTCTTTTCAAAATTATATTTCGCTTAGTCCAATCTCAATTCTTAATATTATTTTATTTTTAACATTTAATAATTTATAATTTTTTATATAGGATTTAAAATTTTTTTTATACATTTTACAGTTTTTTTTGAAACTTTTTTAAATAATTGAATTTTTAAAGAAATATTAAAATTATTCAAAACAATTGAATTTTGGAAGAATTACAGTTGAAATTTTTTTTAGAAATAATTCAATTTTAATTTTTTTTTAAATTTCAATCAATTAAATTTAATATTTAATTTCATTAATTTAACTTTACAGAATTGGAAATAATTTATCAAATAATTTTAAATAACCATTTTTTAAATATAATTGAATTTTCAAAAAATTTACAATTCAGATTTTTCAAAATAATTGATAACTGCAAGTGATTTTTGATTGAAATTTTCGGTGGTTTTCTGTTGCCGAAAAATTTATTTAGAAATTACAGATAAAAATTTAAAATTTTTTACATTGAAAAATGCTTTTAGATAATTGAATTTTCGAAGAAATTATAAGAATAATTGAAAATAATTGAATTTCGAAAGAGTTATTATTTGAAATTATTAAATTTCAGAAAGTTTTATAGATGGAAAATTTTAGAAATAATTAAAATTTTAGGTTTTAAATTAAAATTTTTGATTTCTTTTTTTTCTTTAACAATTATTGAATTTCATAAAATTTTAATTGAAAAATTGTTTAAAATAATTGAATTCCTGAAGAATTTCATTAAAATTATTGAAAATAAAATTCATTCAGAGAAGAATTGTAGTTAAAAAATTTTTTTAAATAGTTGAAATAAAAATAATCCGAAAAAAATCTACAATTGTATACTAAAAATGAGTTTCTTTGTTTAAAAAATTTTGTAAAAAAAATTCAAAACAGGCGCATCTCAATAAAGTCGAAAGAAATCGTATAATCCAAGGCCTGTTTTTTTCTATACCAGAAAAAAATATAATATTTAACTTTAAATACTCAGATAAATTTAGATTTATTATCAATCTCAATATTGTAAAATTCAATAATAACGAGATTACCTAAATCTATCGTTCCATATGGCTCGTGGCACGTGGTCGAGTGTTATAACTTCCTTCACGGTTTTTTGCAAAAGGTCCCAAGTTTCTATAAAATCAACTCTTTTTGGTTTCAAAGACATTCTGCTTTATCCTTAGCACCTTCAAAAAATTTATTTTAGAAATTGTCTAGAAAATTTTCGAAATCACTTTGTGATTTCACCTGAAAATTAAAGATGGCAAGTAAATAATAATTATTAATTTATAAAAAAAAAAAAAAATTACTCAACAAAAAAAGGGAAGAGATTGTGTGAAAACGAAAAATTAAAAAAAGAATATAAAATCGTGCCGAAAAAAATAAATTAATATTTAAAAATAGAAATAAAAAATTATTTTTCTTTTTTAAATATTGAGGAAAAATTTTTGAAAAAAATTTAAAAAAAAAACTGAATTCGAAATAGTAAATAAAAATAGTCGAGTTAACGGACTATTAAATGGAAATTCTTTAAGAATTTTATCGTTGGCGCTTCATGCAATAAAGTTTAAAAATAAAGTGGCAAACACGAGAGCTACTTATAATTCGGCATTTTTTCCTTGGGCTCTTATATTTCATTTTCTTTGGCAAATAGCTTTTCTTTTTCTTTCATTTTTTTTTTTTTTTTTCTCACGTGTACTTGGAAATCGAGAACGACTTTAAGCCAGGTCAAGGTCAATTGTTGATATATTAGAAAACATTCTACTTTAACCGAAACAAAAAGAAAAATTCAAAAAAAATTTCTCCAAAAATCGAAATTTTTTTTTTTTAACCAAAACCAAAAAAAGCAAATTTAATTTTTATCCCATTTTTCCAAAAAATATCGAAATTTTTTAATTGGGACAAAAAAAAAAATATTTCGAAAATTAGGACAAATAAATTTATTATTTAATAAAACAAACAATAATTTGTTTAAAATTCACCTTAAAAACATTATAATTTTGAGAGAAAAACAAAAATTATTATTAAATATCCATAAAAAAAAAAAAAAAATTCCCGCAAATCATTTTTACAATTTATTTAAAAAATAAATTAAATTTTGAAAAAAAAAAAAATTGGAGCAGTTTTTATAATCTCTTGACTCCATTGATTCACGTGCGTGGGAGGCAACAAAAAAAAAAAAGAGGAAAAAAAAATAACAAAAAAGAGAATGTAAATAATTTTTCTTTTTTTTTACCTTGAAGAAATATTTTCAATTTCTGTAGAATATAATAAATTTTTTTTTTCTAAATATGTGTGATTGTTCTGGACCATTTATTTTTGGGACATGGCGAGTCATTCCCTGTTGCAAAATGCATGACATTTGCAATGACTTGTTTCATACATTCCAACTGACGTTTGTTTATTTTATATTTACGTTAATTTTCAACACTTTACACTTGACAATTTGATTAATTTTTTATTGTAATTATTAAAAGAATCTATCTTTTATTATTATTTTTTTTATTAAATTAAAATCACTGTACACCTAACCGTCAGAATTTTTACTGCATCGACGACGACGACAACATTAGTCGGCCATCTTAGAAATCGATTGCACAATTCGATACATTAAAGTAAATTTGGCGCTCAATTTGAAATTTAGAAAAAAAGAATTCATTTTCTAATTGAGAGATTAGTATTTTTATTTACAACTATGGAATAGTAAAAATTTTCTATAAACTTGAGTAATATTTATATGTTTCACATTGTAAATTATTGTAAAAAAATCAGTAAAATTTCTTTTGGTTTTTAATTGTTCAGCTGTCGGTTAGTTAGAGATCTTTCATTTCTTCGTTTAGTATAGTTTCGATTATTGACGACAGGTGCTCTGAATTTAAGAAAAAAATTTGCCGCTTGTGTATTTTTCAGAGTGTTTGAGAGCTTTGGAATTTTTAACAACTAATTCATCAAAATGGTGAGTAAATTCATAAATTATGATAATTATTATCTACTTTTTTTCAATTTATATTTAAAAAGAATGTTTGTAATATTATTTTTTGTTCTCCTGTAAAATTTGGATAAATGTCAAGTCAGGCTGTTTTGAGGTTATGTGATTGTCAAATGACAATGCATTTATCAAAATTAAAGTTTAATTATCAAAAAATCAAACTAAATTTACTGTTTTTAATTAATTTCGAATGTTTTTATATTTTTGAAAATTTACTTTAATTTTCCATGTTTTATTGTCTCGATTTAATTGACATTCTCATCGTCTATTTTGTCATTTTCTTTTTGAACAATTTTAATTTGAAATTGCTTTAATAAATGTTTAAAAACAATTTTAAATATTAATGATGCTTATAAAAATAAATTTACAAGTAATTTATCAAGTTTATTGGAAAATAAATTTTTATATTTTTTTTAGAGGTTAGGTACGTTTCCGTAAATATTTTTATTGGTTTAAATTTTACTGTTAAAACATAAAAATCAACTTTTGCAATTTCTATTATTTTTCATCGACAATTTATTTATATACTTTTTATTAATTCAATACTTGACAATTTAATTATTTAATTTAATTGCATAAATTGTTATTAATTTAATTTATTTATTGATATTATTTTTTTTTAATTAAATCTTTATGAAATTTAATAATTGTTTATAATTTAAAAAAAATTAGTAAATAAAATTACCAAAAAAATTTTAATTCAAAATTACTTATAATTTAATTATTTGCGAAAATTTCAATTATTTTTTAATGATTTTTATAGTATTCTTCGAAAATTTAATTATCTGAACGTATTTTTCAAATTAAAAACTTTTGGAATTCAATTTTCTTTTTAATGTAATTTCTAATAAATTCTTTATCAACAAAAATCACTAGAAATTTCTCTTATTATAATTATTGTCTGAAATTTAACACAATTTTTTGAAATTCAATTAATTTCAAAAATTTTAATTTTAAAGGTTCTAAAAATTCATTATTACTAAAATTTTCCATCTAAAATTTTTTGAAATTCAATTATCTCTAAAAATTTCAATTCAAAATCAAGTAAAAATCAATTGTCTTCAAAAATTTCAATTCAAAATAAACTAACATTCAATTATTTTGAAAAATTTCAATTAAAATTCAATTATTTTCAAAATTTTCAATTCAATAATTCAATTTTAATTAAAATTTAATTATTTTCAAAAATTTAAATTCTGAATTAATAAAAATTCAATTATTTGCCAAATTTAAATTTAAAATCAACCAAAGTTAAACTAAAATACAATTATTTTTTAAAATTTTAATTGAAATTCAATTATATTAAAAATTTTAAATTTAAAATCAACTAATTTCAATTATTTTCCACAATTTCAATTCAAAATCAATTAAAATTCAATTATTTTCCAAAATTTTCAATTAAAATTTAATTATTTTCAAATTTTTCTATTTAAAATTAACTAAAATTCAAATGAGCCAAAAGTTTTGAACGTTCAAATGAACAAAATTTTTTTTGTAACTTCTTTAAGTACGAATTTTATTACAAAATATTGTTTTAAATATCTAAAAAGAAGTTATTAATTTAATATTTGTTTAATTTACTGTTTTATTTTACATTGACCTTAAAATTTTTAATAATTTATAGATTGAAAAAAATGTTTTGTTCATTTGAACGTTCAAAACTTTTGGCTCATAAATTCAATTATTTTCCAAATTTTCAATTCAAAATCAACTAAAATTCAATTATTTTTCAAAACTTTGATTGAAATTTAATTATTTTCCAAAATTTTAATTCAATATCAATTGAAATTCAATTATTTAAAAAAATTTCAATTTAAAATCAATTAAAATTGAAATTCAATATTTCGAAAATTGAACTATGTGAAATCAGTTTTTTTCCAAAATATAAATTATTTTTAATTCTGTAAAATTTAATTATTGTCTAAAAATTAACAAAATCTTTTGAAATTCAATTATTTCTAAAAATTTCAACTTTAACTCTTCCAAAATTCAATTATTTTAATATTTATTTAAAAATCTTTAAAACTGAATTATTGTCCGAAATTTTTATGATCATCAAAACTAAAAACTATGACAAAATTTTTAATTCGAATAAATTGCATATAAATCAGACTTGAAAAAATTATAAAAATGGAACTTTAAGAATTTTTTTTTGGAAATTTGTTCTACTTAAATAAAATTTTGAAAATTTATCTTACAATTAGTTTGATTCTGAAATATTCGAAATAAATTTTCTTGATAATATTCTTATAGAATTATTTTCATTACAGAATTAATAAAATGAATTTAATATCTAATAACATTAGGTTATTTAAAGTAAAATATTTATTAACCAATTAAATTTTGTTAAAATAAAAAAAATTGACTTCGATTTTTTTTTTAATATAAATCGACTTTTTTTGTGCCTTAAAGTCGATCCGAGGCCTGCATTATTTTCTTTATCAAATTCTTCGAAAAGATAAACAATTTAAACAAGTAGAAGAATTTTTGAAAATTTAGTAGCAAAAGCTTAAAAAATAAAATAATTATTGAAAAGATTCCTCTTATTTGGTTTAATTCTTAAAAATTAAAATTAGAGAAATTTGTAAATAACGCAAAACTGTTTCAGAGTATTCTCTCCTATAATGGAGGTGCTATGATAGCAATGAAGGGCAAGAATTGCGTGGCAATTGCGGCTGATCGACGATTTGGAATTCAATTGCAAACATTGGCGACGGATTTGCAAAAAATTTATGAAATGGGTCCACATTTATATCTCGGTCTACCTGGCCTTGTGACCGACAGTCAAACAGTAATGGAGAGACTTAGATTTCGATTGAATTTATATGAACTAAAAGAAAATAGACGAATTCATCCAAGAACTTTTAGTTGTATGGTGTCAAATCTTCTCTATGAAAGGCGATTTGGACCTTATTTTATTGAGCCAATGATAGCTGGACTCGATCCAGTTACATTTGAGCCATTCATTTGCAATATGGATTTAATTGGCTGTCTAAATGAGCCACAAGATTTTATTGTTGGCGGTGGATGCTCCGAGCAATTGTACGGAATGTGCGAAGCTCTCTATGAACCCGATATGGAACCTGATGATCTTTTTGAAAAAATAAGTCAGGCTTTGGTGAGCGCTTGCGATCGTGACGCTATTTCCGGTTGGGGTGCCGTCGTTCACATTATGTAAGATTTTTTTCACTCAAAAATAATGATTTTTCAAAATAATCATTAAAAAATATCAATAAATTTTCTTTCTTTTTTCTTTTTTACAGAGAAAAGGACAAAGTTACGACTAGAATGGTGAAAACACGAATGGATTAAGGATTATTTTTTTTTATGCCAATTATTTACTACTTCTTATATTTTAAAAAAAATAAAATTTCTTTCACTGATGTTATTATTCTTTTGATTCCTCTTTTCTGTGACAATTTTTTTTGCTGCCTTGAAACCAATCAGGTGGTCCAAAAATGGAAAAAAATAGAAAAGTCAAAAAATTTTTTAAAAACGCCATTCTGTAGAAAATAAAAATCCGCATCTTTTTTTCCTTTTGAGATTTTTTTTATAAAACGAATACAGGCTTCACAGTGTTTCCCCTATTTTTCCTCTATTTTAAAAAATTCCTCTTTTTTTCCCCTTTTTATTCACTCATTTTCCCTATTTTATTTTTATTTTATGGTCATTTAATTTACAAATTGGAAAAATAAAAATTAATTTAAAAAATAATTAAATTTTTAAAAAAAAACTAATTAAAGTTTATTCAGAGCAAAAATTGATTCGGAAAAGTTAACGATTATTAATTTTAAAAATTGCACTCTTATTATTTTTATTATTATTATTATTTTCAAGGTATATAATTGTTATAATTTTTTAATTGTTCTTTAAAAAAAATTAAATTCATCAAAATTCTTATAAAATATTTTAAATAGAATTTTAATCGGATTTCTTTTTTTTTATACTATATTTAAATAAATATTTTTAATTATTAAATTATTATTAACTAAATTTACTTAATTATTTTTTATAAAATTTTGAAAGAAATGCGTCATTTAAGTGGCACTTGAAAACCCCCTTTTGTTTCCTTAGAAACCAACTTCCGGTATGGTAAATTGTTTCTCCCTTCAAATTCGCAAATGAAATCACAATTTTAAATTGTATACAATAAAATGAATACAATGGTGAATATAATTCATCCGAAATTATTAACAAAACCGCCAATTTGTGGGAAAAAAGCAATAGCAACAAAAAATGAAACGATGGAATTAAAAAATTTAGAAAGAGAAAATGTAACAATGTTTCAATCTATACAAAAAGAATTGACAAAACCAACAAATGATTGTAATCAAAATGTTATTGAGCCAAATTCATGTTCATTTCAACAACTTTGCAGTATGATTAATGATCTTGAGGAAAATTTATGTTATTCCAATAATGTTGATCAAGAAGAATTACAAAATGTTTCTTATAAATATCAAAGTCAAGTGGGTATTAAAATTATTATTTATTATTTTTCAACTCATGTTATTTTCATTTGTTTAAATTTTACTTTAATTTTTTGCAAAATAATTTTTTATAATTGCTAAATTTTTAAAATTTTAGCTTCAACCGGAAAAAGATGTTTCAATTAATAATTGTAGTTCGAGTGGACAAACTTATGACGATATTATGCAATTATTAGGTTCACTGGAGCAAGAAATTCCAAAATTAGGTAAAAATCATTTTTTATATACATTCTTTAAATATCAATGGAAAAATAATTTCCCTTTTTCCACATTGAAGAACCAATAAATGGTGGGAAATCGACTCACGCTCTTGAAGAATTTTTATCCAATGATCAATTTGTTCAAAGTCACTCAAAATTAAGGTAATTAAAAAAAAATGGAATTATAGTTATTTATTATTAAATTAAATATTTATTTTTTAAGGAGTAAAATAATTCCAAATTCACAACTACAAGACGATTTAGAAACGACACGGCTTCAATTGGAAGAGAAGGAAGCAACTTTAGTGTGTTTAAAAAATGAATTAAAAAATGAGAGAAAAGTTGCTTGTGAAAAATTAAATTCATTGAAAAAAGAACATGTATTGGCGCTTCAATCACAAAAATTAAAATATCAAGGTATCGTGAAGCGTCATCAAAAATTTATCGAGAAATTGTTGTCGGAGAAAAAAGAATTAACAGAAAAATCCAATGCATTGACGCAGAGAATTAAAGAAATTGATGCAAAACATCAACGTGATATTAAAGTCGCTGTCGAGAGACATTCAGTTGAAATTCAACGTGCCAAGGAACTTTGTGCGGCTTCAGAAAAAATTAGAAGAGAACGATGGTTAGAGGCAAAAACAAATAAAATTAAGGTGTCACAATTTTTTTTTTTAAATTTTTAAATACAAAATAAATTTTTTTCTCGAGAAATTTTCCTTTTGAAAGAAAATTTTGAAAACAAATTCTCCAAAAATGGAAATTGAACAATTTTGTTTTTTTTTTTGTATAGGAAATGACAGTGAAAGGTTTGGAACCAGAATTACGAAGTATGACAGAACAACATCAATTGGAAATACAAAATTTACGAAGTATTCATCTTGAGGAACTTCAAAATATGGATCTTCGCGCGATTCGACGAACAAATCAACAAATGGAACAACTTCGCGTTGAATTAACAGAAAATCATGAAAAATTATTAAATGAAGAAAAAGAAATTCTTCGTTCCAGGTTTCATTTTTTTTTTACTTTTGAAAAAATTAAATCAAAAATATTAAAAGAAATTAAATTTATTAATCGTGATTTTTAATTTTGTTTTTTTTTTTTTGTTTACTTCGCAGATATGAAGAAAAATTGAACGAACAAGAATTTCTCTTTGATGAAAAACAAAGAAAATATTTTGAGGAACTACAGCAAGAAAAAGAGAAATTTTCCCAAGAACAAATGAAAAGAGATGCAGAGAGAAATGGAGAAATTAATCGAGTTACAGCCGATTTTAATGTATAATTTTTATTTATTAAAATTATTGTTTAGAAATAATTTCCGAATAATAATATTTTTTTATTAATATTATTATTATTAGAAAAAATAGTTAATAAAAATTATTGAAATATTTTGAAATTTTCTTTTTTTTTTAAGGAAAAAGCGGAAGCAATGATGCAAAGACATCGAAGCGAATTAGAATCACTTCGATCGTCATTGAAATTGGAACAGGAAATTTGGACGGAAAATCAACAGAGACAGTATAATATTAAATTTGAAATAGCAGAGTCGAAAATTAAGGACGAGAGTACTAAAGAAAGAGATCGACAAATTGAAATTGCGATTGAACGTTTGGAAAAGGAATCGAGAAATATGAAAATTAATTTTCAAAAAACATCTGAAAATAAATTAAGGTATTTTTCAATTTTTTTTTACATTTAGCAAAATAGAAAAATTAATTTTGTATAAAATAAACACATTTTTTTCAGATGTCTAACAGAAAAATACGAATCAGAGTTACAAATTGTCATTGATAATGAACAAGTTTTAAAAGCGAAATTATCATCCGCTCATGAAAGACTCGAAACTATTGAAACTCGCCTCGAAAAAACGGAAACAATTTTACAGCAACGAATTATGGATTTGCAAAATGCTCGAAAAGTAAAATTAGAATTTAAAATTACAAAAAAGCGCAGGAATTTCACATAAAAATCAATAATTAGAAATTTTTATTTCAAAGAATTTTATTAGAAATAAATTAATAGAATCTTTAAGACGTTGAATTTTCATTTGTCCGAAATTACAAAATGACCGAATAAACAATCGACAGAAAGAATTGGGCGCAATTTTCAAAAATTAACCAATTAGAAATTATCAAGAAACTCGTGATTGGTCAATTTTCAAAAATTGCGCCAAAATCTTTCTGTCGATTGTTTGTTCGGTTATTTTGTAATTTCGGACAAATGAAAATTTGGCGTCTTAAAAATTCGTATAAATAAAAGATTGGACAAATTAAAATTAGGTAGAATTTGTCATTTAAAAATTCGAATTACATAAAATTTAATGAAAAAATGAATTCTGCTAAATTAAAATTATAAAATGAAAATTTGTATTTTTTTTTAGTCATTGGAAACAGTATCAGTGGAAAGAGACAATGCTAAAAGAGTAGTGAGACAGGAAATTGAATCCGAGAAAAGGGAATTAGAGGATAAAATTGCGTCACTTTATCGAGAATTAACGGAAAATAATTCCAATAGAGAAACGCTGATGACACAATTATACAGCAGGTAATAAATTCAATTATATCAGGTAATTTAAATTAATATTTTTCAGTAATTTAACTAAAAAAAAAAAAACATTTAGGATAAAACTAATAGTAACTCAGAAGGATCTGTCGATAAAAAATCTTATACAAGAAACAACGGAAACGAAAAAGAAATGCGATCACTTAGAGAAACTTTTGGATCAACAACGACGTGATTATGTTCTGAAATCTTTGTAAATATTTCCTCATTTTTATGTACTACTTTATCAAATAAAAACTTAATAAAAAAAAAAAAAAACCAAGTATTTGTGATTTTTCTCGATTCAAATACAGGAAATTAAATTTTCAAAACGATATTTCATAAAATTCCTTGAAATTTCAAGGTTTTCAAAATTTTCCATGACAATTTCAGGTTTTCCAGGCTCACAATAAAAAAAAATTCTTTTAAAAGAATTTAACTTATTATTATTATTATTATTATTATTATTATTTGCATTCATAATGAGGCGACATTTCATTTTTTTTCTGTTAAGTGAATAAAACTTAACAGAAAAATGAGCAAGATAAAATCACACTTTTTTGACAATTTGTACAACGTCTTCGTCACACAAGACGTGATCTTTTCCGACTTTTTGCGGCTGATGTTTTACTGATGAACCCCAAACGAGAGCACTGTGAATAAATTTTATTAAATGTAGAAATATGAAAAAGAAAAAAAAAAAGAAAATATTTTTCAAAAAATAAACTCACTATTTAAATTCCTTTGCAATTGATCGATGAAGTTTATTGCAAAAATCTTCAACTGTTCTTCTGTCGGTATTCAAAACAACTGGTGAACTGTAATCTGGAAGTTGTCCTTTAGGTTTTGTGTAACTGAAAAATGTATTATTAATTGCGTAAAAAAATTAATAATTCTAAACAATGGAATTGTGAGGAAAAAAAAAATAGTTTATTAGAAAATTCAAACTCACATTCTAACAAGTTGCAAATAATCCCACATTTTTTCCAATAGATCATCAAAATTCCATTTGTGATGAGCGGAAATTGGAACACAATGCGGTATTTTGTAAATAACATCTAACTCCTCAATGCTAATTTGATCTAATAAAAAAATAAAGAAAGAAAAATTGCTAAATTATTTGAAAAATTAATTTTTTTCTATAAGTGAAAAAAATTACCTATTTTATTGAGTAAATAAATGCAAGGGACATAAACTCGATTTCCTTCAATAATATCGATTAAATCGTCAGAAGTTGCATCGTATCTCAAAGTAATGTCTGCATTGTGGATTTTATATTCAGAAAGAATTGATTTCACTGTGTCTTGATCTAATTCAGATTGTTGACACTAGAACGAAAATATCAATAAACAAAAATTAAGTACGAGGGGTTAATACCCAAATTTATTGTCGATTTGTATCAAAAATTTTTCTCGTGCTTTCTACCTCTAAAAATATTCAACCAACCAAAATTTTAAATTCTTATCCTAATTTTTTAATCTCCATTTAAAAAAATGTTTTTTTTTTTACTAAATTAAAGATTTCGAGAGTTCTTTACGAGATAAGGACTTAAAATTTTGACTGAGTATTTTTAGAGATAGAAACCACTAAAAAAAAAAATTGAGCCAACTCGACAACAAATTTGGATTTTAATCGTAAAATCCCTCCGTATTAAATTAAAAGAAAATAAAACTAATCTTCCTTTTTTCTAACTCTCACCATTGTTTGTAAATTAATTCCACCTTTATCTTTTTTTCTAAAAGTAATATTGGGTGGTTGTTTATTTAATCGAAGGCCAAAGCCTTCAAGTTCATGTTCAATGAGACGTTTATGGCCCAATGGCTTAAGAACGTCAAGAACAATAAAAATTAAACTGCAAGTTCTTGCCACAGCAATGACTTGTCTTCCTCTTCCTTTTCCATCTTTAGCACCTTCAATGATACCAGGAAGATCGAGTAACTGAAAAAAAAAAATATGTGAAGATGAGAAAGAAACAAAAATAATTATTTCATTTAAAACAATTATTTTAATTATATTGTAGTAAAAATATATTTTTTTTTTTGTTAAATTTTCACTGCGGTTGTAACATTAATTTTGATAAAAGGTCTCTCACATTTTACCTGAATTTTTGCTCCTTTATATTTAATGCATCCAGGAACAGTCGTGAGTGTTGTAAATTCATAGGCCGCAACTTCTGAATAAACTCCGGCCAATGTACTTAAAAGTGTTGATTTTCCAACAGAGGGAAAACCTAACAAGAATATTCACAAATTTATTAAATTTTATTTCATTTTATTATTATTCTTTAATTAAATTAAAAAATATTTTTATTTTCCTTTACTATAAAATAGACACAGTTAACGAAAAACAATTATTAATAAATACGAATTTTTTTTCTGTTTTTTTTTCTTTTATTGTTAAATATTAATTTTACTTAATAATATTTTTATAGCTACCGAATTTTTGGAATTTTTATTTTAGTCATTTAATTTACATTACTTTTAATTGAAGAGAATTTTAATTCAGGAAAATTTTTATTTAATCGAATTTTATTTGATTCGAATTATTAAATAAAAGAAATTCTAATTGACCTAATTTTAATTTGTACAAATTTTTATCTATAAAAATTTTTAATTAATAGAATTTTTAAGACGCCGAATTTTCATTTGTCCGAACTTTTATTTGTACGAATTTTCAATTTATAGAATTTCTAAGACGCCGAATTTTAATTTGTCCGTAATTACAAAATTACCGAACAAACAAACGACAGAAAGATTTTGGCGCAATTTTTGAAAATTGACCAATCACGATTTTTTTTTGATAATTTCTAATTGGTGAATTTTTAAAAATCGCGCCGAAATCTTTCTGTCGATAGTTTGTTCGGCCATTTGAAAATTCGGACAAATGAAAATTGTCGGTTAAGTAAAAATTCTGTAGTATGAAAAATCGATTATATGGAGATTATATCAAATAATAATTCGAACAAATGAAAATTCAATTCAATGAAATTCTACCCAATAAAAATTCTTTAAAATGCCTATTATGTTAAATGAAAATTCGAGCAAATAAAAATACTGACAAATAAAAAATCGAAGAAATAAAAATTCTGTGAGTTGAATTTTCCGTTATGAAGTCTGATTTAATCAATTTATTCGAATTAAAAATGTTGTCATAGTTTTTAGTTTTTATGGTTAAAAAAATTTCAAGCAATACTTAATCAAGTTTTACAGATTTTTAAATAAAAATTTTTTTAAAATAATTATTTTTGGAAGAGTTAAAGTTGAAATTTTTAGAAATAAGTAAATTTCAAAAGATTTTGTTAATTTTCAGACAATAATTAAATTTTACAGAATTAAAAATAATTTATCAAATAATTTTAAATATTTTTTAAAAGTAATTGAATTTTCAAAGATTTACAATTTAAATGTTTGAAATTTATTCAACTTCAAGTGATTTTTAATTAAAATTTTTTTTTATGATTTCACTAAAAAATTTATTAGAAATCGCATAAAAAAATTGAAATCCAAAAGTTTTTAATTGAAAAATGCTTTCAGATAATTGAATTTTCGAAGAATATTCTAATAATCATTAAAAATAATTGACACTTTTGCAAATAATTAAATTTCAAGTGATTTTGAATTAAAATTTTTGGTAATTTTATTTGCTAATTTTTTTTTAAATTATAAACAATTATTAAATTTTGTAAAAATTTAAATTGAAAAATAGTTTAAAATAATTGAATTTGCGAAGAATTTTATTAAAATTATTAAAAATAATTAATTTAGTGAAGAATTTTAGGTAAAAATTTGTTAAATAATTAAAATAAAGAAGATCTTAAGAAGAACTGCATTGTTTACTAAAAAAAGAACGTATTTTGTTTAAAAAATTTAAAAAAAAAAGTCGAAAAAGTCGTATAATCCGAGGCCTGCGAATATTTATTTTCAAGAATAATAAGGGTCTTTTAACACCGTAGAAACAATTTTGTCTAGCGTTGAGACTATATATTTTAAATAAAAAAACAATAAAAATTTGTAATCATACCTACAAAACCAATTCGAGCATCGCCAGTTTTGGCGACTTCGAAACCTGCCTCGCCACCCCCACCACCACCTTTTGGAGTAATAAGCTCTCTTCTTAATTTTGCCAATTTTGCTTTCAATAAACCTAAATGGCCTGAGGTGGCTTTATTTTTTTGCGTTCGGGCCATCTACAATGAGGGAATTGTTTTAAGAAAGAAATAAAAATTTACTAAATATGTTTGAAAAAAGCCGTAATAATTTATTTATTTCTATCTTTAATTTTTTTTTTAAATACATATTGATATAATTAGAGAGGTTACCTCGGCCTCGATTGCAGCGATTTTTTCCAAAATCGTACTCATTTTGAGGTGATGTTTTCACTCACAGGAAACAAAATCGACACTCACAAATTAATTCCAAATAAGACACAATTTTTAAAACAACATTGTAAAAATTGTTTTTCCTTGATCGACACGTGTTTTTTCGGTTGACGGTTCTAAAACAGCAACTGACGTGAAGTTTGCTTCAATTAGCCCTAATCAAGAGTACCAACTGTGATGGAACAAAAAATGGTTTATTTGAGTGGCAACTCGGTTGGCGCGAAAATTCAAATATTTCTACTGCTTCTATCTCTCTCTCTCCATTGTTTTATCACTTATCTCAATATAAATAAATTGTTAATTTATTATTTACTGAATTATTATTATTATTATTATTATTATTATTATTATTATTATTATTATTATTTTTAAGTGTCAGAATTTTAATATTTCATTGAATTCTTAAAACACCGAATTTTTTTTATTTGTCCGAAAATTGCAATTGACCGAAAAAAAACAATTCACAGAAAGATTTTGGCGCAATTTTTGAAAATTGACCAATTAAAAATTATCAAGAATATCGTGATTGGTCAACGTTCAAAAATTGCGCCGAAATCTTTCTGTCAATTTTTTTTCGGCCAATTGCAATTTTCGGACAAATAAAAATTCGGCTTTTTAAAAATTCGGACAAGTAAATATTCGGACAAATTTGAAATTCGGTGAATTGAAATTTTAGTCATTTTAAAATTCGAATCGCGCATAAAATTCGATTGAATCGGAATCTATTTTAAGATTCAAAATATGAATATCAAAGAATGGAATATGAAATGAATTATGAATACAAAATAGGGACATTACAAAGATAAGATAAAATAAAAAATGGACAGAGGTATTACATGAAATTTAATGAGAACATAAAAGAAAAATAATTAGGATAAGAATTTTTGAAGTGGCGATTTTTGAAGTTATTATTTATGGCAATATCATTTTTTGTTTTTACTAATAAATTAAAAGATTAAATAATAAATAAGGTAAATAAAATAAAATTAATATTTTATAAAATAAATTAATATTTACAAAATCCTCTCTATATTGTATAAGAAAAAAAATTGAACGTTTTTTTTTTAAAATGTTTATTTTCTACAAAAAGTAAAAAATAGTCACTAGTTAACAAATTGTAAAATTAAATATTTATCAACATTTTTCATATATAAACTATAATAATAAATTATTTAGAATTTCGAATATTTTCTTTTACATAACTTGTAACAAATACAATTTCCCCTCCATATCATTGTCAATTTTTCGTTGCATGAATTTAAAATTAATTAGCAGATAGTACTTAAGTGAATCAATCCACTCGTCAATATTATTTTTCACTGATGAATGAATGCCAATAATAATTTTCATTATTAATTCACGATAATCATCCGATTGTCGAAATGGTCTAATTCTTTCTCGTAGATTGACATTTATAAATTCCCATAGAAAGTCAACAGTTTCAGAAATAGCATTACTTTTTAAATATTTCTTACATTTTTTAAATAAACCTTTATTAATTTTTCTCACCAATTTAATGCTAATCAATAGTAATTTACCAAAAATTACATCTGGATTATCAATTTCGCAAATATGATTTAAAAATGATGAAAATAAAGTTAAACTCAATTTTGAATTGGTAAATTCCTCTTTATAACGTGACAAGAAATTTTTCAATACTTTTTCAAAAATATTGTTACTTATACTATTATTTGTTGTTAATGCAACATTAATAGGTCTAACTCCATTTTTTTGTTCCTTCAATTTTTTAACAAAATCCAAAGGTGTCATTAATTGTTTTCCATCAATGACAATTAATCCATCGGTCAATGAAACTTCAATTCCTTTAATTATAAAGTCGTCTTTGATAATTGAACACGATAGCAAATTTTTATTACTTATTTTAATAGTCGATCGAATTATTTGTTCCGGTGAATTATGAAGGGATGTACTGTTTTTTACCATTCGTAAAAATTCTTTTCTATGTCGATTTTTTCTCAAACTATTCTCAAAATCTTGAATAAATTCTGTTTGATTTTTCTTTAAGATACTATTGGCAAATTGTAAATCAACTGTTGAATTTGTAAATAATAATAATTTCGAAACAAGATTTAGAGTGTCTTGTGCTGAAACATAATGTTTATGACGAGAATCGTAAATGTTGTTAATTATAAAACCAACATTAACTCCACTAGCGGCAATTGATCCAATTTGTGCCGAACTGTGAACTATTTTTGCAGCAGTACTTAAAGTAGTATTTTTAATTGCATTTGATAGTAACATAGAACCGCCACTTGTTGCCACTGTTAAAATACTATTCGCTAATCCAAACCATCGTAGAAATCCCTCCTTGTCTTTCATGCTAATTGATTGTTCGTGAATATGACGATCTGCTATTTTGTGAGAATTCCTTCCCATTGACCACAATCCACTTAATCCCATTCCTACTGCTCCTGAAAGTAATTTTTTTTTATATACTTTTGATTTAAAAAAAACCTTTTCAGCGCGGGCCAACGCAGAATGAAATCTCTAATCGTAAATCTTAAGCTTTTACATGAGAGAGAAAAGGACAAAAGATATGCCTATCCTTTTCTCTCTCATGTAAAAGCTTAAGATTTACGATTAGAGATTTCATTCTGCTTAGGCCTAGTAAAATGAGTGAATCCCCGAAAGTATAATCGCCAAAATATCCCCACTCACCATTTGTCATAATTCTCGTCAACTACCGCACCCTGTTCTAGTAAAAATTTAGTAACTTTATAGTAACTTTTAATTTTAACAATGAACTCACTAAATTTTCACTAGAGCAAGGTGCTGTAGTTGACGAGAATTATGACAAATGACGAGTGGGGACAATGAAAACCAACCTTATACATAACTTAAGGCTGCGTCCACAATGTATTTAATACAAAAAAATTTGTATGTATTTGTATTAATTTCTATTAATACTTTACGCCTCCATGTAAATAATTAACTGAATCAAATATTTATGATTTTTTGATACAAATAAAAATTATTTGTTACAATATTTAATTCTTAGAAATTAATGTCAATTATGAAGAATATTAATTTGTAATTTTCATTTACATAAAACTTTTTAATAACAAAAACATGAAATTTTTCTTCATAAGTTAAATCAATCTATAAAAAATTTGAATGAAAGAAATAATTAAATTAAATAATTTCTGATTTAAGTCAAATTTCGATTTATATGAAAAAAAATTGTTTTGATGCAAAAAAATTGTGTATTCGGATCGAATACCATTTTCCGCAATTAAAGACGTTTTAGTTTCAATTAAAACAATAACTCATGTTGACTAATTAAATATTTGGTTCAAGAAAATTTTTTGGTTATTTCAAAATTTGAATTAAAGAAACATGTGAAATTTTCATAATTGATTTAAAGCAATATTATTTATTATTTTGTAATATTCCATATATTTTATTTAAATAATTTTTATTTGATATACAAATTACTGTTTATTTGATACGATAAAATAAAATACTTAGATCAGGTAAATATTTATTTGGTTCAAATATGCATATTTACTGAATAATAGACAAGTAAATTATTTACTTGGATCAAGTAATTTTTATTTGTGTATTATTCTATTTAAAAATTTTGAAGTTACCTACATGAATATTAATATTGAATTGAAATTAAATAATTAATAATTAATTTTAGATTAAAATTACCTAAAGCCATAACAGTGCCACCAACAGGATTAAAAGTAGCTGCAAGTCCAACTCCAGCACAACCCAAACCAACAAATCTATTAATCTTATCAATATTATTAATTATCTTTGCATTACACGATGGCGATTTATACATTTCAATAGAAACATAGGAAATTTTTTCCGACCATTGATCTCTATAATCACCTTGATATTCGCCTAATTTTGGCACCACCATAAAACACTGTGGCAAATTATTATAATTTAAATAATCCTTCCAACTTTTGTAAACTCGTTCACAATCGTCAATATAGTAGGTCTCTAATTTTGTCGTCACTATATTTCCATTTTCAGTTTGTTTAACAATATTTTTTAAAACTTTAAATATTGGTATTGGTTGTAAACATTTATTAACATGTTCATCACTAAAATATTTACAACATTCCGTTGATGTATCAAATATCACATTATAAATTAATCCACACATTATTTCTTTTTCACGTGTATTTTGAATTCCATGGCGTACAATTTTTTCATATATCTTGTCAATTATTTGTCGTTGTTGTGTATCGTGAAAAAAAAATTCATCATTTAAATGTTTTTCAAAAAAACATGTTGCATCAATTGTTAATTGATTAATTTGCGGTGGACCAAAAAGTGCAGTGCCAATAAAATTTTTTAAATGATATGGTTTCTTTTGATCGTAAATATTCCAGTCGCTGAGTAATTCATAAAAATTTTGCTGACAATTTCTAGCTGCTTTTACCAATTTTTCCTAATGATGAATAATATATAATTATTTTTTAACTAAATATTTATATAATTAACAGAGTAAAAAAGTTACTGTTAAACATAATATTAATTCATCTTATTCAAATTGATATATTTTAAAACTGTAATTTTGTAAACTAATATAAATATGAAACTAGATAAAAACTAATACTAATATTAGATAAAAAAATTTACAATTTTAATTATTGTATACATACTTTTGTATCTTTTAGTGGAGTCATATTAATTATTATTTTAATAAGATTGAAGACACTATTTTGATTTTAAATCACTGAGTTACTATTACAGTTATATTAGAATTATACGAAGCGAAAAGCAGAAATTAATATTTTCAAGGACACAATCTATTGACAATCGAACCCAAGACTTAATTGTTTAGAACATGCTTGGAGCAGTAAAAGTTATTTTACTATATATAACTCTTAAAAATCTAATTCATTTTATATTAATTTTTATATAATTTAATTTATTTTTATATAATTTTCATGCTTTATCTTTACTTAAGTAATTTCATTAGACATTAAAATAAACTTTAGTCAAAGTTTAAAATGACTATAGCCGATTATCTATTTTCACGTCGAGAACAGACGTAACTTTAGCCAATTGTCTATCGTCACGCCGAGAACAGGCGTGACTTAAGTCAAACGCCTATTTTCACGCTGTAAAAAGACGTGACTTTAGCGGAATGTCTATATTCACGCCCTCAATTGATGTGACTTTAGTGTAATGTCTATTTTCACGCCGTAAAAAGACGTAATTTAAGCAATGACTATATTTACGCTGTGAAATAACGTGATTTTAGCCAAATGACTTTTCACGCCTTGAAAAGACGTTACTTTAGTCAAATGCCTATATTTACGCTGTCAATTAACGTGACTTTTAGTCAATTGTCTATTTTCACGTCGTGAAAAGAACGTGACTTTAGCCAATTGTTTATTTTCACCCCGTAAAAAGACGTGAAGTTAGACCATTGTCTATTTTCACGCCGAGAACAGACGTGATTTTAGCCAATTGTCTTACTCTTGATCTGAAATGACACATATGGAGACAGTGACTAAATCTTTTTATAATGTATAGATAGATAAATATTGCGTGAATTGACAAAATGAATATAAGTGTTCAATATTGTGTTTTAAAAACACTTGTTCGGAACAATTATTATCGTTCTCTATCTCAGTTCTATAATATTAATGATAATTCTTTTGGATTTAATGAACAACAAAAAGAGGTATTTTCTTATTCTTATTAAATAATGTATTATGTATAACCATTTTATATAAATTAAGATAGTTTAAAAGATTATAAAAGTTAAATTGGATATAGTTCCGAATAGCACATACCTCCGATTTCAATAAAACTTAGTATCCCTACGTAATTTGGTGCGCTGATTACCAAAATCATAGTGAAAATTGGCGGAAATTTAATTATCATGGTAAAAACCATAAAAAACACCATAAAATCATGGTTTTTTTCGATTATCTCGTAAAAAACAAAAAACTTCGAAAAAAGTTTTAGACGAAAGTTGTAGATCTCTAAAAAACACACATTTCATGTTTTATGCATTTTTTACCAAAAGTCATTATTTTTCGAGAAAAACGCAAAATAGTAAACACGGCCTTCGGCCGCGTAAGGTACTGCTCGCTTCTCTTTTTAAGAAATCTTGGCGAGAGGGGGTGGATGTGTCCGAAAGTAATTTGCAGAAATTGTGGGGTGGAGTCTACAGCATCGGTAAACGCAAAATAGTAAACACGGCCTTCGGCCGCGTAAGGTACTGCTCGCTTTTCTTTTTAAAAAAACCTTGGCGAGAGGGGGTGGATATGGCCGAAAGTATTTTGCGGAATTCGTTGGATCCTGAGTAATGGTGAATATGATAATTTCTGCAAATTACTTTCGGACACATCCACCCCCTCTCGCCAAGATTTCTTAAAAAGAGAAGCGAGCAGTACCTTACGCGGCCGAAGGCCGTGTTTACTATTTTGCGTTTTTCTCGAAAAATAATGACTTTTGGTAAAAAATGCATAAAACATGAAATGTGTGTTTTTTAGAGATCTACAACTTTCGTCTAAAACTTTTTTCGAAGTTTTTTGTTTTTTACGAGATAATCGAAAAAAACCATGATTTTATGGTGTTTTTTATGGTTTTTACCATGATAATTAAATTTCCGCCAATTTTCACTATGATTTTCGTAATCAGCGCACCAAATTACGTAGGGATACCAAGTTTTATCGAAATCAGAGGTATGTGCTATTCGGAACTGCACCCGTTAAATTAAAATATTATATAATATATGTAGTTTAAAAAAATATAAATTATTATAATTATTGTATTGAATTTTTTACTTTCTTAAAATCTAAGAAAATAAATTTTACATCTATTTTTGAAATGCATATACGCATTTACTTTGTACAGTTGCGCAACTTGGCTTTTAATTTTGCGCAAAAGGAACTCGCCCCAAAAGCTTCAAAAATTGACAAAACAGATCATTTTGATAATTTGAGGGTATGTAATTATTAAAATAATTCAAACTTAACTATATAAGAAGGAAAAAAAAAATTATGAATGCTTGTTAATTTTTAAAAGTCATTTTGGAAGAAAATGGGTGAATTGGGGTTTCATGGAATAACTGCAAAATCAGAATATGGCGGGACTGGAGGAACTTATTTAGATCATGTTATTATAGCAGAAGAAATTAGTAGAGCTTCTGGTGCTATAGGACTTAGTTATGTCATTCATTCGAATGTGTGTTTAAATCAAATTCACAGACACGGCACTGAGGAGCAAAAACACTATTATTTACCAAAGGTAATGGAGACAAAAATTTTAATTAGTTATACAATTTAGAAATAATAAGTCTCATAAAAATTCAAGTTAAAATAGCATCACGTGGTTAATTAATTGAATTAAATTCTTTATAATTTTTATTTACCGTACATTAAAAATGTTATGTTTTTTTTAGTGTTTTTGAATATTTTACTCTCTTCTAAAGCTTTGTAGTGGTGAACATGTGGGAGCTTTGGCAATGTCGGAAGCGGGTTCAGGTTCAGATGTCGTTTCAATGAAATTAAAGGCAGAGAAAAAGGGCGATTACTACATTTTAAATGGAACCAAATTTTGGATTACAAATGGACCAGACGCTGACACTTTAGTTGTTTATGCAAAAACAGACCTGAATTGTGCAAAACCGCAACATGGAATTACGAGTTTTATTGTAGAAAAAGGAACTCCCGGTTTTAGCACTGGACAAAAACTCGATAAATTTGGAATGAGGGGTTCAAATACATCGGAATTAATATTCGAAAACTGTAAAATTCCTGGTATATAAATCCTTTAAATATTTAAAGAATTTTATTTCAATTGTAGTAACAGATATACTATAATTAATTAAATGTTTCAATTTCATCACAGATAATTAAAAGGCATTAAAATAAGCTGCAATGCTTATTATTTTAATCCAATTTTGCTTATTTTAATCCATTTTGGTATGAAAATAAGCAAAATTGGATTAAAATAATAAGCGTTGCTGCTTATTTTAATGCCTTTTAATTTTCTGTGTTTATATGAAAAATGTAAAATTTAATTCACCAAAAAAAAATTTAAACCCATATTTCAGCTAAAAATATTTTGGGCAAATTAAATCAAGGTGTTTATGTATTAATGAGTGGTTTGGATTTGGAACGACTTGTTGCATCAGCAATTAGTATTGGGTGATTTTGCAATCTATATATATTTGTAATTTTTTTTATTAAATAAGTATAATTAAACGAAAATTTTTCTTCTAGAATTATGCAGGCATGTTGTGATGTTGCTTTTAAATACGCACACGAACGGGAACAATTTAATAAACCAATCGCTCATTTTCAGATGATGCAGGTATATACAACTATATTCAAATTAAATAAAAGCTAAAATTTCTTTTCTGCAAAGAATTTTTTTTTTAATTTTAATTTTATAACGATAATAAAAAAATAATATTTTTAAAAATTGAATATATTTAGGAAAAACTTGCCAATATGCATATGGCTCTGTCTACCAGTAAAGGTTACACATATTCCATTGCAAAGGCATGTGATGCTGGTTATGTTGATCGTAAAGATTGCGCGGCAGTTATCACTTATGGAGCTGAAGCATCAGTGAAAGTAGCTCTCGATGCTATACAAATTTTAGGTAGTTTGAAATTTTTTTTCAAAATAGAAGCGATTTTTTTTTTGAATTAGTAAATTAATGGAGGGCATAATCACAAAAGTGATAAATTTTTAAATAATTTAACGCAAACAAAATTATTTTGTTAACGTGTACCATTCCTTAAAAATTAAAGAGGAAAACAGAATCTTTTGTAAAAAAATTTTCTAGGTGGCAATGGATATATAAATGATTATCCAGTTGGCCGCTTTTTGAGAGATGCCAAATTGGGAGAAATTGGCGCTGGTACTTCACAGATACGAAGAATGGTTATTGGTCGAGCAATAGCTGAAGACTATTCATAGTATGCAGTAAAATTTAGAATAAATAATGGATCTAGTTTTTTTATGTACAAAACAACAATCTTAAAATTGTTCTATTCAGAAATTTTTCATTTTTAATATATGATTCTGAAAAGAGATTTTTTTTTTAAACAAATTATCCTTTTTGGTAATTATTAAGTATTTTTAATATTAGAAATTTTCCAATTTCTCACAGAAAATTAAACGGCATTAAAATAAGCTGCAACGCTTATTATTTTAATCCAATTTTTCTTATTTTAATCCATTTTGGTATTAAAATAAGCAAAATTAGATTAAAATAATAAGCGTTGCAGCTTATTTTAATACCTTATAATTTTCTGTGCTAACATTAATTTGTGTATCTAATATCTATCGATGATTACAATATTTACACATTTGTATTTGACATTTATTAATGTCATACTTGATAATTTTTATTAATTTTACAAAATTTTTAATTAAATAATAACCATTTGTTAAAATAACTATTTTTCATTTATACATACAAAAAAATGCGTACTTTATATTTGGGTCAATCCATTATATTTCGAATGAAGTCGTCGCTGACTAATTTTTAAAAATTATAATACTTTGCAGGAATGATTTTGAAGTTATCAAGATCACGAAATGAAAAGAATTTTAATAAAATTTTAATTATTTATTGCAAAATATGAATTTAAAGTATATAAGGTGCTGAAAACTGTCAATTTTTTAGCCATTAGAAAATATGCAAAAATACGTAGAATTTACCATAAAAATAAAAAATTTTTTTTGTAATTTACTAAGAATGAATAAATTTATCATTATTTATTGATGTAATTATTTAAATATGTGAAATAATATATAAAATATGATTTTCAAGTTCGCCTGTCAAATAACCTAAATTTGCAAATTTCATCTATTAAATGTGAGAAAGAGAAGTCATTAAATTGAAAAAAACCTTACCAAATATAAAGTACCTGTGACTAATTTTTAGTTTTTCTTAGCACTTTTTTCCTTTTTTCTTCATAAATGTGAAATAAAAAGCAATAAAAATTGGCACTTTGCTTATTTTCACTATTTTCAAATGTAAATAACTTTCTTGGAGAAAACTGAAAAATTACAAAACTTGGGCAATATCTAATTGATCACTAAATACACACACTGGAAAAAAATTCGCTTTGGTCCCGAAGATACTTTTTAAGATAATTAAGTTTAAACTTTTCACAATTTTTATGAGGTTAATGCATGTGATTTTTATAAAATTGAAGTTAGTTCAAAATATTTAACCAATAAAACCTAACTTCGTCCTTAAAAAACTACATGTATTAACCTGATAAAAATTGTGAAAAGTTTAAACTTAATTATCTCAAAAAGTATCTTCGGGACCAAAGCGAATTTTTTTCCAGTGTGTGTAGTTAGTGATCAATTAGATATTGCCCAAGTTTTGTAATTTTTCAGTTTTCTCCAAGAAAGTTATTTACATTTGAAAATAGTGAAAATAAGCAAAGTGCCAATTTTTATTGCTTTTTATTTCACATTTATGAAGAAAAAAGGAAAAAAGTGCTAAGAAAAACTAAAAGTTAGTCACAGGTACTTTATATTTGGTAAGGTTTTTTTCAATTTAATGACTTCTCTTTCTCACATTTAATAGATGAATTTTGCAAATTTAGGTTATTTGACAGGCGAACTTGAAAATCATATTTTATATATTATTTCACATATTTAAATAATTACATCAATTGATAATGATAAATTTATTCATTCTTAGTAAATTACAAAAAAAAATTTTTATTTTTATGGTAAATTCTACGTATTTTTGCATATTTTCTAATGGCTAAAAAATAGACAGTTTTCAGCACCTCATATACTTTAAATTCATATTTTGCAATAAATAATTAAAATTTTATTAAAATTCTTTTTATTTCGTGATCTTGATAACTTCAAAATCATTCCTGCAAAGTATTATAATTTTTAAAAATTAGTCAGCGACGACTTCAGTCGAAATATAATGGATTGACCCATTTATTTTATAATTTTCATATAAGTATGTCGAAACCTATACCTATAGGCATTTTATGTCAATTATTTATTAATAGATTAATATTTAAGCATTTATAAAATTTAAAATATAAAATAAAAAAAAATTAACACGCATAAATTTCGATAAAAAGCTTCAAAGAAAAGAATTTTTTTCTTGTATTTTAAATAGATAAATAAAACCTTGTGGAAATTGTAAATTATTCAATTTTCTTATCAGTGAAAATTTGTATATAAACGTCTTAAAGGTTTAGATAATTTTCAAATCAAACAATGAATTTTGAAACAAAGTTCCTTGGGTCACTCCTGTTGGTAGTGGCTATTGCCACTTCTAATTTTGGTCAAACTACTTTTAGGACAACACAACTCAATACCATCGTAAGTTTGTTTTCAACATTTTTGTCTTCTCTATTAATGAATAGAAATAAAATACACTGTTAAAAATGTTTCAAAAATTCATTTACAACTTTACACCAAGTGTACAGTTGTACGGACTCGGTGTTAAAATTTGGTACGAAATTGCATGAACAACCTCATTTTGCACCGAGTCCAGTGTAAATTTAAGAAATTGTTATCGAGTTTTAGAAAAATTACTTCTATTAACCTGGAAATGAAGGAATATTTTTTAAATAATATTATCAGCTAAACTCTAACGTTCTCCATCGCAAAAATTTATTTGAGTGTTTATTTAGTAGTAATTTAAATATTGCCCAAGTTTGGAATTTTTCCAGTCAGCTCCTTCACTTTAAATTCTTATTTTAAGAAAAATAATAGAAATTTTAACACGCAGTTTCTTTTATTTCGTTTTCAAAATATCATAGGTATAAAGTCATTTCTGAAAGTACCAATTTAAAAAAAATTATGCCGTAATGACTCAGTAAGATATAATAAACTGACCCCATAATAATAATATATAATTTTTTAAAATTAATATACCATATAATGCATTTATTTTTATTTCATGATTTTATGATCTCTACAATTTCATCATTAAATTAATATTAAATTAAATAATTAATAAAGTAATAAAAATAAAATTATTTTAATTTATTTTTAAATTTTGTGTACTTTTTTAATAACTATTAAAAAATATTTCGACGCTCCCGACGATAAACTATTTATTCGAACTTCAGTGCAATTACAATATAATCCTTATTTAAATAATTATTTTAAAAAGTTTAAAAAATGTTATTAATAATTAAAATACAAAGTTTAATATTTGCTTTCAAAATTTTTCTTTATTTAAATAATTGATTTACTTACATTATTAAATTATATTGTGAAATTATTTATATAAGAATTTGAATAAAAATAAAAATTAGGTTAACCTTTTATAGAATTCAATTAGAATTGATATCATACGTCCAAAGCAAATGAATGGACATAATTTTGCACAATTTTCTGAACTAACATTTTATTGCACTACAGTTTCGAATAATCGTCGGAGAGCGTCGATGTATCCTGTGAAAAGAAAACAAAAAGATTTTGTATATAATCTAAAATGCACGCAATAAATGTCAAAGTCTATATTACAACTTTATAGTGTTAAAGACTAACACGTGATTCGAATCACACTTAAAAAATGTTTTGTAAAAAACTTACACTTTCAAGGATGCTAAACTGAAAATTTTCACCTTGTGGTGTGAAATCAGATTTCATTTTTAACAGTGTAGAATTAGAAATTAAAATAAAAATCTTTTTTTTATTTTAGATCTGCAATGAATCCCAAACTAAAGAATTTATTTCAATTATGAATATAACAAATATAACAATAAATGAAATTCCTCGGGATAAAAATTTGGTGGTTTTAACTGACTCTACAGATATATATTCGACATACAAAGAAAAATTAATTGAAGAAGAAGCAACGTTCATACCATTTTATGGAACAATAGACGTGCAAACAATATTTAGAATAGCAGTTATTTTCCATTCAACAAAAGAAAAAATTAAATTTATTATTCATGGCAATAGTTCTGAAAATGCTGCAAATATTTTTGAGAATTTGGTCAATTTTATCGATATCTCTGATTTAAAAGATAATATTGCTGTTGCATTGACGATTCCCAATGTTGAAGGTAACATTATGACCAACGGTACTTTTTCTACATGGGAAATAAATAATGGTAATAAAATTACTAAATTTACTTTTAGTCAAAAGATTCAAAAGCAATGTAATTGTGCAATGCAATATGTGAACCAACAAGTTTCCTTAGATATGAAAAAAGTTGTTGAAGAATTAGAAAATAAAAGTTATGAACAAGATACTGTGGCAAGAATGTACAATTGTCTCTGGTCTTTCGCTAGATCGAATCATAATAATGTTAATAATTATATTCTAAATTTTCGAAAATGTTTCAATGTTATTCAATTCCCAAAAACACATGCTTTGGTACAAAATGAATATTTAATAAAATTGATATTATTTACTGAATGTTTTCAATTTCAAGAAGCTAGTGTCGCCTGGTCTGAGCCATTAAGAAATTTTCAGCTACAACGTTTGGGAAACTTAAATGATTGGTACCCGAAAACTAATAATGGTTTGCTAATTCGAAGAAAAGTAAATCAGAGTTGTAATGCTATGAGAAAAGACTTCAAATTGAATGCGAGGGGAAATTTTGTTAAACTAAGCGATCTCGATTTCAAGCAATGTGATAAAGAACCTAAAGTAATTGAAATATTTGGATTGAAAAAAGTTATAATTGATAAGGATATGGATTTTACTGGGAAGGATGTTCAAATGATAATCATAGCACCCATATGGGAAGTAATTTCGTCTTCGAATAATGGAACAACTGAGCGTAGAGTAATTAATTTAAATGGTAGAAACGGTACGAATTTTGATAAAGAAAGAGCGGATGATGGCAATCGAGATGGAAATAAAAATGGTGCTAATGGTTTAGCTGGGAAGCCAGGAGGACCTGCTGGAAGCTTTTACGGAATCACAAACAAAATTATAAATGCAGAACAATTAACTATTTTGGCAAATGGAGGAAGAGGAGGAAATGGACAAAGTGGTGGACACGGGGCTGTCGGTGCCGATGGATTATCTTATAACGGAGCACCTGCAATAGTTTGTGGAGAAAAACTTGCAGGATGGCATACTAGCAGAGGAATGTACGGAATGACAGAATATGGTACAGAAGCAACTTATCATTTTGATGCCATATATGGTAAGTCTGGATCTATTGGCGGAAGCGGAGGTAATGGAGGTATTGGCGGAATTGGCGGGAAAAAAGGCAGTGTTTATATTTTCCAATTAAAAAATAATACAGATAGGTACGAATCATTTACAGTAGATGGTGAAGCAGGGTCATCAGGTAAAGGTGGAAAGGCTGCTTTGGGTGGTAAAGAAGGTAATATGGTCATTGCATGTGAATGCTGTATTTGGTGGTGTAGTGGCTGTGAAAAATACACAGTGATAGGACCTTTCAATAAAGTAGCTAAAATGGGTTCTGAAGGGAAGTCAGGCATCAGTCTGAAGAGGAAAATAGATGCAGAGAATTCACATACTGAAAATAGTCTTCCAAATTCATTGAATAGATATAAAATGTTCATTAGAACCTATCTAACAAAATTTCCTTTCAGACAAATACTATGGTCCTTTTATAATGATATAAATACATATATGTTTAGGTATGATACATTGAGTTTAGTTGAAGATTATATAGGATTAGAGAAACAATTTTTTTCTTTAAATCACTTTAACTTTACATCTTCATATCAACAATTTAAGAATCGAATTGACATGTATGTCCTAAATCCTAAAGAACAAGAAAAAACTGCAGAATACAAAAAAATTATCGAAGAATTAAAAAATGATGCCGAAAGTAAGTTGTATTTTTTAAAATGTTTTTTGTTACATAAAAAATAGTTTTTAATTAAATTTATTTTCAGAACGTCTTAAATCTGTCTTATCACATCGTTTCTATTATGATGTCACTCCAGACCCAATTGAAGAAGCAAAGAATTCTTTCAAGCCACTGATAATTCAATTAGAAAATTTTAGAAGTACTAACATTATTTTACATCTTCTCAAACAACATATTTTTTCACTGGAAGATACGATGGCAGAAGGTCAAAGATTAATTGAAACATTGGCAAAAGATGCTATCTGGGATACAGAAGACATGTTAGATCAAGAATTGGATTCTGTACTTACAGAAATTTTAGAGATGAAGCAGCATGAACTTTACAATCAAGATAAACTGAAAGAAAGTCGTGAGAAATTAGGAAAAATTATAAGCCTTAGAAGAATGTTTGGAATTTTGAAAGTTGGTTGTGCAGCATTAGGAATTATAAATCCTTTTTTAGGAACAGCGGCTATAGCTGCTATTGGAGTTGTCGACGCATTTACAACTGATGGAGACGAAGCACAAGTAACCGCCATACCAAAATATTTCGAGAATGTGGTTAAAGAGTCCGATAATTACTTTAAAAACATGAAGACTGAACAAAATAATATCATTGAAGAACAGGAAAAATTTGTGAAGGCAAAAATTAAGGAAACTACAACAGTCGTTGGTGCTGCTGTGATCTCTGATGTTTGGGAATCATCAAGCAAATATAGAAACATAGGTTATGGAACACTGCAAATTGAGGAATTAAAAAATTCCCGATACGCTATGCAGGAAGTCTACGCTCGTAAAGAAACTCAATTAACAATAGAATTAGAAAATTTAAAAAAACCAAATGAAAAACAGGATATAAATGGTATAAAAGCTCTTGAAACTGGATTAGATGTAACTAAATATTTAAAAGTAACATCTATGATTTCCGCAGGTATATCGGAAAGCGTTGTTAGTATTATGAGAAATAATAAAAAAGTTAATGAAATTGATGCAGCACTAACCAAAAGTTATGATACTTGGAAAGAACTTAATTCATTAGAGAACAATATTTATGACAAAATTAATCCACTGTTTACTAACATGAAGACAAATTTAGATAGTGTGCAGAGTGATCTGGAAAATATGAATGAAATTCAACAAGAAATTGCAAAATGGAATGTTACCGGCACAATTAAGGGCATACAGCATATTTTAAATAGTGTGACTAAAAACTTTAAAGTAAATGAGAACATGAATTTTGTGTTCAATAAACTCATTGCAGATTTTGACACACTTTTTAATTTACACACATTATTGTTGGATGGCAAGAAGGAAAAATTAGATAAAATCTATCTTACTAATATTCTCATTGCACATTCTAATCATGGTAATAATTTATTAATTAGTGATTCTGAATTGCGAAATGCGATATCAGAATTGCAGATTCTTAGAACAACGAATCAATTAGCTGAAAAATATGATAAATGGCTTTTTGCGTTGAAACAGTATGCTTTCCCTTATAGTGGAGAAATACTTGATTCATTACCCGATTTGAGTGAATTTACAAACGAAAGTATGACTAATTTTGGAAATTTTATAATTAAAAATAAAGATTTCATAATAGCAAATTCTGCATTTGCTAAAACTACAGATAATAAAATGACAACAGTTTTCAGAGGTTCTAACTTTCCACATGACATATCAAGATTTTCTTTCTACATTTGGAAAAATGATGAGAATAAACAAGAGATAAAAGATATTTTAAATGGTGGAGAAACAACTTTGGTTGCAGATATCAATAACTTTAATTTGTCTTACGATAGCGTAAAGTTTAATCGTATTAAAATATTATTTACTGCTAATAATGCAAATATGCAAGAGGAATTAAATGAAGAGCTGAAGAATTTTGATGTAAAGCTCACGCATCATGGGGATTCAAAGTATAGATATGGTAGTTCCATTTATGATATTAGAAATAATCCAACACTTTTTTGGTTCGCTTATGCGGCAAACAATAATGAACGGGAATCACAACTTGTTTCGAGATTCGCTAATGCTCCCTACATGTTAAGTCCATATGCAACATGGTCTATTGAACTTTCGCCAATACATCCATCGCGTAACTTTACATTTTTACAGAAATTCGCTGATATTGTTAGTCTAGAACTTATAGGAAATGCTGAATATTTGAAAAATTCTACATGTGACTCAACATGTGAAGTAAAAATGAAAAAATTTTATACACTTGCAACTGATTTAGCAAAAAATTAATAATTTACATATTTGTGAAGTTTTATTGTAATTAAAAAAAAATTATATTTACCTTCTAAAAAATTTTAACAAGAAAAATCTAGTTTAGTGTTAGATATGTAACAACAACTAAATCTTGTTTTAATTTTATATCATAATCTTGAAAAACCTGATTTTAATATAAGGATTTCCGAAATTTTTAACTCAAAATTCAATTCTAATAATGTCAATTTTTTATATGACTTACTCGTTTACGTCATAGTCGTTAAATAATAATTATTGTATTTACATTCTGTCTATTTAAATAATAAAAATAATTTGTTGAAAAAGGTAAAATTTATTAATTTCTATATATATATATTTACTTTATCAAGAAAATTTGTGCTTTTATAGTTATTTGCATATGTCTAAATATTGACATTTTACGTCAATCTGCTTATAAATTCTATATATTTATATATTTTAATTTAAAATAAATGATATACGAATCGATTAACACATAATATAAATTCCATACCCTAAAATCAATAAATTAAATAAATTTTTGAAAAAAATCATTTTTTGTATTTTTTGAAATAACTTTTTCCTATTATATAAATTTTAATTAATTCTTGTCAAAATTATATTCCTGGCATCAAAACGAATCGATTGATTTATATTGTATCGCATAAGTATCGCATAAAAAATAAATTATTTCAAAAAAATTTCACCTATTAGTTATAGGAACGTGCGACAGAAAATTATTATTAAAAAAAATGTATGATGAATATGATAGGACTCAATGAAGCGCACTTTTTTGATAATAGAAATACTAGAAAGATGGAGAGAGAAAGAGTAAGCAAGAATGGGAGATTGTGAAAAGGAGGGGGAATCTGAATAGCGGGAGATTAGCATTAGTCTCCGTTCCACACAGCCATGTGGCCAAGTTGATGGATATACTGTTAAAAAATCTTTTTCTCATTTTAAAACTTGTTTTCATTATAGAAAGTTTAGAAAAACTAAAATACAATTTAAATCACAAGTGTTGAGTAATAAAAAAATATATTTTTTTTGAAATACTTAGTGAAAAATATTGAATTTTAATTGTAATTGATGTTTTTTTTATTACTGATTATTCTGATAATAGAGTGATTCGACAAAAATGAGTTTACGTGTTCAATCTGGAGTATTAAAAACAATTGTTCGGAGGAATGTTCGTTCATTATCTCAGTTTTACAGCATGTAACAGTGACCTAATATTCTAGTTAGATTTCTACAAAAAAACATATTATTTCATAAGCCACAGGTGCAATGCAATGCCACAGGTGCAACGCATTGCCTAAATAATGTTAAGATATCAATTTAACCCATATTGATAAGATAATAATGTTGAAACCTTAACCCTATATAATGTGCCCTTTACACACTAAAAAAGAAATCTTGATTTCAGCCTATTTTTGAGGCTGAATTTAAGGTGTAAACGGTTTAAGACTTTGTTTTTACTGTGTACCATCGAAGATTTAGATATTCTCCAACCTTTAAACTAAGAACAATTATATTAAATTTGTGAAGTCTTGAAGTAAAATAAAAGTATACCTAAACTTATTATTTATTCTTTATTTTTCCCGTGACAAGCATCAATGATAATGCATTTAGATTTAATGAACAACAAAAGGAGGTCTGTTATATTTAAAATCAAAAACTATTTTTTTTAAATTAGAAATAAAATAAAGAAATCAAAATACGTGAAATGTAACTAACAACTTTTAACCAGGTGTTAATTTTATTTATAACTTAAAATGTTTTTAATAAAATTTCGCTGGTTACACTGAAAATAAAATTTATTTTATTCAAATAATCGGTTACTTGGCTATTATCAAATAAATATTTATTTGTATCAGAAAATTATTGAGTCAATTAAATGATATTTTTTTACAAATATAGAAATTATTGGTACAAATACAGTTTATTTAATTCAAATAAAAGTTATTTGATGAAAGTAAATATTTATTTAATAGTCAAGTATCCAATTATTTGAATCAAATAAATTTTGTTTTCAGTTATTTTTACTTAAATTTGTTAAAACTGATTTATTGGGAGTCGATAAAACAGATTTAATTGACGTAAAAATTCACTGATTCAAAAAAAAAATAATTTTTATAACTTCTAAAAATTTGTTAAAATTCGAATCACGCATAAAATTCGATTGAATGGGAATCTATTTTAAGGTTCAAAATATGAATATCAATGAAAAGAATATGAAATGAATTATGAATACAAAATAGGGACATTACAAAGATAAGATAAAATAAAAAATGGACAGAGGTATTACATGAAATTTAATGAGACCATAAAAGAAAAATAATTAGGATAAGAATTTTTGAAGTGGCGATTTTTGAAGTTATTATTTATGGCAATATTATTTTTTGTTTTTACTAATAAATTAAAAGATTAAAAAATAAATAAGGTAAATAAAATAAAATTAATATTTTATAAAATAAATTAATATTTACAAAATCCTCTCTATATTGTATAAGAAAAAAAATTGAACGTTTTTTTTTTTAAATGTTTATTTTCTACAAAAAGTAAAAAATAGTCACTAGTTAACAAATTGTAAAATTAAATATTTATCAACATTTTTCATATATAAACTATAATAATAAATTATTTAGAATTTCGAATATTTTCTTTTACATAACTTGTAACAAATACAATTTCCCCTCCATATCATTATCAATTTTTCGTTGCATAAATTTATAATTAATTAGCAGATAGTACTTAAGTGAATCAATCCACTCGTCAATATTATTTTTCACTGATGAATGAATGCCAATAATAATTTTCATTATTAATTCACGATAATCATCCGATTGTCTAAATGGTCTAATTCTCTCTCGTAGATTGACATTTATAAATTCCCATAGAAAGTCAACAGTTTCAGAAATAGCATTACTTTTTAAATATTTTTTACATTTTTTAAATAAATCTTTATTAATTTTTCTCACCAATTTAATGCTAATCAATAGTAATTTACCAAAAATTACATCTGGATTATCAATTTCGCAAATATGATTTAAAAATGATGAAAATAAAGTTAAACTCAATTTTGAATTGGTAAATTCCTCTTTATAACGTGACAAGAAATTTTTCAATACTTTTTCAAAAATATTGTTACTTATACTATTATTTGTCGTTAATGCAACATTAATAGGTCGAATTCCATTTTTTTGTTCCTTCAATTTTTTAACAAAATCCAAAGGTGTCATTAATTGTTTTCCATCAATGACAATTAATCCATCGGTCAATGAAACTTCAATTCCTTTAATTATAAAATCATCTTTAATAATTGAACACGATAGCAAATTTTTATTACTTATTTTAATAGTCGATCGAATTATTTGTTCCGGTGAATTATGAAGGGATGTACTGTTTTTTACCATTCGTCAAAATTATTTTCTATGTCGATTTTTTCTCAAACTATTCTCAAAATCTTGAATAAATTCTGTTTGATTTTTCTTTAAGATACTATTGGCAAATTGTAAATCAACTGTTGAATTTGTAAATAATAATAATTTCGAAACAAGATTTAGAGTGTCTTGTGCTGAAACATAATGTTTATGACGAGAATCGTAAATGTTGTTAATTATAAAACCAACATTAACTCCACTAGCGGCAATTGATCCAATTTGTGCCGAACTGTGAACTATTTTTGCAGCAGTACTTAAAGTAGTATTTTTAATTGCATTTGATAGTAACATAGAACCGCCACTTGTTGCCACTGTTAAAATACTATTCGCTAATCCAAACCATCGTAGAAATCCGTCTTTGTCTTTCATGCTAATTGATTGTTCGTGAATATGGCGATCTGCTATTTTGTGAGAATTCCTTCCCATTGACCACAATCCACTTATTCCCATTCCTACTGCTCCTGAAAGTAATTTTTTTTTATATACTTTTGATTTTAAAAAAACCTTTTCAGCGCGGGCCAACGCAGAATGAAATCTCTAATCGTAAATCTTAAGCTTTTACATGAGAGAGAAAAGGACAAAAGATATGCCTATCCTTTTCTCTCTCATGTAAAAGCTTAAGATTTACGATTAGAGATTTCATTCTGCTTAGGCCTAGTAAAATGAGTGAATCCCCGAAAGTATAATCGCCAAAATATCCCCACTCACCATTTGTCATAATTCTCGTCAACTACCGCACCCTGTTCTAGTAAAAATTTAGTAACTTTATAGTAACTTTTAATTTTAACAATGAACTCACTAAATTTTCACTAGAGCAAGGTGCTGTAGTTGACGAGAATTATGACAAATGACGAGTGGGGACAATGAAAACCAACCTTATACATAACTTAAGGCTGCGTCCACAATGTATTTAATACAAAAAAATTTGTATGTATTTGTATTAATTTCTATTAATACTTTACGCCTCCATGTAAATAATTAACTGAATCAAATATTTATGATTTTTTGATACAAATAAAAATTATTTGTTACAATATTTAATTCTTAGAAATTAATGTCAATTATGAAGAATATTAATTTGTAATTTTCATTTACATAAAACTTTTTAATAACAAAAACATGAAATTTTTCTTCATAAGTTAAATCAATCTATAAAAAATTTGAATGAAAGAAATAATTAAATTAAATAATTTCTGATTTAAGTCAAATTTCGATTTATATGAAAAAAAATTGTTTTGATGCAAAAAAATTGTGTATTCGGATCGAATACCATTTTCCGCAATTAAAGACGTTTTAGTTTCAATTAAAACAATAACTCATGTTGACTAATTAAATATTTGGTTCAAGAAAATTTTTTGGTTATTTCAAAATTTGAATTAAAGAAACATGTGAAATTTTCATAATTGATTTAAAGCAATATTATTTATTATTTTGTAATATTCCATATATTTTATTTAAATAATTTTTATTTGATATACAAATTACTGTTTATTTGATACGATAAAATAAAATACTTAGATCAGGTAAATATTTATTTGGTTCAAATATGCATATTTACTGAATAATAGACAAGTAAATTATTTACTTGGATCAAGTAATTTTTATTTGTATATTATTCTATTTAAAAATTTTGAAGTTACCTACATGAATATTATAGTTAATAATATTAAATTGAAATTAAATAATTAATAATTAATTTTAGATTAAAATTACCTAAAGCCATAACAGTGCCACCAACAGGATTAAAAGTAGCTGCAAGTCCAACTCCAGCACAACCCAAACCAACAAATCTATTAATCTTGTCAATATTATTAATTATCTTTGCATTACACGATGGCGATTTATACATTTCAATAGAAACATAGGAAATTTTTTCCGACCATTGATCTCTATAATCACCTTGATATTCGCCTAATTTTGGCACCACCATAAAACACTGTGGCAAATTATTATAATTTAAATAATCCTTCCAACTTTTGTAAACTCGTTCACAATCGTCAATATAGTAGGTCTCTAATTTTGTCGTCACTATATTTCCATTTTCAGTTTGTTTAACAATATTTTTTAAAACTTTAAATATTGGTATTGGTTGTAAACATTTGTTAACATGTTCATCACTAAAATATTTACAACATTCCGTTGATGTATCAAATATCACATTATAAATTAATCCACACATTATTTCTTTTTCACGTGTATTTTGAATTCCATGGCGTACAATTTTTTCATATATCTTGTCAATTATTTGTCGTTGTTGTGAATCGTGAAAAAAAAATTCATCATTTAAATGTTTTTCAAAAAAACATGTTGCATCAATTGTTAATTGATTAATTTGCGGTGGACCAAAAAGTGCAGTGCCAATAAAATTTTTTAAATGATATGGTTTCTTTTGATCGTAAATATTCCAGTCGCTGAGTAATTCATAAAAATTTTGCTGGCAATTTCTAGCTGCTTTTATCAATTTTTCCTAATGAATATTATATATAATTACCTATTTTTTAACTAAATATTAATATAATTAACAGAATAAAAAAGTTACTGTTAAACATAATATTAATTCATCTTATTCAAATTGATATATTTTAAAACTGTAATTTTGTAAACTAATATAAATATGAAACTAGATAAAAACTAATACTAATATTAGATAAAAAAATTTACAATTTTAATTATTGTATACATACTTTTGTATCTTTTAGTGGAGTCATATTAATTATTATTTTAATAAGATTGAAGACACTATTTTGATTTTAAATCACTGAGTTATTATTACAATTATATTAGAATATATTACAATTATACGAAGCGAAAAGCAGAAATTAATATTTTCAAGGACACAATCTATTGACAATCGAACCCAATACTTAATTGTTTAGAACATGCTTGGAGCAGTAAAAGTTATTTTACTATATATAACTCTTAAATTTAATCTAATTCATTTTATATTAATTTTTATATAATTTAATTTATTTTTATATAATTTTCATGCTTTAACTTTACTTATGTAATTTCATTGGACACTAAAATAAACTTTAGTTAAAGTTTAAAATGACTATAGCCGATTATCTATTTTCACGCCGAGAACAGACGTAACTTTAGCCAATTGTCTATAATCACGACCAGAACAGGCGTGACTTTAGTCAAACGCCTATTTTACGCCGTAAAAAGACGTGACTTTAGTCAATTGTCTATATTCACGTCGTGAAAAGGACGTGACTTTAGCCAATTGTATATTTTTACCCCGTGAAAAGACGTGAATTTAGCCAATTGTCTATTTTCACGCCAAGAACAAACGTGATTTTAGCCAATTGTCTATTTTTACGAAGTGAAAATTATTAGTTACTCTTGATCTGAAATGACACATATGGAGACAGTGACTAAATGTTTTTATAATGTATAGATAGATAAATATTGCGTGAATCGACAAAATGAATATAAGTGTTCAATATTGTGTTTTAAAAACACTTGTTCGGAACAATTATTATCGTTCTCTATCTCAGTTCTATAATATTAATGATAATTCTTTTGGATTTAATGAACAACAAAAAGAGGTATTTTCTTATTCTTATTAAATAATGTATTATGTATAACCATTTTATATAAATTAAGATAGATTAAAAGATTATAAAAGTTAAATTAAAATATTATATAATATATGTAGAATAAAAAATTATAAATTATTATAATTATTGTATTGAATTTTTTACTTTCTTAAAATCTAAGAAAATAAATTTTACATCTATTTTTGAAATGCATATACGCATTTACTTTGTACAGTTGCGCAACTTGGCTTTTAATTTTGCGCAAAAGGAACTCGCCCCAAAAGCTTCAAAAATTGACAAAACAGATCATTTTGATAATTTGAGGGTATGTAATTATTAAAATAATTCAAACTTAACTATATAAGAAGGAAAAAAAAAATTATGAATGCTTGTTAATTTTTAAAAGTCATTTTGGAAGAAAATGGGTGAATTGGGGTTTCATGGAATAACTGCAAAATCAGAATATGGCGGGACTGGAGGAACTTATTTAGATCATGTTATTATAGCAGAAGAAATTAGTAGAGCTTCTGGTGCTATAGGACTTAGTTATGTCATTCATTCGAATGTGTGTTTAAATCAAATTCACAGACACGGCACTGAGGAGCAAAAACACTATTATTTACCAAAGGTAATGGAGACAAAAATTTTAATTAGTTATACAATTTAGAAATAATAAGTCTCATAAAAATTCAAGTTAAAATTGCATCACGTGGTTAATTAATTGAATTAAATTCTTTATAATTTTTAATTACCGTACATTAAAATTTTTATAGTTTTTTAGTGTTTTAAATATTTTACTCTCTTCTAAAGCTTTGTAGTGGTGAACATGTGGGAGCTTTGGCAATGTCGGAAGCGGGTTCAGGTTCAGATGTCGTTTCAATGAAATTAAAGGCAGAGAAAAAGGGCGATTACTACATTTTAAATGGAAACAAATTTTGGATTACAAATGGACCAGACGCTGACACTTTAGTTGTTTATGCAAAAACAGACCTGAATTGTGCAAAACCACAACATGGAATTACGAGTTTTATTGTGGAAAAAGGAACTCCCGGTTTTAGCACTGGACAAAAACTCGATAAATTTGGAATGAGGGGTTCAAATACATCGGAATTAATATTCGAAAACTGTAAAATTCCTGGTATATAAATCCTTTAAATATTTAAAGAATTTTATTTCAATTGTAGTAACAGATATACTATAATTAATTAAATGTTTCAATTTCATCACAGATAATTAAAAGGCATTAAAATAAGCTGCAATGCTTATTATTTTAATCCAATTTTGCTTATTTTAATCCATTTTGGTATTAAAATAAGCAAAATTGGATTAAAATAATAAGCGTTGCTGCTTATTTTAATGCCTTTTAATTTTCTGTGTTTATATGAAAAATGTAAAATTTAATTCACCAAAAAAAATTTTAAACCCATATTTCAGCTAAAAATATTTTGGGCAAATTAAATCAAGGTGTTTATGTATTAATGAGTGGTTTGGACTTGGAACGACTTGTTGCATCAGCAATTAGTATTGGGTGATTTTGTAATCTATATATTTGTAATTTTTTTATTAAATAAGTATAATTAAACGAAAAATTTTCTTCTAGAATTATGCAGGCATGTTGTGATGTTGCTTTTAAATACGCACACGAACGGGAGCAATTTAATAAACCAATCGCTCATTTTCAGATGATGCAGGTATATACAACTATATTCAAATTAAATAAAAGCTAAAATTTCTTTTTTGCAAAGAATTTTTTTTTTAATTTTAATTTTATAACGATAATAAAATAATAATATTTTTAAAAATTAAATATATTTAGGAAAAACTTGCCAATATGCATATGGCTCTGTCTACCAGTAAATGTTACACATATTCCATTGCAAAGGCATGTGATGCTGGTTATGTTGATCGTAAAGATTGCGCGGCAGTTATCACTTATGGAGCTGAAGCATCAGTGAAAGTAGCTCTCGATGCTATACAAATTTTAGGTAGTTTGAAATTTTTTTTCAAAATAGAAGCGATTTTTTTTTTGAATTAGAAAATTAATGGAGGGCATAATCTCAAAAGTGATAAATTTTTAACAATTTAACGCAAACAAAATTATTTTGTGTTCCATTCTTTAAAAATTAAAAAGAAAAACAGAATCTTTTGTAAAAAAAAATTTCTAGGTGGCAATGGATATGTAAATGATTATCCAGTTGGCCGCTTTTTGAGAGATGCCAAATTGGGAGAAATTGGCGCTGGTACTTCACAGATACGAAGAATGGTTATTGGTCGAGCAATAGCTGAAGACTATTCATAGTATGCAGTAAAATTTAGAATAAATAATGGATCTAGTTTTTTTATGTACAAAAAAACCATCTTAAAATTGTTCTATTCAGAAATTTTTCATTTTTAATATATGATTCTGAAAAGGGAATTTTTTTTTAAACACATTATCCTTTTTGATAATTATTAAGTATTTTTAATTTTAGGAATTTTCCAATTTCTAACATTAATTTGTGTATCTAATATCTATCTATGATTACAATATTTACACATTTGTATTTGACATTTATTAACGTCATACTTGATAATTTTTATTAATTTTACAAATTTTTAATTAAATAATAACCATTTGTTAAAATAAACATTTTTCATTTATACATACAAAAAAATGCGTACTTTATATTTATTTTATAATTTTCATATAAGTATGTCGAAACCTATACCTATAGGCATTTTATGTCAATTATTTATTAATAGATTAATATATACGCATTTATAAAATTTAAAATATAAAATAAAAAAAAATTGACACGCATAAATTTCCATAAAAAGCTTCAAAGAAAAGAATTTTTTTCTTGTATTTTAAATAGATAAATAAAAAGTTGTGGAAATTGTAAATTATTCAATTTTCTTATTAGTAAAAATTTGTATATAAACGTCTTAAAGGTTTCGATAATTTTCAAATGAAACAATGAATTGTGAAACAAAGTTCCTTGGGTCACTCCTGTTGGTAGTGGCTATTGCCACTTCTAATTTTGGTCAAACTACTTTTAGGACAACACAACTCAATACCATCGTAAGTTTGTTTTCAACATTTTTGTCTTCTCTATTAATGAATAGAAATAAAATAGAATTAAAATTAAAATATTTTTTTTTATTTCAGATCTGCAATGAATCCCAAACTAAAGAATTTATTTCAATTATGAATATAACAAATATAACAATAAATGAAATTCCTCGGGATAAAAATTTGGTGGTTTTAACTGACTCTACAGATATATATTCGACATACAAAGAAAGATTAATTGAAGAAGAAGCAACGTTCATACCATTTTATGGAACAATAGACATGCAAACAATATTTAGAATAGCAGTTATTTTCCATTCAACAAAAGAAAAAATTAAATTTATTATTCATGGCAATAGTTCTGAAAATGCTGCAAATATTTTTGAGAATTTGGCCAATTTTATCGATATCTCTGATTTAAAAGATAATATTGCTGTTGCATTGACGATTCCTGATGTTGAAGGTAACATTATGACCAACGATGAATATATAAATCGAGTAGCATATTTTCATGCTGTTTTTAATAGTCTTACATCTTCAAATAATTGGATTAACCCACCATTTAGAGCAATTATGAATAATTCACCAAAATATTTTCGTACTTTTTCTACATGGGAAATAAATAAAAGGAATAAAATTACTAAATTTACTTTTAGTCAAAAGATTCAAAAGCAATGCAATTGTGCAATGCAATATGTGAACCAACAAGTTTCCTTAGATATGAAAAAAGTTGTTGAAGAATTAGAAAATAAAAGTTATGAACAAGATACTGTGGCAACAATGTATAATTGTCTCTGGTCTTTCGCAAGATCGAATCATAATAATGTTAATAATTATATTCTAAATTTTCGTAAATGTTTCAATGGTATTCAATTCCCAAAAACACATGCTTTGGTACAAAATGAATATTTAATAAAATTGATATTATTTACTGAATGTTTTCAATTTCAAGAAGCTAGTGTCGCCTGGTCTGAGCCATTAAGAAATTTTCAGCTACAACGTTTATTGGGAAACTTAAAAAATTGGTACCCGAGAACTGATAATGGTTTGCTAATTCGAAGAAAAGTAAATCAGAGTTGTAATGCTATGAGAAAAGACTTCAAATTGAATGCGAGGGGAAATTTTGTTAAACTAAGCGATCTCGATTTCAAGCAATGTGATAAAGAACCTAAAGTAATTGAAATATTTGGATTGGAAAAAGTTATAATTGATAAGGATATGGATTTTACTGGGAAGGATGTTCAAATGATAATCATAGCACCCATATGGGAAGTAATTTCGTCTTCGAATAATGGAACAATTGAGCGTAGATTAATTAATTTAAATGGTAGAAATGGAACGAATTTTAATAAAGAAAGAGCTGATAATGGCACTCGAGATGGAAATAGAAATGGTGCTAATGGCTTAGCTGGGAAACCAGGAGGACCTGCTGGAAGCCTTTACGGACTCACAAACAAAATTATAAATGCAGAACAATTAACTATTTTGGCAAATGGAGGAAGAGGAGGAAATGGACAAAGTGGTGGACACGGGGCTGTCGGTGCCGATGGATTATCTTATAACGGAGCACCTGCAATAGTTTGTGATGAAAAACTTGAAGGATGGCAGTACAAATTGAGCGTATATGTATTTAATACTACCCCTCGCCTTGCAAAGAGTTACGTTTATGATAAAATATATGGAAAGCCTGGAAAAGTTGGTGGAAGCGGAGGTAATGGAGGTATTGGCGGAATGGGCGGGAAATATGGCCTTGTTAATATTTTCCAATCTTCAAATAATAGAGATAGTTTCGAATTATTTGCACAACCTGGTAATAAAGGATTAGATGGTGAAGGTGGAAAAGCTGCTTTGGGTGGTAAAAATGGAAAAATTATGACAACAAATATCCTTTGTCATTTATGGGGCAGCCTTAATGACCTCACAGTGGTATCAACTGACACTGGAAGCGCTAGTATGGGTTTAGAGGGAAAATCAGGCATCAGTCTAAAGAGGAAAATAGATGCAGAGGATTCACATAGTGAGAATAGTTTACGAAGTTCATTGATTAGATACAAAATTTTTATTAGAACCCATCTGGCATATTCAAACTTTACTAACAAACAAGAACTATGGGAGTTTCATGATGATTTAAATATAAATATGAATAGCGATAATACATTGAGTTTAGTTGAAGATTATATAGGATTAGAGAAACAATTTTTTTCCTTAAATGACAAAATTAACTTTATCAAATTATACCAACAATTGAAAAATCGAATTGACATGTTTGCCGAAAATCCTTATGAAGAAGAAAGTAATGCAGAATACAAAAAAATTATCAAAGAATTAAAAAATGATGCCGAAAGTAAGTTTTGTATTTTTTAATTTCTAATTATTTTTTTATGTTACATATAAAGAATTGTTTTTGATTAAATTTATTTTCAGAACGTCTTAAATCTGTGCGATCATATCGTTCCTACTATGATGTTATTTTGAACGTAAATGAAGAAGCAGCTAATTCTTTGAAGCCACTGATAATTCAATTAAAAAATTTTAGAACTAATAACTATATTTTACGTCTTCTCAAACAACATATTTTTTCACTGGAAGATACAATGGCTGATGGTGAAAGGTTAATTAAAACTGTGGCAACAGATGCTATCTGGGATACAGAAGACATGTTAGATCAAGAATTAAATTCTTTACTTACAGAAATTTTAGAGATGGAGAAGGAAGCATTAACTAATCAAGATGAACTGAAGAAAAGTCGTGAGAAATTAGAACAAATTATGATGCTCAAAATATTGTTTGGAATTTTGAAAGTTGCTGGCGGAGCATTAGGAATTATTAATCCTGTTTTAGGAACAGCAGCTGCATCTGCTATTGGAGTTGTTGAAGCATTTACAACTGATGGAAGCGAAGCACAAGTAGCTGCCTTACCAAAAGCTCTCGAGAATGTGGCTAAAGAGTCCGAAAGTTATTTTAAAGACATGGAGAAAGAACAAGAGAAGATTATTGAAGAACAGAGAAAATTTGTGAATAAAAAAATTAAGGAAACCAGATATGGTGCTGCTGTTATCACTGATGTTTGGGACTCATCAAGTAAATATAGAAGCATTGGTGATGGAACACAAAATCAAAAATTAAAAAATTCTGGATACGTTATGATGGAAGTCTACGCTAGTAAAGAAACTGAATTAACAATAAAATTAGATAAGCTACAAAAATCAGGACAAGAGAAGAATATAAATAAAATAAAAGCTGTTGAAAGTGGATTAGCAGTAGCTAAATATTTAAAAGCAACATCTGTTGCTTTTACAGCTATATCCGAAAGTGCTATTAGTATTATGAAAGATGAGAAAAAAGTTAATGAAATTGATGCAGCACTGAAAAAAAGTCATGTTATTTGGCAAAGACTCAATTTATTAGAGAACAATATTTATGACAAAATTAATCCACTGCTTACTAACATGAAAACCAATTTAGATAGTGTGAAGAGTGATTTGGAAAATATGAATGAATTTCAACAAGAAATTGCAAAATGGAATGTTACAGGCACCATTAAGGGGATACAGCGTATTTTAAATAATGTGACAAAAAATTTTAAAGTAAATGAAAAAATGAATTTTGCGTTCGATAAACTCATTGCAGATTTTGACTCACTTTTTAATTTACACACATTATTGTTGGATAGCAAGAAGGAAAAATCAGATAAATTTTATCTTACTAATCTTCTCATTGCACATTCTAATCATGGTAATAATTTATTAATTAGTGATTCTGAATTGCGAAATGCAATATCAGAATTGCAGATTCTTAGAATAACGAATCAATTAGCTGAAAAATATGATAAATGGCTTTTTGCGTTGAAACAGTATGCTTTCCCTTATAGTGGAGAAATACTTGATTCATTACCCGATTTGAGTGAATTTAGAAACGAAAGTATGACTAATTTTGGAGATTTTATAATTAAAAATAAAGATTTTATAATAGCAAATTCTGCATTTGCTAAAACTACAGATAATAAAATGACAACAGTTTTCAGAGGTTCTAACTTTCCATATGACATATCAAGATTTTCTTTCTACATTTGGAAAAATGATGAGAATAAACAAGAGTTAAAAGATATTTTAAATGGTGTGAAAACAACTTTGGTTGCAGATATCAATAACTTTAATTTGACTTACGATAGCGTAAAGTTTAATCGTATTAAAATATTATTTACTGCTAATAATGGAAATATGCAAGAGGAATTAAATGAAGAGCTGAAGAATTTTGATGTAAAGCTCACGCATCATGGGGATTCAAAGTATAGATATGGTAATTCCATTTATGATATTAGAAATAATCCAACACTTTTTTGGTTCGCTTACGCGGCAAACAATAATGAACGGGAATCACAACTTGTTTCGAGATTCGCTAATGCTCCCTACATGTTAAGTCCATATGCAACATGGTCTATTGAACTTTCGCCAATACATCCATCGCGTAACTTTACATTTTTACAGAAATTCGCTGACATTGTTAGTCTAGAACTTATAGGAAATGCTGAATATTTGAAAAATTCTACATGTGACTCAACATGTGAAGTAAAAATGAAAAAATTTTATACACTTGCAACTGATTTAGCAAAAAATTAATAATTTACATATTTGTGAAGTTTTATTGTAATTAAAAAAAAATTATATTTACCTTCTAAATAATCTTAACAAGAAAAATCTAGTTTAGTGTTAGATATGTAACAACAATTAAATCTTGTTTTAATTTTATATCATAATCTTGGAAAACCTGATTTTAATATAAGGATTTCCGAAATTTTTAACTCAAAATTCAATTCTAATAATGTCAATTTTTTATATGACTTACTCGTTTACGTCATAGTCGTTAAATAATAATTATTGTATTTACATTCTGTCTATTTAAATAATAAAAATAATTTGTTGAAAAAGGTAAAATATATTAATTACTATATATATATTTACTTTATCAAGAAAATTTGTGCTTTTATAGTTATTTGCATATGTCTAAATATTGACATTTTACGTCAATCTGCTTATAAATTCTATATATTTATATATTTTAATTTAAAATAAATGATATACGAATCGATTAACACATAATATAAATTCCATACCCTAAAATCAATAAATTAAATAAATTTTTGAAAAAAATCATGTTTTGTATTTTTTGAAATAACTTTTTCCTATTATATAAATTTTAATTAATTCTTGTCAAAATTATATTCCTGGCATCAAAACGAATCGATTGATTTATATTGTATCGCATAAGTATCGCATAAAAAATAAATTATTTCAAAAAAATTTCACCTATTAGTTATAGGAACGTGCGACAGAAAATTATTATTGAAAAAAATGTATGATGAATATGATAGGACTCAATGAAGCGCACTTTTTTGATAATAGAAATACTAAAAAGATGGAGAGAGAAAGAGTAAGCAAGAATGGGAGATTGTGAAAAGGAGGGGGAATCTGAATAGCGGGAGATTAGCATTAGTCTCCGTTCCACACAGCCATGTGGCCAAGTTGATGGATATACTGTTAAAAAATCTTTTTCTCATTTTAAAACTTGTTTTCATTATAGAAAGTTTAGAAAAACTAAAATACAATTTAAATCACAAGTGTTGAGTAATAAAAAAATATATTTTTTTTGAAATACTTAGTGAAAAATATTGAATTTTAATTGTAATTGATGTTTTTTTTATTACTGATTATTCTGATAATAGAGTGATTCGACAAAAATGAGTTTACGTGTTCAATCTGGAGTATTAAAAACAATTGTACGGAGCAATGTTCGTTCATTATCTCAGTTTTACAGCATCAATGATAATGCATTTGGATTTAATGAACAACAAAAGGAGGTCTGTTATATTTAAAATCAAAAACTATTTTTTTTTTTAAATTAGAAATAAAATAAAGAAATCAAAATACGTGAAATGTAACTAACAACTTTTAACCAGGTGTTAATTTTATTTATAACTTAAAATGTTTTTAATAAAATTTCGCTGGTTACACTGAAAATAAAATTTAGTTTATTCAAATAATCGGTTACTTGGCTATTATCAAATAAATATTTATTTGTATCAGATAATTATTGAGTCAATTAAATGATATTTTTTTACAAATATAGAAATTATTGGTACAAATACAGTTTATTTAATTCAAATAAAAGTCATTTGATGAAAGTAAATATTTATTTAATAGTCAAGTAACCAATTATTTGAATCAAATAAATTTTGTTTTTAGTTATTTTTACTTAAATTTGTTAAAACTGATTTATTGGGAGTCGATAAAACAGATTTAATTGACGTAAAAATTCACTGATTCAAAATAAAAAATAATTTTTATAACTTCTAAAAATTTGTTCATTTTTCTTGAACTTAGAAAAAAATTTTATTTCTTTTAAATAAGTCAAACATATTTTCAGTTTTTTTTTGGTAAAAGTTTTACATTTTTTAAATTAAGAAAAAGTTTTATTTTCTTTTAATTTAGGAAAATTTTACAGAATATAAAATTCTGAAAAATTTGTTAAATAGTTTTACTGTAGGAAACGAGTTTAAAATCTTTTTTAAATTTTTAGTTGCGAAACTTGGCATTCAACTTTGCACAAAAGGAGCTCTCTCCAAAAGCCGCAGAAATTGACAAAACAAATAATTTTGATAATATGAGGGTAGGTAAATGAAATAATAAAAATTTTAAGTAAAAATAAAAAAGAAAATTAAAATGGTTGTATTTGTAGTTAAAATTGAGTTTATCGCACAAAATTGAATACTGAATTTTATATTTCTACGTTAAAAATTGTAAAAATTTTTAAAAAATTCACTTTTTTCAAAAATTGTAATTTTTTTAAAAAACTCATTTAAAATAAATGCCTATTATGTGTGTTATATTTTTTCTGTTATCTACACGTGAAAATTTATTTATTCATTTTAAAATACATTGTTGCTCTAATAGTAATGAAATTAAGAATTTTGCCAAGATGCAAAAAAGTTTCAGTTCTTCATCGACTTTCGATATATTTTAACGAAATGAGAATTTTTAATTTTTATTTAAAAAGAAACAATTTTTTTTAATTTGGGCGCGATTTATTTTTTGCTTTTTTTATTTTACACGATCCTAGTGGCATAAACGAACTTTTTATTTCAAAAAATAAAAAATAGCGATAAAAAGCAAAAAAAAAAATTTTTAAACAAATTATATAAACAAAAAGGATCGTCAGACCCACTTGGAAATTTATTACAAAATTTTCTTATGCTATTTTCATGTATGTTAAAATAAAAAAAGTAAAAAAAAATTCGGTTTGTGCGATCACCCATGAAAGCTATATTGAAATAAATAAATGCAAATAAAAATAATTGTGTTTTTTATTTAAAGCCATTTTGGAAGGAAATGGGAAAACTGGGTTTTCATGGAATAACTGCGAAACCGGAATATGGCGGTACTGGAGGAACTTATTTAGATCACGTAATTGTTACAGAAGAAATTGCTAGAGCCTGCGCTGCTGTGAGTCTTAGCTATGGAGCCCATTCAAATTTATGTTTGAATCAAATTCATAGACACGGTACTGAAGAACAGAAACTCAAATATTTACCAAAGGTAATTGAGTCAAAAAATTTTATTTTATATTCAATAATTTATTTTTTTAACGTAAAATAATGCCCGGTTCTACCATTCATGGTCAACGTAAAATTTCTAAACGCGTTCTACTAATTTTTAACGGGCCCTTATCTCGAGTTAACCGAAGTTAACTTTAACCGGCCGATAGCGACCGGTTAACGGTCCGTTAACGCACTCTAACCTCAAAAGCGTATTAAAAGTGATACATAATACTTCGTATTTATATCATTACTAGCGATGTATTCCTCGCTCGCTAACGCTCGCTCGGTTAAAATTGTACTTATTGTAGTTTATGTATATTATATATATAATTTATGTTTTAAATTAATATCTTATTAATATTGTATAAAATTTATCTTAAAATTGAAAAAAGATGTTACATAAAAATAGTTTGTAAGATTTTCTAAAAGCATATATGCAAAGTATTTTGATTTATTTGAAAATAATTGAAAATAGATTTTTCAAGGACGGTGTCGAGGTCACGGGGTCGGTGTCGTTTTTCGAAATTTGTTAACTTAATATAATAGAAGAAGATGTTTCGTTTTAAATTAAGAAATGTTTAAATTATTAAGTTAAAAACATTTGATTTTAATGACACTTAAAATTAGACACAATATTATAGGTTACTAACTAAAAATTGAAAAAACAACAATAAATAATAAAAAATAATAATAAAAAATTGAAAAAATCAAAAAATTCTTAAAAAATTGCAAAATAACCTTTTTTCGGGATAAAATTGCAAAATAACCCTTTTTCGGGTTAAAATTGAAAAAAGATGTTACATAAAAATAGTTTGTAAGATTTTCTAAAAGCATATATGCAAAGTATTTTGATTTATTTGAAAATAATTGAAAATAGATTTTTCAAGGACGGTGTCGAGGTCACGGGGTCGGTGTTGTTTTTCGAAATTTGTTAACTTAATATAATAGAAGATATTACTTACAATAATAGTTGCAAATAAGCTTCAAATTAAATTTCCATTTGTCAAAATACCACAGAAAAAAGCTAAAATACAACACCTTTTTTTTTGCTTAGGGACTATTGGGAAATCTGTATACAGATACCTTGGCTTCCGCATGCCAAGGTTATGTGGGGTTGGTAAAAAAAAGGAGAACACTAAATAAAATAAGCTGGCGAACTACTACCAGCCCCGACACACTAAAACCCCGTCAACCCTTCTTGGGAGCCCTTTTATCCACCCTCGGTACTGTCGTGAAGACTTTTGACATTATTCAATGATAAAAAATCTATTTTACTTTGATATTCTATTATTTTCTTTAATATTTATTTGCGAATATATTTTTGAAATTTATTTACGTAATATTTTGACAGCATAATTAAATTACATTCATTAAGTTAAAAAGAAATAAAAGAAAAAATATTTTCTAACCTACAAAATTTTCAAATGCATTTATTAAGATGCGTGAATTTAGAAAAATTTTCGAATTATAAAATTGCTACTTATCGACGATTATTATCAATTTTGTCACTTTTTGATTTTAATCTCATTTATATCTTTACTTTCTGAACTTTGTCAGTATTTATTTAGAAAGATCGCTTTGTTTACTTTTCGTCAAAAATACTCGTGTGTCAGACGAAATGTCCCGATAGGTTGGTTTTCATTGTCACCACTCGCCGAAATCCCCACTCGCCATTTGTCATAATTCTCGTCAACTGCCGTACCCTGATCAAGTGAAAATTTATTAACTTTATAGTAATGTTTAATTTTAAGATTAAAGTCACTAAAATTTTTACTAGAGCAGGGTGCGGTAGTTGACGAGAATTATGACAAATGGGGACAATGGAAACCAACCAAATTCTATATAAGGGGTCATTCATAAATTATGTAAGGTCTTTTGGTAGGAGGGGTGGGTAGAACATTTTTGTATGCAAATTTACATGGGTGGGTACCTACTTAAACGAATTTCTTACGTAAGATATATTTTCGAATACTACGGGACAAATATATTTTACATAAATGTTTATAAAAATATATTCTAATAAATATAGAATTAACTAAACATCAAACATTAAGTAAAATTTTTAATCAATATTCAATTAAACAAATTTTTGCAATGTTTTTAAAATTTTATTTACCCTACATAAAAAATATGTTGTTGTGTTTTTTATAGTGTTTTAAATAATTTACTATCCTCTAAAGCTCTGTAGTGGTGAACATGTGGGAGCTTTGGCAATGTCGGAAGCGGGTTCAGGTTCAGATGTCGTTTCAATGAAATTAAAGGCAGAGAAAAAGGGCGATTACTACATTTTAAATGGAACCAAATTTTGGATTACAAATGGACCAGACGCTGACACTCTAGTTGTTTATGCAAAAACAGACCTAAATTGTGCTAAACCACAACATGGAATTACGAGTTTTATTGTGGAAAAAGGAACTCCCGGTTTTAGCATTGGACAAAAACTAGATAAATTAGGAATGAGGGGTTCAAATACATCGGAATTAATTTTCGAAGATTGTAAAATTCCTGGTAATTTTTTTAGTTACATATTCTGAAAACGTTTGGTTGGTCTCCATTATCGCCAATCATTTGTCATAATTATTGTCACCTACCGCACCCTGCTGTGGTCAAAATTTAGTAACTTTTACTTTTAACAATAAAGTCACTAAATTTTCACTAGAGCAAGGTGCGATAGTTGACGAGAATTATGGGGACAATGAAAACCAACCGTTTATGCAAATAAAATTCTGAAAATGTTTTTCCTTAAAATAAGAATAAGTTATTTAAGAATTTGAAAAAATTAAAAATTTACATTTAAATTAGCAGAAAATTTTATGTTTGTAAAAATTATTCTTTTAGCTAGTAATATTTTGGGAAAATTAAATAAAGGAGTTTATGTTTTAATGAGTGGATTGGACTTAGAACGACTTATTTTATCAGCTATTCCCATTGGGTAAGATGATAAATTATTTTTAATTTTGTTGAAAACAAAATTAAATGAAGCTCTTTGTTCTAGAATTATTCAAGCATGTTGTGATGTTGCTTTTAATTATGCACATGAGCGAAAACAATTTGATAAACCAATTGCAGAATTCCAAATGATTCAGGTACATAATTTGAAAATATATAAAATTTTATTAGGATAAAAAATAATTTTTGTACAACTCATTTTTTGGCTAATGAAAGAATTTGAAAATTACTTTAAAGTTTTCTTACAGGTTTACCCTAGTGGATCGCAAACTATGATTCTATGAATATGCGACGAGCTCGTTACACATTCGTAGTTTGTGGAAATAATATGGAATATTGGCGAAGTATACTATTGAATTTAATAAATTATTAAATTGAATAAAAATTTCCATCAATTTTCATTAATTTTTAACATTATTTCCACAGACTACGAATGTGTAACGAATGTGCAACGAATTCGTTGCACATTCATAGTTTGCGATCCGTTAGAGATTCTTTATATAAGAAACTCAAACAAATGAACTTAAAAACTTATTATTTTCAGGAAAAACTTGCAAATATGCATATGGCTTTGTCCACCAGTAGAAATTATACATATAATGTTGCAAGAGCATGTGATGCAGGTTATGTTGATCGAAAAGATTGTGCCGCAGTTATCACATATGCATCCGAATATTCAGTAAAAGTTGCTCTTGATGCTATACAAATTTTAGGTTATTAATTATTACATCAAATTTCTATTGAATATTATATATATACATTTTACAAAAATCTACTGTCAAATGTAAAAACTTAATAAGTCGCTTTTCCGTAAGGGTGAAAATTGTTTGCTGAAATCTATTGACTTTCAAACTTATGGAAAAGTAAACTTACACCAAAATTTTTTCAATGCATTAAAAAAAAATAATTTAAAATATTTTCAGGTGGAAATGGATATATTAATGATTTTCCAACAGGAAGATACTTAAGAGATGCTAAATTATTAGAAATTGGTGCGGGTACATCGGAAATTCGAAAAATGGTTATCAGCCGTGCAATAGCTGAAAATTATGTGTAATTAATTGTTATTTACTAAATTTATATTGTTTATTTTTTTTATATGTTGATATAAAAGAATAATTTATTATAATATTTACTTATTATAAATATTTTTATAAATAAATCATTCCTGAAGTAAATCACATTGTTATCTTCTTCTTCTTGTTGTAATAGCTTACGTCAGGAGAATTATATAATTCCTCCCTAATTATAATTATAATTAGGCGAAAATTTCATTTAAATGTTCAGTAAAAGTTTCACAGTGAACATTTATTTAATCGAGACATTTAAATATTTTAAAGTCAGAATTATAAAATTGAAGATGTTGGATAAAATATGGCGAACGAGATTTGTTAAAGGCCTAAGCAGAATAGATTCTTGAATGGGATCGCAATCGTAAACGGTAACGTAAGAATGAGTAAGAGAAGGATAGCAAATATCTTTATTCTTCTCTCAATCATTCTTACGTTTCCGTTTACGATTGCGTTCCCGTTCAAGAATCTATTATGCTTTGGCCTTAAAAATTTTTTGTATTTGTGTTGGTTTCTATTGTTCTTACGTGACATTTGTCACAATTTTCGTCAACAACCGCACTCTGCTATAGTGAAAATTTAGTGATTCTATTGTTAAAATTAAAAGTTACTAAATTTTTACTTGAACAGGGTGCGGGAGGACAATTGAAATCAACCGTCTATTGTGGAGACAAACTAAAGGTGCTTTTATACCTCCAGTATTTTGGTTAAGCAATTGTCTGCATTGAATTTTCACGATGAATCACTGAATTTGATTGGCTCTAATAATATTCAATTTTCACTGTGGAATTGGAATATTTGTTAGGGCCAATTAAAATCAGTGATACATCAGTACATTTTCATAAATATCATCAGAAGTTTTCTATAAATTTTTTTCAAAAACTAATGTTGAATTCACGAATAAATTTGGAACTAAAATATACAAAGAAATTTATAATTTACCGTGCCGTTTATTTGTAATTATAAATTAAAAATTCTATTTCATGACGTCATTTGCAATATATAGCACAACCTTATATTAAAATAAATCGATTATTTATTTATATTTATTATTACATAGATAACAAAGAAAAACACCAATCCACTTCAAAATAACGATATTTTCTACTCAAAATAAAAGCAAAAACTTTATTTAATTGCGGACAACATAAAATCTTACATTAAATTTAAGAATTGAAATATCAACTTATTTACTTTTATCTATAAATATAACTAAGAAGACAATGTTACACGATTTTGGACAAATTGTCGAATCTGCGTACGTGCGAACGACCGAACACCCGAACCACCTCGCGGTGTTTCACGTCAAAAACATGGAAACAGCGAAATCACAAACGGTTCTTTAGTTTTCGAGGCTAAAATGAATCGAGCATAAACTTGGTTTTGTGGTGGCGCGTAGAAGCTTCCGTAACAAATTGAACAAACTCTACATTCGTATCGACTTCGGCGGTAGGGGATTCCCGCGCTTAACAATTTCGTCTTCCGTAGATCCCTGAGTTGTTGTGATTCATCGCCATTTTTAGAAGGGAATAGGATATGTATTTCTGTTAGTAGCATTCAATCCTTCACACCCTTCACACTGAAAAGAAAAGTCGTTATATATATATTTTTTTCTGACATTCAGAAAATAATTTAAATATTATTTTTTCATCGTATTTCTATTTGAATTCGGTAAGTCTCAAAATTTTAAATATTAATGTGATAATAAAAATGTAAAATATTATTTGCTTATCACATAACAGTATAATACGTTTTTATTTTTGACTACATAATTATGAATCAGTGTTTTTTTCAAAATTTTAGTTTCTTGCACATTTGTGTCAATATTAACTTAAAAAAAGTAATTTAAATAAAAACAACTAGTTTTACTGAATATCATTATTAATAAAATAAAAATTAATAATCTTGAAGATTTTATTGAAATAATAATTAATATACTTTAATAAAAAATTACAGTAAAATTTTCTTAATTTTTTTATTTTTTGATTTGAAAATAAAATAAATCAAATTTTTTCTCTTCAGTTAATAAATTAACTTGTTATGTAATTAGTAAAAAAAAATTTTTTAAATTTCCATTTTGATTTAATTATTTTAATAGAATTTTTAATTTATTTTTATTTTATTCAATTGTAAAACTACAATATTCAAAAATAGTTGAACAAATGACTTTGAATAATTGAAATTTTTATACAATAACTAATTGTGATGTGTACAGTTAAAACAAAAATTGATTACAGTGTAGTCGACCATATGAAAGGTTCATATTTCAAACTATAATATAAACACATATTAAAGCCACATCTTAAGGCTCTGTGATTGTTGTGATTTTTCATGTAAATATTCTCGGTTAATTCTCACAAAATATTTGATAGATTTTATTTTAAATTTTGCAGAGAACTTAAAAATAGTATAAATATTCGGAGAGAATATTTTTGTTATCATATAACAATTACATAACTTTTTAAAACACTGAAAGAATTTTTTTCCAGTAAAAGTAACAAATAATTTCAATGTGTCAATAAAGTTTATTTTTATATAAATAATAGATAAGATAATAATAAATAAATTAATATAAAAGAAGGACATTGTATTCGTTCTTTGAGAACTTGTTTTTGAAATTATAATTATCTCTATATGAATTCATTTTTATCAACAATGATTCATTTTAAACAATATTAGTTTCATGGTTTTGTTGTCAAAATTGATAAAAATTTTTTCAAGAAAAATAATTTTAACATTTTTTTAAAAATCTTATTCACTGAATTTCAAAGTTTGAAAATTTATAATTCTAAATTATTAGAATTATTTAATTAATATCGTTTTTATTATGAAATCAATTCAAATATATTCTACTCGGACGTTAAAGAATTAAATAATTATAATTCTAAAATATTGTAAATAAATTTTTTTAAAAATATAGATATTTCAATAAATTATTCTTAACAAGTATGAATTAATCAAATTTATTTAAATATTAGAATATTTATTATCTACCATTTTAGAAAGTTTATTTTTTTCAAAAAATTTAAAAATATTTAAAATTCATACAATTCAAAATTATGAAAAAAGAGCGTATAAAAAATTTCGGCAATGAAAAATAATTAAAATTGTGGAAGAAGTTGACAAATTTTTTTTTATTTTAAAAAATGTTTGTTTTTTTGAAAAAAAAAAAATAAAATCTTTCTTTATCTATACGCTTGATTGCTTAAAATTGTGAAAGAAGCCTATAAAAAAATCTGTAATGAAAAATAAAAGAAATTATGATAAAAGTTCATTAAATTTTCAAGAATATTCAGGTTTATTTGGAAAAAATAATTCTCACCTTGCATATACAAAGAAATAAATTTTTGTTGAAGAAATAATTTTCTTTGACTTTTTTTCTTTGTTTTAAAACACAAATGTTTTTCAAAAAAATTATCTTTGTTTCGAAGAAATTTTCAATTTTAAATTAAAAAACTATTTCTTTCACTCTATATTAATGCAAAAATTTCTTTGTTTTAAAGCACCAATTTTTTTTTTTTTTTTTTTTTTTGATACAACAAAAGAATACAAATTATTTTCAATCAAAAAAACTTTCTCCTAATCAAAAATACTGTTTGTTTTTTTAAAAGGATTTTAAATGAAAGAAACAAATTTCTTTAAAGGAAGAATTTGTATAATATTGAAAAATAATAATGGTCTAAATTATTTTTTTTCTTTGCAGATTAATTTATAACAAAATGATAAACCGAAAATTGACAATTTTAATCGTGTTGGCATTGGCAAATTTAACAACGGCAGGACCTTTAGCTGCTGGTATTTGTTATGGAGGATGTGCACTAGTTGTATGCGCCTGCTTTTCAGCAGCAGGATTTACATTTGGCACAGTACCTGGAGCTCAAATAGCTGCTGTGCCAGCACTCGCAGCTTGTAATTCAGCGTTTGGGTCCTGTATGGCGCTGTGTTCGGCAGCTGTTGTAGCGCCAACTCCATGAAATGGAAAAAAAAGTTAATAGAAGTCATCAAACAATTTCAATGACTTTTTTTTAAAATTAATCATACTTCAATCACCATTAACAAATAAATTGTGACTAAAGTTTGCTTATATTTCAAAGCAATTTTAAAAAAATATAATCCATTTTATTTTAAAACGTTTTGTATTGTATTAAAAAAATTTAAAAACTCTTATCATTCCTAAATGTTTTTTTTTTCAAAAAAAAAAAATAAATAAATTAGTTCATTTTAATTAATAATTATTTAAATATTTACTTCTCAAGATAAAAAACATTTATTTTATAAAAACTTTTACAAACTAATTCAAAATTCTCAAATTTTTCGTAATTTCTCCTTTTATTCTGAAAATTTATCAAAAAATTAATTATTTAAAAAATCTATCAAATAAGTTGTTTTAGTCAATTTACATCGAAAAAAAGTTGATTTTTTATTTTTAATAAATTTAATTAATTAACAAATATTTTTTATTATTAAAAATTAAATTTATTTCTTAATAAAAATGTTTTATAGAAATATTTTTTGAGAATTTTTATTTAGAATACATTTTAAAATTGAATTGAGACAAATTTTAAAAAGATTTCAATAAATAGGTTAAATTAAAAAAAAAAATTTGTTACCATTTTTTTTAAAGAAAAATTTAAGTCTTAATAAAAATTATTCGAATTCAAAAATTTGAGAAATATTTTAAATTGTAATTGAAATTTAGAAAAGTTTTGAATTAAGATATGTTTCAAAATAATTGAATTTTTTACAAACATGATTAGTTTTTAGAAATAATTAATTTAATAAAGCATATTTAAGTTAAAAATAATTGAAATTATTGTAAAATTTTGAATTAATAAAAATTATTAAGAAAAATAATAATTAAATTTTAGAGAATTTTTAATTAAAAAAAGGGTTTAAATAATTTAATTACTGAAATAAATTGATAAAAGTTATTGAAATAATTAATTTACCAAACAGATTTAGAAATATTTTTAAAAAATAATTGAATTTGATGAGATTTTCAATTAAAATTTTTGTAAATTTAAATTGCACAAGTGTTTTTTTAATAAGCTTCGAACAATAATTGAATTTTAGACATTTTTTAAATTTAAAATATGATTTCATTAATTCAGTTTATAATGAACTTGATTAAAGTTATTAGAAATACTAAAAACAAAGAATTTTTGATAAAATTTTTAGAAATAATTTAATTTTGAAAAATTTTCCTTTAAAAGTTTTAGATATATTTAAATTTTTAGAGATTTTTCATTGAAATTATTGTAAATTAGACTTAATGAAAATTATTAACAAAATTTTATACAATTGAATTTTAGAGAATTTTAAATTGAAAAATTATTTTAAATAAGTATACTAATTTTTTTGTAAAAAAATATGGGAAATTTAAGAAAAATTTGTTCAAATAGGGTACTTTTAGGTACAAATGGGGAAAAAGGGTTAATTAGGAAAAATAAGGGTTACATTTATCCCAAATGTTCCTAAAAAAAACAATTTTTAAATTATTTTGCTTTATGGGTTATTTGTTTTATCTTATATTAATTTAATTCGTGATTAAAAACAAAATATTTGTTTATAATAATTAAGATGATGATATCGATATATCTTAATTATTAAATAATGTTTATTGATAAATTCAAAATAATATAACGTTTTATATAAATTAGAATCACTTGTGGATGATGTAACTTCTAATATCTATTTCTAATTCTAATTTATCTAAATAAAATTTCTGTATGAGCTAGTTAAAATCCATTGTTATTTTTGTTTATATAATTAATATATAATATTATGTTTTTGTATTCTTTATTTATAGAATATTATTATATTTATCTGAATTCTAATTAATATATTTTTGAACATTTACAAATTTGAGGAAAAACATTATTACGTATTTCATAATATTGATAATTAAGAACACGTTATAACAATCTAGTTTTATAATTTTATAATCTAACGACTCTAGGCATTTTTACTATATAAAGGAGAAATTTGATATTTTAGTGACAGTGTAAAGATATTTACCAACAGATCACAATAAACAATAAAAATTGACTATACGAAAATAAAAATGACGAAGCATATTTTATTTTTAATTGAAGCATTTTTCTTATTGTTATTCACTGCTAAAAATGTTAATTCTCATCCTATTGCAACGGTGGAGCCAAGAACTGAAGGACTTTACAATACAAATGATCATGTGGTGATTCTTAATAATACAAATTTTGACTCAAATGTGTACAACAGCAATACTAGCTGGCTAATTGAATTTTACTCGCAATGGTGTGGTCATTGTCAACGTTTTGCTCCTACATGGAAGGTTTTTGGTAAAAATGTTAAAGGTAAGTAAAAGAAAAAAAAATATTAAAAACAACACTACAAATTTTTATTTTTAATTCCACAATGTCATGCTAATAGACTATTTATTATTTAGGCTAAAAATATCATTTAAAGAAAAAATCCCTTTAATTTTACTTGCATAAGAAAGATACGCAATTTTTAAAAATTGAATTTAACATAATTTTTTTTCCTGTTTTGTTGTAATTAATAAAATTAATTAATTTCAGATTTGAACAGTATAGTTCGTATAGGTGTAGTAGACACTTCTAATCCAGTTAACACGGATATTAGTATAAATATTACAGCAGTTCCAACGTTCATGTTTTATCCTGTTAATGCTAATCCAAATGATACTCCATTAGAATTAGATCCAGAACGAGACGTTGCTAGTTTGCAAAAAATATTGCTCGATACATTAGAAATTGAGAAACGCAAAGGACGTGGCAAATTATGGCCTAATTTTATTCCCTACAGGTAATTGAAAATAATTTTCAAATTTTATTTAGAGTTAAATAATTAATTAAATTTCTATTAATTAATTAATTTAAATTTTAATAACAAAATTGTAAACATTATATAATCAGGTTATTTTTCTATTATAACAGTGAATCGGATCTTCAAACTATGTGGCAAACGATTGAAGGAAGTGTGAATTACATAGTTTTAATACATGAATCACCTGAATCCATTGTGGGAACCAGTTTGATTTTGAATTTCCCAAAAAATTCAAAATTACATTTTGGAAGAGTTGTAACAAACACAGAATCTCTAATTATAAATTTTCATCAGCGAAATGGATCTCCAATATCATCAATAACAATAAATAATTCCACAATTGATAATATTGAAGAATTAATTAAAGACAAACTTAATTCCCTAGGACTTTCTATTGAAATGACAATTAAAACTGAAGATTCAAAATTAGAAGATTTGTCAAATAACAAGTCAATAACAAAAATTCCTCAATTATCTCATCAATATGGAGACTTTGTATTTCAGCTTGATTTAGAAAAAGCTTTACGCTATTCAATTGATCAGGAAATTCCTAAATCTTTTACAATTGACGGTGATAAAATGGTAGCATTAAAGAATTATTTAAATATTTTACTCGACTATTTTCCAACGCAAACCAATGGAAAAATTTATTTAAGAAACCTTGTGGATTTAGTTAAAAATCAAACATCAATTAGTGGCCGAAGATTTCATAACGTTTCTTTAGAACTTCAAAATAGTCTCTCTCCGATATATTCAGAAGAAGATAAATGGATTGGTTGTCAGGGAAGTACAGATATTCATAGAGGATATCCCTGTGGATTGTGGACAATGTTTCATTTATTGACGGTTAATTATGCGAATAAGAATATAAATGAACAAGGACACGATCCTGCATTAGCCCTAAGAGCAATATATGGTTATGTTAAATATTTCTTTAGTTGTGAGGAATGTTCTGAAAATTTTCTCGAGATGGCTGAAAAAGATAAAATATTTGAAGTAAAAGATGTCAATGAAAGTATTCTCTGGTTATGGAGAGCTCATAATGATGTAAATCGAAGATTAGCTGGTGATATAACTGAAGATCCAGAACATAAGAAAATTCAATATCCCTCAATAAATGAATGTCCTGAATGTAGAGATGTTCATAATAATTGGATAGACGAAGACGTTGTATTATACTTAAAGAATAAGTACAGTTCCAGTAAGGTTAATTTTGTCATTTTTCCCAATTTAATTTGCAATGGAAAACATTGCCTTTACCAAACGTCGTCATAAAATACGTTTTTTTTTATTTATATCTCAATCGTAAATGATTGTTGAGTTAAATAAATATAAAAGATTAAGTGTTTTGTTAAAAATAATAAATCGGTTGTATTCAGTAGAGGTTTTCCGTAGTTTTCCTCTACTTTGATCAAGAAATGATCGGGCAAATGCGAATACTTTTAATAAAAAGTCAGCTACGAACCGCATTATATGTATATTGTTTTATTTCGATATAAAGGAACTGTAACTAACAAAACAACAATATCAAAGGCCAACGTGTATTCATATATTTATATTGTATATTATTATCTATACATATTAAATAAATTATTGGTTTTCAGTGAATATCATTATTTTCATTCCCTAAAAAATTTAATGACTTTTAATTTCCAATATTCAGGAAATTAATATTCAGAAAATAATAATGTACAACCAGAAACTTCCTTTAAATTCTAAATTTATTATAATTAAGATTAAATTAAATTAATTATATTAATTAATTAAATTACGAAATTTAATTAATTAATTCAATTAATTTAATTAAGTAATTTAATGATTTTAATGAATTTAATTACGCCATTTAATTAAGTAATTTAATTAATTTCATTAATCTTTATACCGACAATGCTATTAATAATTCGATATTCGTTAAATTGCACAAGAACATTCAGCATATCAGATTTCAGCGTCGTTCGATGGTTTTTGTGTGTAAAAATCGAGAATAATAGATGCTTTATCTAATATTCAGAAATAATAATGTACAACCAGAAACTTCCTTTAAATTCTAAATGTATTATAATTAAGATTAAATTAAATTAATTATTTTAATTAATTAAATTACGAAATTAAATAAATTAATTCAATGAATTTAATTAATTTAATTAATTTAATTAAGTAATTTAATGATTTTAATGAATTTATTTCCGTCATTTAATTAAGTAATTTAATTAATTTAATTAAATAATTTAATGATTTTAATGAATTTAATTACGCCATTTAATTAAGTAATTTAATTAATTTCATTAATCTTTATACCGACAATGCTATTAATAATTCGATATTCGTTAAATTGCTATAATAATTTTTAGATGCTTTATTTGGCTAATGAATTTTACCCATTTTACAACCTAATACAAATTGAATACAACACACTTACAAAGTCTGTTACAAGTGGTATTAATTAATTAATCATTATCAAGAATGAATTTTTATTAACATTTTGTTGATTTACAATAAAAAAAACTTTTTGCATGTATACTTATTTACTCATAGATAATAGAACCGTAAAATAAGACACTGATGTTTTCATGACCTGAAAAATTTAATTAACTTTAATTTTCATTATTAAATATAAAATCAACAATAAAAATAATTTACCGTACTAAATGATTCCATGGACAGTGTAAAAATACCACAAATTGCTTGAATTGTACAAGGACGACGAAAACTTCGAATCATTAATAAAATTAGGAGCTTTTGTGCTTTTATAGGCATTCTGTACCATTGTGCACTGCTTCTGTAATTAATTTAAGATATTATTTAATATTCACTGTGTTTTCAATTATAATAATTATTAATTTTTTAGTTCAAAATTACAATTTGTTACTAACACTGAATCTCCAATTGCTTCACTGGAATTAATTAATTGTTGTCCTGGAAGGGAATTGTAAAACAAATGTACCACCTGTGCTGAAGCAAAGGGAATTTGATAATTTTAATTAATAAACAATAAAAATTAAACTTAATTGAATTTGAAGTTTAATTTTGTACATTTAATTATAATTAAATTTAATTTTTAAAAAATTAAATATAAATCTAAAGTCATTTTTATCGATTATAATAAAACATAGAATGAAATCATATATCGTATCATTTTGCGATGTTTCGCTGATAGAGGTACAGTTTGAAATGACTTGAAATCAATAAAACTAAGAAGGGTATATCCCATCTATATTTCTTTGAATATTTTTCTCCAGGAAAACCCGATATAAATGACAATTTCTTCTATGAATTTAAAGTTATAATGTACTTTAATCGTTTAGTATTTATTTAATACTTTTGAACTACAATCAAAGAATATTTAATTTTCCCGATAACACCATATGAATAATTGAATCATACAGTCGGTCACATCACGATTTCTATGTCTTTACAATAAAATTTCATAGCAAAACACAATTCCGTGTTAATGTTGAACTATCACGAGATATGGACTTCTTCGATAATCGTTGCTTTAGATTAAATAAAATTTTAACATGTATCATTGGACAATGGCCATATCAATCGAAAAAGCAAGCAATTATTATTTCATCTTTTTATTTCTTTATGAATTCATCTCTCGTTATTGTTACGGTAGTAAAATCAAGTAAAAATTTTTTTACATTATATTCAAAAGATATATTTTGCAATTTAAATAAAGAACAGATTCCTCTTTTTTAATTATATATATAAAAAGAATTTTGAATTGCTGTCATTTTATAATAATTATGATAGAAATTATTTTTAAAAATATTTTGTTAATTATTGAACGTCATTAAAACTATTAAATTAAATTTTAAAAATTAAATTAATTACAATAAATTTCAAAATCAAAATAGGTATTTAAGGAAATTAAAATTTGAGCTAAAAAATAATGAATTCATTAATGACAATAAATTCATTTAACAGATAAATGGTCTTATAACGTTAGAGCTTAATTTTGATGAAATTCTCAACAACGTAACTAATATAATGATGGGAATTACAATATGTATTAAATTATTAAATTGCATTTTTAACAAAAAGAAGGTTTGTATCATCAATAAAAACGATTAAATTTCAAATAATACAATAAAATTTTTTCTTTCTTCGTCGGTCAATAAAAATAGATGAAATATCTTCTTAATTGTTTTAAATTAAATTGGATGACAATGTCAGCGACAGAAATTGATATACTTCAACAATGTTCGGATGCTGGAAAAATTACAATTATTGCATACGCAGGTAATATTTATCGAAAATTCCGATGATTACTTATCCTAAAATATAGATTTCATTAATTTATTAATTAATTGATGATTAATTAAATACCTTGAATTTATAATGATAAAATTAATATTGAATTTATTTTATTAAAAATAAATGTATACCCTAAATGAAAATATAATTGAATAAATTATTTACAGTTCTCGTGTATTCATCAATGTCTGTTTTTTTAATGACATCATACACGCCACAAGTTCTTGATATTATTAAACCATTAAATGAATCTCGTCCAAGAAAAAGGGTTTTTAGTTCAAATTATTTAGTCGATGATGATGAATATTTTTATACTCTTTTAATGCATGAGCAATTGTGCGGTTTTTTAAATATGACAACGTTAATTTGTGTTGATACAATGTACGTGAAATATGTTGAACACATTTGTGGAATGTTCTCCATTTTACGGTACAAATTTTATTTCATATTCTCTCTTAATTTATATAATTTTAATTGTAAAATAATTTGTAATTTTTATAATTTAATTAATAATATATAAAATTTATATATAAATGAAAAATTCATTTATTGTGTAAATTATATTTAGAATATACAATATAATATAAATTATATTTACGTCTAGATATCGATTAGAAAATATTATGAATATTTTTGATTTGGAATTTTCTAAAAGTTGTACTTCCAAAGAAGAGGATGAAATAATAAAAGAAGTTTCTTTTTGCATTGCTTATCATGGAAAAGCAATTAAGTAATTTAATTATGATAATTAAATTAATTTGCAAATATGAAAAATGCATTTGAATTACTTTCTTTCCAGATGTGCTGAATGTGTTGAATCTATATATGGGTTTGCATTATTTATTGAATTAACAATAAGTATGATATTGTTAAGTGCAACCGGATATGTGGTAATTGAATTTTTTTATTCAATGAATTATTTTTTTTTGTATTAATATTTAAACACCATTAGCAGTGATATAAACAAAATTTGTTTGAATAAAAATTGGTTTTTGATGTGTCTTTTTTAAAACGCCAATCTACTTTTTGCTTTAGTATTAGATTCAGAGACTTAGAATTAAATTTTGTTGTTGAATCAAATAATAATAGAATAATTTTAATTGAATATTAAATAATTCAAAGTTTGCATTTAATTAATACAATTTGTTTTCTACAGGCTGCAGTGAAAATGGGAACATTAAATGAATTTTTTCAAATGATTCCCTTTGCTGTAGGACAGGTGATACATTTGTTTTATAATTCCCTTCCAGGACAACAATTAATTAATTTCAGTGAAGCAATTGGAGATTCAGTGTTCGTAACAAATTTTATAAATCTAAACTAAAAAATTAATAATTAAATTAATTGAAGACACAGTGAATATCAAATATAATATCTGAAAATTAATTACAGAAGCAGTGCACAATGGTACAGAATGCCTATAAAAGCACAAAAGCTCCTAATTTTATTAATGATTCGAAGTTTTCGTCGTCCTTGTACAATTCAAGCAATTGGTGGTATTTTTACACTGTCCATGGAATCATTTAGTACGGTAAATTATTTTTATTCTTGATTTTATATTTAATAATGAAAATTAAAGTTAATTAAATTTTTCAGGTCATGAAAACATCAGTGTCTTATTTTACGGTTCTATTATCCATGAGTAAATAAGTATATACATTAATTGCAAAAAGTTTTTTTTTATTGTAAATCAACAAAATGTTAATAAAAATTCATTCTTAATAATGATTAATTAATTAATACCACTTGTAACAGACTTTGTAAGTGTGTTGTATTCAATTTGTATTAGGTTGTAAAATGGGTAAAATTCATTAGCCAAATAAAGCATCTATCATTATTCTCGATTTTTACACACAAAAACCATCGAACGACGCTGAAATCTGATATGCTGAATGTTCTTGTGCAATTTAACGAATATCGAATTATTAATAGCATTGTCGGTATAAATGATTAATGAAATTAATTAAATTACTTAATTAAATGGCGTAATTAAATTCATTAAAATCTTAGATTACTTAATTAAATTAATTAAATTCATTGAATTACTTAATTAAATTTCGTAATTAAATTAATTAAATTAATTAAATTCATTGAATTACTTAATTAAATTTCGTAATTAAATTAATTAAATTAATTAAATTCATTGAATTACTTAATTAAATTTCGTAATTAAATTAATTAAATTCATTGAATTACTTAATTAAATTTCGTAATTTAATTAATTAAAATAATTAATTTAATTTAATCTTAATTATAATACATTTAGAATTTAAAGGAAGTTTCTGGTTGTACATTATTATTTCTGAATATTAGATAAAGCATCTATTATTCTCGATTTTTACACAAAAACCATCGAACGACGCTGAAATCTGATGCTGAATGTTCTTGTGCAATTTAACGAATATCGAATTATTAATAGCATTGTCGGTATAAAGATTAATGAAATTAATTAAATTACTTAATTAAATGATGTAATTAAATTCATTAAAATCATTAAATTACTTAATTAAATTAATTAAATTAATTAAATTCATTGAATTACTTAATTAAATTTCGTAATTAAATTAATTAAATTCATTGAATTACTTAATTAAATTTCGTAATTTAATTAATTAAAATAATTAATTTAATTTAATCTTAATTATAATAAATTTAGAATTTAAAGGAAATTTCTGGCTGTACATTATTATTTCCTAAAGTCGAAAAGATTTCCAGAAAAGAGTGTGCAGAGCATATCAGGATTGCAGTTGTCGTTCAATTAGATTGGATGAGTTTTAGTATGTAGGTGCGGAAAATTTTAATATTAATTTAAAAACCGCGTTACATTATTCACTGATTATACAATCCTGATTAATAATGTGGAAATTTTTTTGTTTATTTATACAAACGACCTTACATAAGGAAGAATTTCTTTAACAAAAACATTGAAATTGATTTTTACTTACCAAATCTTAGGAAAGATTGAAAGAAGAAAGGAAAATAAATTCCTGTAATCACATTGTTGTAGCTTATGAAATTAACATTTACTATGGCTTTATTACTGAGCAAAATGACGATACAACTTTGTTTAACCGGACAAAGTGGAATAAAATGAATGATCAATTTAATGGTGCAGGTCTTCAGTTCAAAATAAATGCGATCAGCTTTGTAGAAGTTGCATCCTGATCTAATGGTAAAATAAAAATTCTCTTTTAAATACATATTGTACAAAGTAATTAAAAATTATAAGCTCGATTATAAGATTTTTTTAACTGTTAAAATTAATAATAAATTTTAATTACCTTTCCAGAATAACTATATTGATTCATTTTTTTTAAATATAAATTAATCCTACTTTCATCACGAATAAAGAGATTTATGAAGTTTGATAAATATTTTAATGTCCCTGATGTCTAAAATATAGAAATATTAATTTGCGGTAATTAAAATTAACGTATATAAAAAATTTAGTATAAGTAGGAATTTGGTGTTTTCGCCAGTCTGGGCCAGGCAGCGTGGAACGCCAATTGGAACACCCCGCCAGTGAAATGGTTAATTATTTTTTTTCTTCTGTTAAATACTTTAATTTTGATTTTCATTAAAAAATAAATGGATCTCAAATTTATTTATTCACAAAAATTATTGTACATTAAAGACATAAATCGCGTAAATAATTATATTATTATTATTTATACATTCAATAAATTAATCATATTCAATAAACACATTTCCATTAATATTTTGTACATTTACAAAAAAGAAAAAAAAAACTTTTTATCATTCACGTTTATTCATTCGGTCATTGATAATAAAACCGTAAAATATGACACCGACGTTTTCATACCCTAAAAAGATAATTGAATTTTTAATATACAATTTCTATTGTGATATCAGTATTATAATAATTTACCGAACTAAATGATTCCATGGATAGCGTGAAAATTCCACCAAATGCTTGAATTGTGCAAGGACGATGAAAACTTCGTATCATTAATAAAATTAGAAGCTTTTGTGCTTTTATAGGCATTCTGTACCATTGTGCACTGCTTCTGTAATTAATTTTCAGATATTATTTAATATTCACTGTGTTTTTAATTATAATAATTATTAATTTTTTAGTTCAGAATTACAATTTGTTACTAACACTGAATCTCCAATTGCTTCACTGGAATTAATTAATTGTTGTCCTGGAAGGGAATTGTAAAATAAATGTACCACCTGTGCTGAAGCAAAGGGAATCATTTGAAAAAATTCATCAAATGTTCCTAATTTAACAGCAGCCTATATATAAAAAAGAATATTTAGTTTCAGATTTTTTAATTTTATTGAATCTAGATTATAATTTCATTGAAATAAATTTTTAATTTGTCCCTGACTTCTTATGGATATATCTAATTACCACATATCCAGTTGCGCTCAACAATATCATACTTATTGTTAATTCAATAAATAATGCAAGCCCATAAATAGATTCGACACATTCAGCACATCTAAAAATAGAAAAAAATTCCAATTTTTATTTTCATTTAATTATCGTACAATAATTACCTGATTGCTTTTCGATGATAAGCAATGCAATGAGAAACTTCTCTTGTAATTTGTTCATTTTGCTTGGAAGTACAACATTTGGAAAAATCCATATCAAAAATTTTCATAACATTTTCTATTCGATATCTAGATATATCAGTTTGTTGTATAATTAATATATAAATTGTAATTTATGAAATAAACATATATTTTTAGGAAAATCAATTTTACCGTAAAATAGAGAACATTCCACAAATGTGTTCAACATACTTCACATACATTGTATCCACACAAATTAGCGTTGTCATATTTAAAATATAACCCAATTGTTCATGCATTAAAAGTGTATAAAAATATTTATCGCCATCTATTAAATAATAATTTGTTCTATAAACTTTTTTTCTTGGACGACTTTCGTTTAATGGTTTAATAATGTCGAGAACTTGTGGCGTGTATGTTGTAATAAAAAATAAAGACATTGACGAATATACGAGAACTGGAAATAATTAATTTACATTCTATATTTATTAAGAATTTTACTTTTAGAAAATTAACTGATCGCAATTTTTTTTTCTTTTTGAAAAATTACCTGCATATAAAACAATAATAATTTTTCCTGAATCCGAACATTCTTGCATTATCTCAATTTCTGTCTCTGACATCATCATCCAATTGGTTTCAAAACTATTAAGAAGGTACTTCATCTAATTTTAAGAACAACAAAAATAGTTTTTATTATTTTAAAGTAGATTTATGTTTTTTGTAATAATCTAATGTTGCTGATACATACCTTTTTTTTGTTTAAGATACAATTTATTAATTTAACACCTATTGTTATGCAAGTCATAATATTAGTTACACTGTTGAGAATATCATCAAAATTTAAGTCCAACGTTACAAGACCAGTTATCTATTAAATCAACATGTTAACAAATAATTTTTTCCAATTTTTTGAAAATAGTTATATTAAAAAAAATTTAATTCAAATTATGTTACATTTTCCAAAAGAAACTATCCCCTCATAACAAAAGGATATCCTTAGGATATCCATAGGATATCCATATCAATGGTCCCCTCACAGCACCAGATATCCTAAGATATTCCAAAAACATCCCTTGGATATCCTAGGGATACCCCAGGGATATCCTAAGGATACTTTAAGGATATCCAAAGTAGCGGCGGTTAGGATATCCTATGGATATCCCAGGGATATCTAAGGATGTCCCTAGGACGTCCCAGAGATTATCCTAATCCTAATCATATCCCTGGAATAATTAAGGATGTCCTAAGGATATCCACAGTATGTCTATATTATCTTAAGGGTTAGAATATCCTTGAGTCGTTCTAAAAATGTCCCTAAGGTATTCATAAAACGACCCTAACATACAAATTAATTAAATAAAAATGGAAAACATATTTTTTGGATGTATTTATAATGTATTTCCAAGATATCTAAAATGATTTACCTTGTCTACAAGAATTCTTTTTTCTACTTTTTCTTTAAAAAATCTCTTGAAACCAACTCAAGCGCTAACTATTTGTATCAAAAAATCGCTATCTCAAATAGTCAAAATTTGAATCATAATGATATCCTAGGGAGATCTTAGCGATATTTCTAAAATATTTTAACGATATACCAAGTTTATCCCAAGAATATCACCACGATATCACTAGGATGTCCCTGGAATATCCCAGGGATATCCATAGAATATCCTCAGTATATCTCCAGGATATCCCAAAAATATCCTACGTAACGGCGGTTTGGATGTTCTGAGGATATCCTCAGGATATCCTTTTGTTGTGAGGGTCGATATCCTAGAATGCTCCCCAGGATATCTTGGGATATCCAAACCGCCGGTCTGTGGGACATCAACAGGACATCCATAGGATATCCACAGGATATCCCTAAGACATCCACAAAATATCTATTGGATATTATATCGCAGGATATCCATGGGATATCCTCAGGATGTCCGTGGGATATTCTTAGGATATTCACGGGATATTTAATATCTCAACATATATTTTTAAAGGTTAAAATTGTTAAGCTAATATAATGAATAATAATATAATAAAAAGAAAAATCTTATGAGCTTCTAATTTATTTTAAATGAAGATTTAAAACGCATTTTTCAAAGTTTTTAAATAAACTCATGCACTTAATGTATAATTAATATGAATAAAGGAATGAATCACGAATGAGAAAAAAATTAGTTAATAATTTTTCAAATTAAACAACTTTCTCGAAAAACAAGTTGCATTTTATTTTATTTATATAAAATTTAATTCACAGAATATTCTCACTCGTAGTCTCATAATGACTTTAAAAACAGTATCCTGAGAATATCTTCTTTACATCCAGAAGATATACTGAGAATATCCTGAAAATATCTGTGGGATATCCTTACGATATCTATGGGATATCCTGATGATATCTGTGGGATATCCTGACGATATCTATGGGATATCTTGAGGACATTTATGAAAGTCTATAAAGATATCCAGAAGATATCCTGTGGATATCCAAAGGATATCCAAACCGCCGATTTTTTGGATATCCTTAAGAGATCCTTTTGATATCCATAGGACATCCCTAGGATATCTGCGAGATATTATCAATATATCCCAAGATATCTTGTGTTATTAGGGTCGTGTATTTAAATTGCAAAAAATACGATATATAGTGTGAAAACATTTTTACTTAATTTTACTACCATGACAATAACGAGAGATAAATTCATGATTAAGTAGATAGATGAAATAATAATTGTTTCTTTTTTCGATTGATATGGCCATTGTCCAATAATGCATGTTAAAATTTTATTTAATCTAAAGCAACGATTGTCAAAGAAATCCATAACTTGTGTTAGATGAGCGTCTGAAGTGTCTCTCCTTCAGAATGAACTACAGACATATATAGGAATAATGTTATAGTAAGTGAAAAATTTATTATTCAGAAAGGAAGTTATGGTATTATCAAGAAATCTGAATATACTTGGACTAAAGATTAAATAAACAAACAATTACAGTTAATTCAGATTTCTTGGAACAATAATATTCAAAGAATTGAATTAAATATTAAATCAAAGATATACCTTTCTCAATTTTATTGATTTAGAGTCATTATAAACATTACCACCGTCAAAGAAACATCGAATGGATATTTTATATGTATACTCAGTTTTACTATTAGAGAAATTAATTTTAGAATCAATTTAATTAATATTAAAGTAATTTAAAATTGTATTAAATTGTTACCACAAATATCAAATTGATATAAAAATTTGAATCAATTTAATATTTTTAGTATCAATTTGATGCTTTTAAATAAGTGCACGGAGAAAAATAATTTAGCTGTAGTAGCACAATATATATACATTAGCTGAAATCAATTAGCTGGTTGTGTTAAGGATTTAGCTGATACTGCAAGTTATTTCCTATTGCAGCTAATAGATATTTGCTGCATTTGATGAAAAGTTGATTTAATCCTTAGCTGCTACAAGTCCGTGCATGTAAACCCCGTAGAGCCGGTCAGAAATGCGGCGTTGTCCATTAGCTTTCTTATCTTAAAAGGAAACCCCAATTGATATCTCTTCAAAATTAACTCACACATTATTTTGCTCAGTATACAATTTTTTATGACATTTAGTCCTATCAATCCTGAATCCAGTAGTTATAAAATATTTTCATAGAACGCAATAACACAAAATTTTAATTCAGAAATTAATCTAATAACAAAATGAATTATTCTGAGCTTTTGGGAATTAAAAATAATACATTTGAAGACGTGATAAAAATTCTTCCTGCATCTAATTTTGGATTTGTGTTAGAGTTTGAAAATGTTACTGATAAATATTTGTACTTGATGAATTTAAAAAAAGAAATAATGAATGCTTTTGATAATTATTCAAATAACATTGAATTTGCAGCTCCTTTGACATTTATTTATTCATTGATCCTGATCTTAGGTGTCATTGGAAATATTATGACATGCATTGTTATAATTAAAAGTCCATCATTACGAAATGTCACGAATTATTATCTTTTTAATCTTGCTATTTCGGATTTGTTACTATTGATCAGTGGTAAATCTCTTTATTTATTAATAGAATTTTTATAATTAACAAATTATTTTCTTTTTCATAATTATTAAATTGTGATAGAAATTTGCCTTTATTGCGAATTACTGCGATTCTAAAACAGATTTTTTAAAATCGTCGATTGCATTTTTTCTGCTTTCTATTCGTTTTTGAAAGTTCTGAATGGACCTTTTTTGTAACCTTATACTATGTTAAATAAAAAAATTTTATTTTATTATATTTATACTATTGCGTATTTCATTATTATTTTCTAGGTATAATTCTTCATTTACAACTTTTATGGATGAAGTACTTCTTGATAGGAGGTATTGTTCTTTGTAAAGTTCTTCCTTATTTATACGATGTGTAAGGATTAATTTATTGATTTAATTAACTTTGCAAATTATTTAAAAAATAGTACTATATGAATTGTAAATTATTTTCTTATTTCAGAGCTTACAAAGTATCAGTATTGACAGTGTTTGCATTTTCATTCGAACGTTACCTTGCAATTTGTCATCCTCTAAGTTTTAGAAACGTGAAAACTTTAAAAAGGACTATTACATCAATAATCGTTTTATGGATAGTCGGATTAATATTTTCATTAAATCAGTTGTTTCAACATTTAATAAAATATGTCTTTCAATTTTCTTCTGGTAAGTATATATTACATATTTTAGATTAGTGTATAAAAATAAGTGCCAAAAAAATAAGTTCCAATCCTTTTGGATAACTAATTAGAAACTAATAAAGTTTAAGTAATTAAATATTGGAAAGTTTTTAAACACTTTTACGAACATCTTTTTTGCTTAATTTCTACCTCCCTGGCGGAATCATAAAATCGGATTTAAATCAAATTTGATTGAGTTTGATTAGACGCAGAATTTTGCTGCTAATTGATGAAATTTGATCAAATAAACCATTGCTAATGAAAATGTATCATTATTTTAGTTGATTTATGCAAGAATTGATTTCAATTATGTGTTAATTTAATAGTAATAAGTGCATTAATTACTATTTAATTAATGCATAATTGAACTCAATTCTTTCACAAATCAATTAAAATAATAATAAATTTTCATTAGCAATGGTTTATTTGATCTAATTTCATCAATTAGCAGCAAAATTCTGCTCCTAATCAAACTCAATCAAAATTAAATCAAATTCGATTTAAATCCGATTTTATGATTCCGCCAGGGGAACATCTTTTTTGCTTAATTTCTACCTTTTGCTCTTATGTTGTCACATATCTATGTTTTGATTATAGATTTAATTATTGATCCAGAAAATCTATTGGCATGTGATTATATAGACAAATTGAATCGTTACATAAATGATTATTTGAATTTTTTTATTTTCTTTATTTTGCCAATGATCGTAATAACTATTTTATACATAAAAATGGGACAAAAATTGCGAGATAGTTGTCAAAAGAACACATTAAATTATGGAAAGAGTTGTCGTCAATTTCAGTCCAGACAATCTTCAATTAAAATGTTGAGTATGTAAACAAATTGTTTTAATTTGATGAATTACTAATAAAAAATTTATCCTATTTATTTTAATCCAGTAGTTATTCCGTTAATTATCCCAGTAGTTATTCCAATAATTATCCCAGTAATTATTTCCAGTAATTATTCCAGTAATTATTTTTCATAAGGGATATTAAATATATTGATCTGTTGGGGTAATTTTAAGTGTCAAGATTATCAGTTACACTTACAGTTAAGTATTTGTATAAAGTTTTTTAATAAAACAATTGATATACTATTTTCTTAACATTTTTCAATGTCCGGATTCACTTGCGAAGTTTGCTTAGTACTGAAAAGAGAATTAGTTCCTCCAGAAAAATTGAAAGGTAAAAGTGTAAATTTTATGCGTCAGTTTTAGAGAATTAATTGTATAAAATAATTTATTGTTTGTTTAATAGCATTCAGGTGTTTGAGGTTTGTGTTGATTTTTGAGGGTTGATGCTTATTAATTCACATTTATTTGTAACAATTTAGTTACCCAAAGAACACCATTTTGGATATCTTATCGTTGCAGGAAATTACAATTGATATCATCACGTAAAACCCAACTTATATTGTTTGACTAAATTTTTTATGACAGTAGTTGTTATTAATCTTGAATGCAGCAGTTTATAATTAATATTTTTGAAATTCTATATTTGGAACGTTCATACATGAACATTTACAATATTTACATAATGTGCTGTAATTAAGTACGTCTAATATAAATACTCCTGGATACAAGAAGTATGTTGGAATAGAAATTTGATTGGATTAACACAAACTTTCATTTATAATTCAAAAATTAATTTAAACAAGAAACAATGAATTATTCTGAGCTTTTTGGAATTAAAAATAATACATCTGAAGACGTGATAAAAATTCTTCCTGCATCTAATTATGGATTTGTGTTAGATTTTGAAAATGTTACTGATAAATATTTGTACTTGATGAACTTAAAGGAAGAAATATTGGATACTTTTGATTATTTTTCGCTCTTTGATTTAGCAATTCCTGCATCTTTTTTTTATTTATTATTTCTGATATTAGGTGTTACGGGAAATATTATAACGTGCATTGTTATAATAAAGAGTCCATCTTTTCGAAGTGCGACGAATTATTATCTTCTTAATCTTGCAATTTCTAATTTGATACTACTAATCAATGGTGAATCTTTTCATTTTTAATTTGTAATTTCAATTACCAATTACAGTTAAAGTTTATATAAATATTTATAACATGCTCCTAATACTTTTACTTAATATTGCATAATTATTTTCAGGTTTCATTACTGATTTACAAGTTATATGGATAAAGTATAAATTCATAGGAGGTTTTTTCTTTTGTAAAGTTTTTCCATGCTTATCCGAAGTGTAAGGATTTATTTTCTTGATTTAATAAACTAGGGCAATTAATTAAAAAATAGTATTTTTAAATATAAATTATTTCAGAGCCTGGAAAGTAATACTATTGACATTGTTTGCAATTTCATTTGAACGTTATCTCACAATTTGCCATTCTGTCCGTATTAAAAAAGTGAAAACATTAAAAAGAATTATTATTTCTATAATCATTTTATGGATAATTGGATTCATATTTTCAGTAAATGAATTTTTTAAAAATTCTGTAAAATACGTCTTTGAATTTTCTTCTGGTAAGTAACTTAATTACAAATTATAATTCATTATTAGGATTTCCACGTGGCTTATATTTTATTTGTTTTTCAAAGGCTTTTTCTACTCTGCTAATATTTTCAAATAAGTTTTTAATTACAGGTTTAATCATTGATCCAGAAAATATAAGTGAATGTGAATATGTAAACAATTTAATGTATTTGATTGAAAAGATCAATTTTTTTCTTTTCTTCTTGTTACCTATGATGGTGATTATTATTTTATACATACAAATATCACGAAAATTGCGAGATAGTTGTCAAGAAAAAACATTAAATTATGCAAAATGCTGTAGTTCTATTCGACAAATTCACTCCAGACAATCTACAATTAGGATGTTGAGTATGCAAAGCAAACTTTTTTCATTCTTTTGAATCATTTTAAATATCTAATTTTTCTTCTTTTCTGAAGGGAATTTTGTTCTTTACAGCGTTTAAGGCCAGGTCCAAGTGAGGCAGCGCCATCTACATTGATACTAAAATTTTGGAAAATTTTCAACAGCCTTTTCTTGAAAACAAGATGGTAAAATGCTTTTTCCTTTATGGATAATTGATTATTGGCAAGATATACACCAGCTAAAACTTTTTTTGAGTTAAAATAATAAAAAAAATTTCATGTCAATAAATTAAATATGAGCACTTTTTTCACAAAAACTGTAACAGTACTTTCTCAGAAATTACAATCAAAAATGCAATTTCCATTTGGAAAATTAATAAACGCTAAAAAATACACGACCTAAGATTTACCAATCACGAAAATAAGAAAAAAAAATTTTATTAAATATTTAACATATTGATACTGCTTTACTGATTGTGACAGCCCTTTGGTAGATTATGTATTTCAGGTGGTTAGCAACAGCGCCAATCTCCTCCTTTCGGCTAAACTGCGAAGCGTCTGGTGACATATATAACCTGCCAAACGGCTCTCATAATGAGTAAAATATGTTATGTTAAAATACTTTTTTTTTGTTATTTTCGTGATTGGTAAATCTTAGGTCGTGTATTTTTTAGCGTTTATTAATTTTCCAAATGGAAATTGCATTTTTGATTGTAATTTCTGAGAAAGTACTGTTACAGTTTTTGTGAAAAAAGTGCTCATATTTAATTTATAGACATGAAATATTTTTTATTATTTTAACTCAAAAAAAGTTTTAGCTGGTGTATATCTTGCCAATAATCAATTATCCATAAAGGAAAAAGCATTTTACCATCTTGTTTTCAAGAAAAGGCTGTTGAAAATTTTCCAAAATTTTAGTATCAATGTAGATGGCGCTGCCTCACTTGGACCTGGCCTTAAAAAAAGAAATGACAATTAATATATTTTAATACTTTTACAGGGGTTGTTGTGTTAATGAATTTCGTATGCCGGACTCCAGTTATATTGACATTTTTGTTGGGACAAATGGATTATTTTGAAAACCTGGAATATAAAAATTATTTGAAACCTTTTATCCAATATTTCAAAAACCAATACAATCCGAAAATACATTCAAAAGACCCCCGCCATCTTCAACAAGCTCCTCAACTCCCACTACTCAAGAACCATTTACCGAATCTTTAAATGAACCAGATGTTAGTGATAACGATGTCTCTGATTATGAGTCAGGCCTTAGTGATTCATCTATTAATAACAGTCAGAATCTAAAAGAGCAACATACACGAAAGAAAAGTAAAAAAAACCCAAAATCATCACAAACATTTCCTCTTGACCCAGAAAAGTGGAAACAGATCGAAAATGTTCTAGAAGACCCTAATAAACAATACCCACTAAATGTTATGCAATTACAGAGTTTACTAGATTCGGCTATAGGTTCTGAAAATATTATTCAAATTGTTTTAGACCAAACAAAAGACCTGGAAAATCTTACCTCATTGCTTTTAGACGTATATCCTATGCTTCCAAATAAAGCATTAAAAAATCGCTGCACTCGAATTAAAAATAAAATAAAAGAATACGTCGAAAATCATCAGGCAAATCCAATCATGGAAGAATAACCCTAGACATTCTCTTTACCTTTTTCATATTTAATGGATATTTTACAATGGAATGTAAATGGCTATTATCCTCGTAGAGGCGTCTTAAAAAAATTGATTTCTGATCTTACACCAGCCTGCATCTGTCTTCAAGAAACAAATTTCAAAAATAATTGTGCTACACTCCGAGGATATAAATCAGTTTTCAGAAACAGAATCAGTGAATATAGCAGTGGTGGAGTAGCCTCCTTCATTAAATCAGAACTATTTATTAAAGAAATCCCGCTCACAACGCCCCTTGAAGCAGTAGCCGCTTCTATCTACTTGCCAAATAAGATAACTGTTTGTAATGTCTATCTCCCTAACAGCCAAGAGTTAGTGATAGAAGAATTAAAGGCTCTATTACAACAATTACCTAGGCCCTTCATGATCGTAGGTGACTTCAACTCCCATAGTGAAATGTGGGGTTCTTATAAACATGATTCTCGTGGACTCACCATCGAAAAATTACTTGAAGAAGAGAACCTAGTCCTACTTAACACAGGACAACCCACTAGATTAAATCTTAATTCTGAATCAGACAGTGCCATTGACCTTTGTATCACCTCTCCAAATATTGCTTTGGATTTTGAATGGACGGTTTTTGATTATCCGTATGACAGTGACCATTTTCCCATTATAATAAAATCCTTACTAGTTCCTCAAAAAAACCAATCACATACATTTCCCAAATGGATAATCAACAAAGCTAACTGGATCGAGTACAATGAAACCATAAAAATAAATATAAGAAATTTAGAACCTATCACTACACAATCTTCTGTTAATACCCTCTTAAAAAATTTATGTGATTGTATAATAACAGCAGCCGAAAAATCTGTTCCGAAGTCCTCCGGCAAAATTAATAAAAAACAAGTTCCATGGTGGAATTCTGATTGTGAAGAGTCACTAAAAAACACAAAAAGAGCCTACAGAAAAATGAAGAGGGCAAACAATTTAGAAAATATAATAGAGTATAAACAACGAAGAGCAATATTTCGAAGAACTGCCAAAGAAAGTCAAAAAGAATCCTGGAATAATTTTACACTCTCAATTGCTCCTGACACACCAATAGGACAAATATGGAAAAAAGTTCGCAGCTTAAAAGGTACCAAGACAAATATATCTCCCCTTTTCCTTTCAGACCAAAATGGAAATATCACCAACGATTTAAAGGACATGAGTGACATGATTGCAGACTCTTTTGCATCTAACTCCAGTGATTCTAATTTCTCTGAAAGATTCCAAAACTTCAAAATTAATTCCAATCTCAATATTAACCGCGTTGAACTAGATGATGACCCTGCAGACCCCATCAACAATCCAATTACACTTGAAGAATTTCAACATACACTCTCACTCACAGGAAAAACCAGTCCAGGACCCGACAATATCCCATATGAATTCATAAAACACCTTCCTAAAGAGGGAACAGAATATGTTTTAAATCTATTTAATTTCATATGGTCAAACAAAGTTTTCCCAGATATGTGGAGAGAAGCTGTGGTTATCCCAATTCCAAAACCCAACAAAGATCATTCAAATCCTTCTAATTACAGACCTATTTCTCTTACTTGTAACCTGTGCAAAATCCTAGAAAGAATTGTATCTGAACGACTAAGATGGAAACTGGAAAATCTAAATATCCTTTCACCACATCAGTATGGCTTTAGAAAGTTTAGATCTACAATGGACCACCTAATAAATATTGAATCAGAAGCTTGTGAAGCCCTCGCCCAAAACAGTGACCTATTATTAGTCTCTATGGATATTGAAAAGGCGTATGAAATGGTTTGGAAGGACAAAGTGATTTCTCTTCTAAAAAATATACAAATTTCAGGTAACATTTTAGCTTTTATTAAAAACTTTTTACTCCAGAGAAAATTAAAAGTCAGATTAGGCAACGTTGAATCTAAAATGGTCGAAACCGTAAATGGAGTACCACAAGGCTCAGTGTTAAGTGTTCTCCTATTTCTCATCATTATAAATAATATAACGTCCACTATCAAACCTCCAATCAAGTGCCAACTCTTTGCTGATGATTTTATCTTTTCTCTAAAAGGGAAAGATCCTAAAGTTTTAGAAAATATTGCCCAGAAGACCCTAAACTCTTTACTAAAATGGTCAGACCAAACAGGTTTTAAGTTCTCAATATGCAAAACTGAATTCATGATCATTTCAAGAAAAAGAAACCCAGTAGCTTGTGAACTTACCTTGAATAACACTCCTATTAAAAGAGTCAACTCCATGACAATTCTTGGCCTACTCTTTGATAACAAACTCTCTTGGACACAACATATAAACAAACTAAAAGCTGATTGCAAAATGAGAGTCAACATTATTAAAGCTCTAGCATCTATTAAATGGGGATCTAGGAAAGTTTGCTTAATAAACACTTTCTCCTCATTAATTCGAACTAAAGTTGATTATGGTTCTATATTGTATGACTCAGCAAATCCAAATATTCTAAAATCGCTAGAACCGATTCAAAATACAACCCTAAGACTCTGCATTGGTGCCTTTAAAACTAGTCCAGTATCTAGTATTCTCGCAGAATCAGGATATTTTCCACTAAAATACAGGAGAATGCTTCTCTGCTTAAATTATAATTGCTCTGGAATATCAAATTCTGCTATTTCCACCACAGAATATAAAATGTATGACAATTCGCCACACTTACCCAAGCCTCTTAAATTTAGAATATTTAACTACCAAAAAGAACTAAACACCTCTACCCCCACATGCAATCCTCGCAAGTATTATCCAATTGCTCCTTGGGAAAAATCGCCAATAAAAATTGATTTGGGTATGTTAGATAAAGCCAACAACTTACATCCTTCTTTTATCACTGAAGTTTTCATGGACCATATCCAAACATATATGGATTATAATCACTATTATACAGATGGATCAGTTATAGAAGGACATGCCGCCTGTGCCATCTCAACTGATAAAGATAACATATTCGCCTGTCGACTTCCTAATGAATTTAACATCTTCTCTTGTGAAGCCTACGCAATTTTCAAACTTCTCACCTTGATAAAAAATTTAGTAACTCCCAACAAATCGGTCATCTTCTCAGACTCTTTATCTTGCCTAATAGCAATAAAAAACAAATACTCTACATCAGCCCTCATCCAAAATATTCAATCTCTTTTAAAAGAATTAACAAATACAAATAATATAATTATACTTTGCTGGATTCCCTCCCATAAAGGAATAAGAGGAAATGATATCGCTGATAATTTCGCCAAAAATGCAACAAAATCGACCACCATCGAACAAATTCCGATCTCCATAGAGGAAATTAAAAAAAGAAATTTACACGTAGTTAAGCAAAAATGGAATGTAGAATGGCAATCTCTTCACTCAAAACTACATGACATTCGATCAAATGTTTTTGAGAAGGTTCCTGGCAATCCCACATCCAGATCAGAAGAGTGCCGCATCTCCAGATTACGAATTGGACACACCAACTTTAGTCACATTCACCTCATCACAAAATCTCCCCCAAATAAATGCCCCAAGTGTAATGAAACAATATCAGTCATACACCTCATCCACGACTGCGATGGCTATGATTTAGAAAGAAGAAAAGCTTCTCTAACTGGAAACATTAAAAACTCACTAAACTCTGATGAAGGTCTTAAAAAAGTGCAAAAGTTTTTTTCGAATATAAATATGATTGGTGATATTTAACGAAAATGTATTTTCCTTTTTTATCTTAATAATTTGTCATGATAATCATCAATTAATGTTGTAAGATCGTGGTCGCTTATGACCCTAGTTGTTCAACAGCGACCTTAAATAAATAAAAAAAAAAAAAAAAAAATTATTTGACGATATTAGTTATTTCAAACTTATTGTTATACTTCAGTATCTCAGTAAATCCAATAATTTATCATTTAATGAGTTCTCAATATCGAGAAGCTTTTAAGAACATTTTTTCTGGCAAGCCGGAGTTAATTTCAGAGAAGAAGGTTAAAAAACAATGTATCGCAGAGGACACTATTTAGGATTTCTTGTTTTTAATTATTTTTCTTCAATTATTTTTTAAATTTCGTATTGAAAACAATCTTATTACGTAATAAAGAATGTTTTTAGGAGATTCTGTTTTTTTATGTGAATCGATCCAATAATTTTTGTGTGCGCTATAAATTCTAATTTCCTTAAATTCCATATTTAGAGAAATTTATGAACGATCTCTTTAAATACTCATAAGAATATAAGTTTTAAAATTAAGTAAAAAGAATCGATTTTTCGTATGAAATTTTAAATTTCATTAATATCTTTGCGTATAAACTTTAATTAAAAACTGTCCTTTACCATTCTAATCATTACAGGAAATCACAATAGATATCTTTACTTGAAAACAAACTCATATAATTATTATTTTCTATTGTTTTACATAAACTTTTTTTTTTATTACAGTAGTGCTATAAATTTCAATAACAGCGGTTATAAAATATTTTATAAAATCAAAAAAAAAAAAAAATTATTTAAATCGGATATTAATTTATATAAATCAATTTAAATTAATAATTGTATTCGAATACACAATATGAATTATTCTGATCTTTTGGAAAATAAAAATAATATAAAATACGAATTGTCAATTATTCCAGCATCTCAAATTGGACTTGGAGAATTGGATTTAGAAAATGTGACTGATAAATATTTATTTTTTGTGAATTTAAAGGAGAAACTACAGGATTCATTGGTTGATCATGTGTTCTTTGATGTTGCGGCTCCACTATCTTTTCTTTATTTATTGGTCCTGATATTAGGTGTCATTGGAAATGTCACGACGTGCATTGTTATAATTAAAAGTCCATCACTGAGAAATGCTACAAATTATTATCTTTTTAGTCTTGCTATTTCGGATTTGATGCTATTAATTATTGGTATTATACTATTTTTATAATTATCAATTGAATATATATAATTGTCTTTGCCAAAAAAAAATTTCTTCAAACAGAAGAAAAATATTGTCAGTAATTATAATAATTAGCTATATGATCATTATGATTAGGTATGATTCTTGATTTTCGAATTTTATGGAAAAAGTATCCATGGATATGGGGTCTGGCACTTTGTAAAGTTCTTCATTATTTATACAGTGTGTAAGAATTTAATTTTTATCATCCTGACGATGTTCTTTAAAATAATATTACATTATTTTTTTTTATTTTAGAGCCTACAATGTATCAGTATTAACAGTGTTAGCATTTTCATTTGAACGTTACCTTGCAATTTGTCATCCTCTACGTATTAATAATTTGAATGTATTAAAGAGACCTATTTGGTTTATAATCATTTTATGGATAATCGCATCAATATTTTCATCAAACCAATTGTTTCGACAATTAACAAAATACGTCTTTCAATTATCTTCTGGTAAGAATATTATTTAATTAACATTCTAAATCCATAATCTGAAAAAATTAGTCCCCAATTCTAATTTATTTCAATTTATTAAAATAATTAAATATATAAAAATACTCTGATTTTATTTATCGAAATTTTTGATTACAGGTTTAATAATTGATCCAGAAAAGCTAATAGCATGTGAATTAACTGATAGCATAAAGTGGCTTGTACATGATCATTTGAATTTTATATTTTTCTTCGTTTTACCAATGATGGTGATTGTTATATTATATATAAAAATAGAACGAAAATTGCAAGACAGTTGTCAAGGAAAGACATTGAATTATGGAAAGAGTTGTAGTTCCATTCGACAATTACAATCTAGACAATCTTCAATTAAGATGTTGAGTATGATAACAAATTTTTTAGAATCTATAAATTAAAAATTTTAAATTTATTTTCTAGTTTGAAACTAGCTGAAATAATTAAGAAATATTTTCTATATTTTATAGGAGTTGTTGTAATAGTAACCTTTATATGCTGGGCTCCGAATAATTTAATTTTTTTGTTTGAACAAATTGGAAAGATTCAAACTCTGGACTACGATCTTTATCACTGGGTCATGTTTCTTTCAAATTTATTTTTCTACGCCAGTACTGTAGTAAATCCAATAATTTATAATTTAATGAGTTCTCGTTATCGAGAAGCCTTCAAGAATATTTTCCATGGCAAGGAGGAATTATCTTCAAAGATGAAAATCAAAGTAGAGTGTAATACAGAAAGCTCGGTTTAAGATTTTTAATACCATTTTATTTCTTTAATTTCATATGAAAAAACTAGGCTTATTAGGTAAAAATTAATAAAATTCAATTGAATTGAATAAAAATATAATCAGTGTAAATGGTTTTTTTAAAAAAATGTTTGGCATTTCATACTTGTTAATTTTTTATAACAAAATTTTCATTCGAACCACATATTCCACGAATTTGATTGAACATTCTCATCATGTAATTCGTTAGGGTTAATGTGTGTTTTAAGAAATTTTTCATTCCTTCGAATTATTTATAACGTAAATTTTTCGCTATTGAATTTAATACAGTTTTGTGTTTAATTTCAATTATAATTTTCGTACTCAAATTTGGCCCTGTAAAAAAGTTATTAACAGTAAAGACATCTTAAGAATTTATATAGCATTAAAGAAAGAATGAGAATATGAAATCTTACCACATTCTTATTAAGGAACAGAATTTTTTTAAGAGATCTTTTTTAGCTTGTTCTTTTTGTTGTTCATTTAATCCACCATTATTATCCAAACAAAGAATAATTTTTTCAATAGCCTGTTGAGAAGTTGAAATCAAATCAGAATTAACGAGACATTTTGTGTTTATAAGATGATCCCATTTTGCTTCTGTCATTCCACTAGAAGTTTGTCTTGCTTTATTTAAAATTTCAGTTTTCACTTGAGAAGATGTCATATCATATTTATCACGTAAATTAGATACGGCAGGAAATAAATTTCCTCCTTTAGAATCACATTTTCCTTTAAATTGATCCCAAGATAATCCAAATCTATCTTGTACTTCGTAGACTACGGGATTCACAAATTTTAATCCTCTGACATATTCTGAACCTATTGAAAAAATTTTTTTCTTCAGTAAATGATAATTTTATATTTAATTTTATATTTTCTATCAGTTTTTTTTAATATAGAAAATATATAAAGGTATTTTATTATATTAAATTTTTTATTATTAATTGATACTTGCAAACAACGAAAGTAAGTAGAAAGAGGAAGAAACACTTCATGTTTAGAAGAAATTGAAACTTTTTCAAATTGTGACTAACTAAAACCAGTTGTTTTCCTCTTTTATGTCAATAATTGCCTCTCTATATTTCCTCAATAAACAGAAATTTAAATACACAAGTAACGTCTCGTACAAATGTTTAGTTTAAACTGACGTTGTGCAATCGAATTGTGTTGATTGCTGTATTTGATAAGACTTTACTGACGGAAATATAAGAAAAAAAATTAATAAACAGTGTATATTATAATATTAATTCCAGAAATTGCAAATTTGCATTAAATTTTTATATTATAATAACAATTTTAAAATATAAATTGATCCAGGAAAAATTAAACAAATTTTACTAAAAAACATTAATTTCCGATTGCAAAATTCGTCAAGAGTTCCAATATTAAAATTATGATAATTTTTTAGGAAATAAATTATTTAACAATTTATACAACTATTGAAAATATATATTCTAACAATATTTGTTTAAAATTTTTTATTTTTCATACTTGTAAATAAATTTTTGCAAATTTTAATCTATTCTACAATATTTATAAAAACTTTTAAAATCTGAAAGTATTTCCATTGTATTTTGAAATGAACTGAAATATTTGATTATTTTAATTCTAAATATTTGTCAATAATATTAGCCTGAAACTATATGAAACATGAATTTTTTTATTTTCTTGTTCCTTGCATCACAAATTGTTCATGTATACCCATTGTGCACTGTAAAAAAATACATTTTTATTGCATAGCAAGAAAGCAGGCTTATTAGATAAAAATTAATAAAATTCAAGTGAATTGAAAAAAATATAATCAATGTAAATGGTTTAAAGAAAAACAAAAAAAAAATGTTTGGCATTTCATACTTGTTAATTTTTTCGGGATTATTTCAAATTAAATAAATTATTTACTCCCATTGAAGGTTTCATTATACTTTTAATTAAAAAATAAAAAAAAATTAAGGTCATTGAATATGAAAATTTTTACAATTCCAAATGGCGGATTCAATATGACGAATGGAATTTTTTTTTTTGATTGTTTTAATTTGTAAATCTTATTAGTTAGGAATTTTTAGAATTGCTAAATCCAAATGATTTTAAGAATTGAAATAATACCTAAATATAAAACTTACGATATTGACACTGCGTGGCATAATCCTTTAAGAAAATCTTGTTTTGCTTTATCAACTTCTGCTCCCTGTAATTGTTGATTTGGATCTACACAAATTTGCGCCTTGTCTATTGCAACTTGGGAAATATTTATTAAATTCACATTTGTTAAACAATTATCTTGTATCCACTGTTCAGGAAAATATCCCAATTCTCTGGCTTTGGCAATTAAAGCCGCAGTTAATTGACTTCTAATTTCACCTTCTTGTGTTTGTAATTCAACAAGTTCATTATATAAATTTGGATCTTTGCTATCGCATTTTGGTTTTAAGTCACCAAAAGGCATACCATACTTTGATCGTATTATGGCATCCAATGGTTCTAAAAATCTCAAACCCGTCACTAGAACTCCAGCACCTATTATCGTTTTATAAATAGGTAATTTAATTTTCAGTTTTAATCCATTAATAATTTAATTTTTTTTATGAATAGTAAACAAATTAAATTCAAATTTGTACATACTTATAAAGAGTAATGTCAAAGAACGTGTTGAATATTTCATTGTTATTATTTCCAATAAATGTTAGTTATAATATTTTTTATCAAATATTGAAAATTTTATAGTAATAAAATAATAAACAAATTAAAGGTTCTAAAGTTGATAATGTATAATTTTTGAAAGCTAACACAACAGAGCGTATTTAATAAACTGTATTGGAGAATGCAATAACTTTAGTAAAGTGAACATAGATAAGATAACGTTTACAAATACTTATTGCAAATCATTAATAAATTATCCATGTAAATTTATAAATTTTTAACAGAAATACTGTTTGTTTTCAAAAATACATTTGCAAATAACAAATGAGGAAAATCTGATACTTTCCTGAATCTGATGATGCAAGTTATTAAACATGTTATTGTATTCTATTACAAAATTCTAAAATTCATTTATTTAATTTTCATTTAATATACAATTATTTGATTCTTAAATTAATAATTTAATAAAACCGAAACTTTTCTTGAATTATTATTTGATAGAATTTCACAAAATTAATTAATTAAAATTAATTGAAACTTATTTCACAACTTTTTTTTTATGTAGAATTCAAAATTTAGAAATATTTGAAATATTCTTTTGCAATGTGAAAATGATTAAAATACCAAAAAATCATGAATTATTATTGAACTATTTTTATTGAGTGTATGACATGTAAGAAATTTTAAGTCAATTAAAAAATTTTTATTGTGATGTCGGGCTGGTGGGTAAAATTGGCATAATACCAACTTTTCCACCTGGATGTCTTCCTTGTGCTATATTTTCATTTATTGTATTCCATATTATCCTGTAAATAAAAATTCGAAATTAATATAATTATTTTGAATTTCATAATTTTTATAATTTTCAGAAAAATTAAGTTAATTGTATTAAGACTTACATGGCTTTTACACCAGTACAAATATTGTTGATAGCATGAGATTGTAATTCCTCTAGTTTTTCAGCCTCTAAGTTATCATTTAAGCAATTTTTTACATTGTCAGCAACACTTTTAGCAATTTTCTTCACCTCTCCATTAGTATTACAATATTGAACAATTAGATCATCAACACCATCACTTGAATGAGGAATTGGCAATTTTTCCGTTATATTTGGTATTAAGTCATTTCTAATATGACCAACTTGAATTTTTAAATTTTCAATTTCTTTGTAATTATCCGGGCACATCGATTGAGTGGGAATTTTATCTTGTGTTAAAGTTTTCAATAATGCGGACGAAATTGGCTCCGCCAATATCATAGAAGACACATCCTTGACATAAGCTACAGATATTTTTATAAATACAACAAAAATTAAGAGAAATATTTTAAAAACAAAGACATCGTTCTTTTTAAATCACGTTTTCAATCAAAGATTAAAGTTTAATTGAATTAAAAATAAGTTTTTTGCTATTACAAAAAGAAATTATAAATTTCTTTGAATCAAAGAAATTTTTTCTTTGTATAATAATGCACACATTTTTTTGATTCAAGTAAAATTTCTTTTTGCAATAAATTAATAATTACACTTACCAAAAGTCACTAACGTCAGGAGAAAAATATAAGCCTTCATTCTAATGTGTTTTTCGAATTCAAAATCACAAATTGATGAATAAAATTGTAAACACTATTTGTTCGCAAAGGTAAGAAGAATACTATTTACTTTCTGTAGGTTTTACAACTTTAAATATATATCGCAACTATAATATATGTTTGACAGTGATTTCACGATTGACCTTAACAATGAGTCAAGGATGTGATTAATTTTGAAAAAAATAATTATTCCCAGTAAAGATAATAATTCTAGATAAGTGACAAGTTACATAATAAAAACACATTTGTATAATTGAGATTTCCAGAAAATAAAATAATGAAATTTCTTGAAAAGGAATTTAATTTTAGAATTAGAGCCTTTCTAAATTGCAAAATTACACAAACGTCATATTCCTTATTTTTTCTTATTAGAATAAGAATGTTAATAGATAAATATTAATATTTTTACTAATTGTAAGTTAAATTTTTATAACTTGTTCTTGATATTAGATTTATCCAATCACGAAAGTTTATTGTGTTGCCTACTTACAGGCGTCTGATATAAATTACAGTTAGAATTAAGCAAATAAAAAAAAAAATTAATTATTATGAATTTATTTCATAATTAAGATTTTTTTATATTTATGAAAATAGTTAAAATTTTTGAAATCTAAATACATTTATAGTTAAGAAATCTGAATTTCATTGAACAAAACACAAAACTTTATATCCAATTTTATTAAAAATAATACTTTATATGACACATTTCATTAAAAAAAATTTAATCTATCGCCAATCTGGAACTTTGGATATACATTGTGGTACCCTTTCTAAAGTGTAAATCATTTCATACGATAGTTTCACCACCGAAGTTGCACAATGTTTCACGACATCAAGTTGACAAGTGACCCTTCTATATAAATCCCTAAAAATAAAATCGTTGTTATAATTAATAAAATTAGAACAATCGGAATTGATTTTTAAAAATAATTTTTAATACATTTGAAATTGTTAAAAATAATTTTTTTTAACTCACTCGCATTCTTTTTGACTGAAGTTGATTGGAGCGTAGAAAAGAATATTATTGTAAAAAGGATCATAACAGTTTTCATTGCATAGAGAACAATTTGCACCAACGCATTCACAATTTTCTGCAACTCGCCATAAACGACGATTACACTGTTCAATAAAGCATTTTGAAATATTTTTTCCCACCTCCCAGAAGCAAGTTTTCATCTTATTATAATAAAAGCCCATATTATAGAACAATCCTAAAAAAAATTATATTATTAATTTAATCACAGTTAATAAAAGATGTTTGAATTTGCCGCGTATTTAACCCCCAATCTCAAGAATCAAGTTCATTGGATCATTTCCAATGGAAAAAAGCTATTGTAGAAGTAGCTTTAAGAAAGCAATGCAACTACCGCACCGTGCTCTAGAAAATATCGGGACATTGTGACACGAATATTTTCGACGAAAAGTAAACAAAGCGATCTTCCTAAATAAATACCTAATTAAATAAATATGAATTTTGTCAATAAGTGACAAAATTGATAATAATTGTCGGTAAATTTGAAAATTTTTGTAAATGGCGTGTGGAACAATTAATAATTTTATTAGTTAGTGGCGTACGGTGTATAAACATTATGGTTAGGGTTTTCCAGAAAAACTCTTTTATATTAATGATGAATAACAAATATAATAACAAAAAACAATATAATTCTGATATAAAATACTGAAGAATTTTTGAAAGAAAAGTACAATTTAAAAATCCTATAATTACAAATATATTGTATGAAATATTCACAAATAAAAATAGAAAGTTTAGGCTAATGTTTAATTGCGATTTTATAATTTTTGATTTAAAAAATAAATAGATTTTAGTAATTTTTAAATAAATAGAAGGAATGTTTTATATATGAGATTAATATTTATTACTTATAGGTTATGTCGTTATGTAGATCCGAAGAACTCTATTTGCAATTTCTATTTGAAATAAAATTTCTACTAACATTGTAATATAATAAAAATTCTATTAATTTATAAGTTCAGTTTTAAATTTTTCATTTATAATTTACATAAATAATTCTATTAAAATATAATTTTTAAATCAGTCTACAAATAATTTCCCATTAAATAAAATTCGTTTATAAAATAATTTGGAGTTATAATACTCACGTATTGCCTGCTCATTACAAATTTTAGTCAGCATCATTTGCTTTAAACTATTTGTATCAACATTCTCAGAATTGTCCAAACATCCAAGCATTTTATCAGCTGCATTGTACAATAAACTATTTAAATTTGTATTATTGTTGCAAAAATGTTCAATAGCGTTGCTTATAACAGTTTCGTTTGTTTCTTTGTAGTAAATTTTCAAAAGTAAATCTTCCGATATTTGATTAAAAACAATTGCATAATCTTCTTGAATATTTAATATTGTTGGCATTAATCCTTTTCGTTTGCAATTTTTTCGAAATTGGCTTAATGATACTTGAAAATTTGGATACAAAACACGATCATCACGACACACGGACAAAAAAAAACAATCTGAAAAAATTCCAAAAAAAAAAACAATAATATTGCGATAAAAAAATAAAATTTAACTGTTACTAGTATTATTATAATTAATAATATTAATAATAAAATATTAAATTATAATTAAAATAAGAATTTATCAAGTAAACAAATTTTTTAAATTTATTAAAAAAAAATATTAAAATTGAAATTATGTAGTATTTATAAGGAAATGATAAAAAATTGTAAAATAGTAAAAATTTATAAATAACAAAACTTACTGAATGAAATAATGAGACATAAGATAAAAGAACTTTCCATAGTTGATTCGCTTGAAAAAGCGAGATGAAACTGACGATTTTACATATTTTGTGCGTTACGAGTGTAGGAGGAACTCATTATCAATTTCCTAATTTGATATCTGTGTTACGAATATTAGTGATGACATCTGACTTTTTTTCAAGTTTAATTCAAATTATATTCTGTTTACGTTTTTAGGAGTGTTTCTCTTTTTTGACCTACTTTTATCATATTTATCATTTCTTTTTACAAAATAAAAATCTTATACTAACTTCATATTCTCCTCAATAATGTCAATTTCAATTATAATTTTCTTCAAAAATTCAACACCTATATAACAAGGCAATAATTAAATAATTATTAAACAAAAAAATATTACTCAATTAATATTATCAACAATATTATTTTTTTTAAAAATTGTATCTACATAAATTTTTTAAAATACAAAACTATAAGTAATTAGTAATTATTATAATAAATAATTAATACGTATCATTAACAATTAACAATTTATTCATAATTGATTTATAATATACTTAAGAATATAATGTAACATTTTACACTGTACACAATTTTTTTTATTTAGAAAAATAAATAGAGTATAATTTTTCTTATATGAGTTAAAAATAATTTTCTAAAGATAAATAATTTTTAAAAAAAATAATGCGCAAAAATTATACAAGTTACACAAGCGTCCCATATGCCTAAAGTTTAAGAAAAACAAAAATTTATCATTTATACATAATATTTTAATTTGTAACTTAATTAAAATATAATTTAATATTTACAATGATATGTGTTGATATTGGTTTTTGTGTAATTCAATTTTCTAAGCAGAAAATTTTTTTTCAATTATGAAGAACTGTACAAAAGTGATTTTATGCTTCATAAAGGTGCCAACGTTGCAAAAATATTTAATTTATTTGAAAAGAAATTCACGAAACAAATAAAATCTCATTGAGGAAAAATAATTTTAATTAAAAAAAAAAAAAATTTTCGAAAAAAACATTTTTGCAACTTTTAAAAATAAATATACTTTTTTTTTAAACGACGTTGGCAAACTTTTTTCTATCATATTAATTTTTTTTTTAAATATTGCCAATGAGATAGCTTAACTTTATAATATAGAAATGGAGAGAAAACCTCGCAGTTAATAACCATTATCTCTTTTCTATTCAGTATCTTTGGATTTCTAGCCATTGCGTTAGACAAAAAATATTGTCTGCTCGCTTTAAAATCCACACGATACAAAACTACTATCTATATCTAGATAAAAATAAAAATAAAAAATATTTAATAAAATACATCACAAGAGATATCTTGTCTTAAAAAGAATGTTAATTTACAAAAATATTCCTAATTTTCAAATATTTACAAAAATATTATTTCATTATCAATAATTTATCATCATTCGAATTTCAGTCTGATTTCTTATATACACAACTAATAGTAGTTTTTTTTTTCTTCACGCTTCAGAATCAAGATTAAGATCAGCTTCAATATCATCCGGACTTCTGAGATCGATAACAAATCGTTTTTTTGTATTACTTTGAACATCGACAACAACTTTCTTTTGTGTTGACGATTTAATATGCTGTGAATAAATTTGAAAAGCCGAAGCCAATGCATAAGTCAATTGTCTTGCATGATGTTTTGATTCACAAACAAATCCATGACACTCGAAGGGCGAGAGACGACGGAAATTGTCGGTTTCCCTAACGATAATCATGGAAAAAACTCTTGTATAAACGAGATCTTGAACTCCATAGGAAATTGTCTCAATCGGATAGACCTTGGAGATTCCAGCGTCAAGTTTTTTCTTACCTCCCAATGGCAAGAGGGCAACGCCCTCCTTTGAAACAACGAGTTTAATAAACGGAAGAATTGTACCAGCCGGTAATGATTTTGCAGCTGCCACCATATTATCGACTGGTTTACGTGTGTGCTTTATACCCCAGAGGCCTCTGGCGTCATGTGATCCAAGATATTTCACTTGAAATACTTGCGGCAATTCACTCGATCCTTCAAAGACATTATTGTTGATTGTCAATTTTGAAAGTTTCGTGGAAATATCCTTTTTCTTGTCATCAACTCTCGAGCTTGGGGGATTGTCCTTTTTCATCTCGCCGGTGACGGAATTCTGAAAATATTTTAGATTAATTAACATTACTAAAGGGAGAATGAATTATTGAAGGAAAATAATTTAAACTGGTTAATTGGAGGATTCACTGATTTTCCTTTAATCATTTATTAATTTACTAATTTAATTTTTCTTCATATTGATGATTTCTTTGGAATAAAATAACAGAATAGAACCAAATAGAAATATTCCCTTACGCGGCTATCTCGTAATTTCTACATTCACACCGAATTCTGTTTCCTATTCAAGAGATATTCCGTAAGATTTCTGCCGAAAACGAAAGGAGAAGATTCTCGGAATTTCATTCGCCGTGAAAATCGCGACGGAAATTTCACGGGAAAATAAGAGCTTCCTTAAGATTTCGAATTCCCAAATTAATTTCCGATGGAATTTCGTAAGATTTCCGACTAAAACAGAAGGGAATTCTCACGATTCCGTTGGAATTCCTTTACTTTTGATGGAATTAATAGAAAATTATAGGAATTTGACGGAAATAGAAAGGTTTTCTAAAGCCTTCATCAAAATTTCTATAACAATTTCCGGCAGTATTTCGTTATCTTTTCTATAAGAATTCCGTAGGATTTCCGCCGAAACTTGCGTCGATTTCATTCGAATTATTTTTAAATTAAAAATCCAATGGAAATTATTATTTGCATTTAACGAAAACAGAACGGTTCTCCTAAAGATTTAATCGGAATTCTAATAATAATTTCCATCGAAATCTTTCCAAGTGGGGGAGAATTAAATCCACAAATAATAATTTCAAGAAAAGAGAGAGGAAATTAAAAAATCTAACCAAGAAAAGCTGTACATATATAAAGAATGTAATGAAAAAAATAAGGGGAGAAGATGAAGGAGATAAATGCAAGGAATAGTTTTGCACGCCACAATAGTATAGAGGGGAATTTTCCACCTGACACGAAATTTAAATTAAGATCTCAATCGTTATTAATTACGGACATATACATAAGAAAAAAACAAGGAATTCTTCATAAAAAAACAAAATAAAGTGTTTAGCCATTTAAAGGAATCATTTAAAACTTTCACTATCTCTATGGCGGAAATGAATTATAATTATGAATTCAATAATTCTCGTTCTCTTAAGATATACAACAACTTCCGAATAAAAATTAAATCAAATTATATATCTAAACGAAAGCAAACAATTCAACGTTAGAAATAATAAATTTAAATAATTTTAAATTTATTTAATCTAAGATTTAATTAATACAAAAAATAGAAGAATCTTTTAATTTCAATACGCAATTACCTACTGTGAAAATAGTTATTTTCATCAGAAGGAGAATTCAAAAAATTGAAATTGTTATGTTATAAATAGTAATTAAAATTAAAAATTATAATAGAAGGAAAGGGAAATTGAAGGGAATTGTTAATTTAAATAATTCTCATTCGATAGAAATAATATTCGTGCAAAATTTCATCCAAGCTAGATCAAAATTAACACAAAGTATTATTTATTATTTGATTAGTAATTTAATTTTTTTTAATAAAAAAAAAAATGATGGAATCACGTCAGATTTGCAAGGTGTTATAAATATTTACAAACTTACATGTTGGCTGTCTACTGTGTCCTTCAGGCACTGTGGCTTCACTTTCAAATGATACTCAACCACGTTTGGTATGTTCGGCGTGTCACGAGCAACTGAGGTCTTCGTGTGTTGCCGCTTCGCGAGTAAATCGCTTCCGGTTTCCGGTGAATAAGTCGTGCCTCCCTTCACCACGCCTTTCGTCGGTGCCAGAATGAATCCGCTGCTCGTTGGGTTGGGGGTGTTTTTCAAAGCTGTTGTTGCCTCCTTAGTATTTTGCGCTCTTCGGTTCTCCAATTCCCCCACCACATCATCCTTCGTCGTCATTCCTTTTGTAACCGTCGATCGTGACGTCAACACCTTGCGCAGGACCATATCATCACGTCTTGTAAATCCAAAGCCATCGTCCTCTTCCATTATTTTCTACAGTCAGAGGGAAATTTTTTTTTTTTTTATTTAGACTTCATGGAATAACATTCCAATTGGGAAACATTTTTTATTTTCTTTTTGTATAAAATTGTTAGAGTTTTCAATAATTTTGATTGGAATATTTTCAAATTCTCTATATGTGGAAAGCCAATCAAAATTAGTGAAATTACTAATAAATTCAAATTATACAAAAGTGATTTGTAAAAGTGCCTTAAATTATCGTGGATGAACGAATAATTATGTATGTTTCCAACCCTGGTGTGAGGGGAATCAAAAGTTTACACTCAAAAATGATTTGTAAATTTGCCTTAAATTATCGTAGACGGACGAATAATTATGTTTCCAAATCTGGTGGGAGGGGAATCAGAAGTTTCACATACATATAACAGACGTTTCATATTTTAGGAGATTAACTATAGCATTTGTCAAAAGGTTTACGACATATTTCAGTTCTCCACAAAATTTTAACTCAATCTATCAAATATTTTGCGAGAAAACCTACGGAGAATATTTACATGAAAAATCACAACAAAAACATAACCTTAAATAAATATTTCAGTCTCAAAGTAATTAATTGGTCATCCCACACCCTAACTATATTTTTATTAAAATTATTTTAATAATATACTAATATTTAAAAAAAAATTTATTAGATTTAAAATATTTATAATTTGTAAAATAATAATAATTTTTAGAAAATAAAATAAGTTGGATAATTTTTTTTTAAATAAAAGAATTGGATAATTCACAAATAATTTTTTTTAAGGCAATATTTGTATGAAATTGCAAATTTCTTTTTTGCTACAGACAGATAGAGATTTCCTGCACAATTATCGTCTACCGGATCAAGTCACGAAATTTCGTTAAGTCGTAACGACTCCTTTTAAATTTAATCCGGAAACCAGCTGTTGAGTAGCACGTGCTGCACCTTGCAATCGGTATTGTGCGGCGAACCGTTTTTATTTTTTTTTCGTCTTAATACCAACAGCTAATATATCTATATCTATGTTTTTGTGTTTATTATTGATGACACTATAATAAATAATTAAATATTACACTTAAGTATTTTTATTATTAATAAAAAATGTTTTTTTTAATTACTGACTTAAAATTTTTTTAAATTAATTTTATTTTTTTATGATTATTAATTTCTATTTATTTAAAAAATAAAAAAAGTATTATTTTAATAATATTTATTAAATATTATTGTAAATTTATATATAAAAAAAGTGGGAAATATTTTTTTTTGATAGATCAGAAATAAAATTTTAATCTTTTTTCTTGAAAAAATAACGTTTATTCAGATAAATAAACGCGCAAGGATGAAAATGAGGTATTAAAATATTCAAAGAAGGGCAGGAAACGAATCAGGTGACTCTGTAAGGTAGAATTCGTTATAATATATTCACCACACAGGTGTGTCGTTTCACTGAGTTTCACACGCACTTTACATTTTCCCTAATGTCTATTTATAACTAAATCAAAAACACTACTTAATGAATTATTAAAGCAATGTTCGTTAATAATTTCCCACAACTTTTACTAAACTGTATAGTGACAAATATTTATATGTTTCCCATGTACTATAAAGAATTATTAAAAAATATTAAATTTTTTCTATATTGTAAAAAAATAATTCTTAATATTTTTTATAATTTAAAACTTTTAAAAATTAATTTTTAATTAATTTAATTTATTTAAATAAATTTTTAAGAAAATAATTTTTTTTTAATTTTTTGATAAATGTTTTAAAAAAATTTAATTTTGAGTTGTTCCAATCTAGACGATGAGTCTTCCATAAATAAATTATTTTTTATATTTTATTATTTTGTTTTGCCTTAGATCTTATATTATAAAAAAATTAAGAAAACATAGAATTGAATACCTAATTGTTTAAATGAAAAATTGAGGTGTTTTTTCAAGGTTTGTTTTATATTAATGATGAATAATAAATAATAATTAAAATAAATTTTTTTATGCGTTTTGAATTTTTTTTTTAGATTAAAAAACATTTTTTTGCATTATTTTAATTTTGCGTTAGATCGTTAATTATATATTTAAGTACTCGCAAAAAAATTATTTATAGAATTTGATAATAATTGTGTAAAATTAAATAAATAATGAAATATGAACATTTGGAAAATAAATTAAATAAACTTTATATTTGGTTGAATTTTAAAATAGAAAAAAAAATTCCTTCGGTAAAGATGAAAGTTCAATGTCTCATTATAAAATCGTCATTTACTAGACTACACCCGGTATATATAAATTGTAGTCTTACACCTGTCGTAAGGTTATACCCGCCTACAATACACCAGAACAAACGTTTGAATTTAATGACGACGCGCTTTCAAGAATAGTTCGAGGAATAATAGTTCAAATGAGATTTACATGAAAATGTAAAAAAAAAAATTATTCATATGTAAAAAAAATATTAATTTTTTAATTATTACCTTTCTTAAAACTAAATTATAAAAAAGTATGCATAAAATAATAAATAAATAATAAATATTAATACATAAAGTTAAAAAAAAATTTATTTGTTTCAAAAAAAATTTTATTTGTTTCAAAAAAAAAATTTATTTGGGAAACGAAATATAATTTTCAAAGAAAAATTTTATTTAAATCAATTAAGTATGGTTCTTTATAGGTCTAACAAATATATTTTTATTGAATTCTTAATTATTTTTAGTTCAAGTCCAAAAAGTTATCTCAGTTTAGAGACGAAAAAATTTTTTTTCTTTTAAAAAATTAAAAATAAAATACTAATAAATTGAGAAGAAAATATATTTGACGTTTGACTTTATATGCAAAAGCGCAATTAATTTCAAATCGAACCATCTGCAAAGCGGCTATAGGCAATGATGCAATTGGTTATTACGGTCTTGAAAGATTTCCGTTAGGCGAGCATCTTCTGTGTCTCTTGAAGGACAAGAAAATTGCTTCAAACAGTCGTGCAAAAACTATCCAGTCCCCTTTCAAAAAAAAAAAAAAAAAAAAAATTATAATAATAAAATTAAATAAAAAAAAATATATTTATCCTTTATATCTATTTACAGGAAGCTGATTCTCCCTTACAATTATTATTAGTGAGGTGAATAAAAAAATCATTGAAATGGAAATAAATATATGAGTAAAGAAGAGTGCGACTGTTTATATACTAAATTAGCTATAAAGTTTAAAAAAAGGCGTGTTTCCCGCCAAAAAAAAAAATAAACAATCGGCTCGTGCTCAGAGACCGTGAGTTGCTTTTACCATTGTCCAACAATTTAAATTATACTTGTGTATATAAACACGCGAAGCGTATGATTCCCTTTTTATTTCGAGTGCACGGAACAATTACGGAATACCGGAAGTAGCATATATATATATATAGTAAAGAACGGAAACCGGTATGTGCCAGTGTCACGGGAGTGGGGGTCTAACGATGCGTGGACATCCGTCATTTAAGAAGATACGGATGATGGATTGAGAAAAAAAAACGATCGTCCTTTAACTATATATATATTTCATAGAAATCATAGCTTTATCGCTTTTTATCTTTATTCCTACCTTTAGTCATAGAGTAAACAATTGCATATCTAATTTTATCTTAAAATGTATATTTTAAGCAAATAAATCAAAAAAATAAATTTTATCATTGTAAAATATTTTTTTTTTATCATTTCTGTGATTTTCTTTAATCGTTTTCGAGTGGAACAGTTAAAATTATTACTCGATTCGAATTTTTAAATATATTTTTGCCATGCGTTATTTTATTTAAAGCCTAAGACCCTAGACATTACAATTGGGGTACAAAAGTACCCCAGAGAAAATTCGTACTAGGGCCCTGTCTTTGTAAGCTTAACTGTCATGGCAGCACCTTAATCTTAATTCAGTTTAGTTATTGAACTATAAATTTTGACGTTATAGAAAATTATTTACTTTTATAATTGTTTATATTACACGAAAGTGTAAACATAATTTTTACTGAATTATAGATTTATTTCTAATTATAAACTATAATAATAGAAAATTATCATACAAGTACATACAATTTATGATACTGTCGGTATAGTAGATATCTCAATTAGGCGCGAAATTTAAAACAAAAAATGAAAATTTTCCTAATTATAAGTTTTTGTTAAATAAAAATCGATTATATAAAAAATAGTGAATGTAAAAAATTCACTTAAAATAATTTCAATTAAATAGAAAAATTCTGTTAAAAATTAAGGGATAAATAAAAATTCTACTGTATTAGAAAATTTTAGTTAAAAAAAAATTCGGCCATGTAGAAAATTCAGTTAAAAGGGTGATAAATAAATATTCTACCAAATTAGAAAAAATTATTTAAAAAAAAATAGAAATTATATATAATAAAAATAACTCCGAAATTGGAAAATTGTTTTATATAAAGATAAATAAAAATTTTCATATTAAATAAAAATTTCATTGTATTAAAATCCCCTTAAATTGAAATTTTAAAAATAATTCTTCAAAATGAAAATAAAAAAAATTAAAATTCTGCTAAATAGAAATTTGATTACTATTCGAAATTTGAATTTTAAAATTAAAAAAATGACATTACCTTGAAAACTTTTTCACTTTTGGATAAAACTTATTTTTCTCTTTTTTTTTACACTCCAATTGATAATTTTAAATTGATTTCTTTTTTTTTTGCAAGAAAATAAAATATGCAATTATTATTGGCGGTTATATGTAAATATACTTTGAAAATTTATAATGGAAGGAAGTTGAACCGCACCGGATCTTACTCTCGATTGACTGTCGATTATTTGTAAGTCAAGCTGCTGAGATGGTTCGTGCTTCATTCTTATACAGATATATATAGATAGTGAAACAAAATAATCCCATGATCCTGAAAGTTTCTCACGGTTACTGGATTCAATGGCGATTTATTTTTGTATTTACAAAGCCATTTGACACTTTTTTTAATTTTATAATTGTAACTAATTTCCTGAGAAATCAAATCATTTTTTCATCATTTTTTCACTTTCGATTGGTACGAATAATAAAAAAATTTTTGATATTCCATTTTCAAAAATTTCTACAACCGAAAAAATGATTTTTTTGAATCAAAGAAATCGTTTTTTTGAATCAAAGATGAAATTTATTTGAATTAAAAAAAGATTTCTTTGTTTTTACAAAACAAGAATTTTGAAATAAAAATGTTTGATATTCCATTTTCAAAAAATTCTATTGAAAAATGTCATTAAAGGGTCAAAATCAGCAAAAAATTTTCTTTAAATTATTTTAAAAAATAATTTATAAACATAGATGTTGGTTGAAAATGAAGGCCAGTGCACGAGCAAGGTGTGAAAACATCACCTTTTTTTATATAAAAGTTGCCGATAAGAACTTTTATGAATCATTTCTTATCTTTTTTTTTTCATTACAAAATCGCTAATAAGAATTATAAAGGAATCTTAACCGTGAACAAACGAATAAAAAAAATCTCGATTTTGATAAGATTTCATTTTCTGAATATGTATAAATTTTTCTTTTAATTTCCATTGTAGTTTCATTTTTGATTAATTATTAAAATTAATTTAAATTTTCTTAAAATTTAATTGAAATTATGAATATCGAAATTATTAAACATATGTTTTGGGCGGGTAAATTTATTTTGCGAAAAATATTTTCTTTTCAATTTTCATTATTGATAAATTCAAATTTTAATTAAATATAATATTAATTTTAGTATAAATATTATTAAATTATGTAATTATATATAATAAATTAATTCAAAATTTATTATATAATTATATTATATTAATAAAAATAATAAATTAAATTTTTTAAATTTACAGAGTAGCTTCAATTCAAATTTAATAATTATTATTTAATTTCAATATTCTAAACAATATAAATTATTTAGTTGATTAAATTTACTAATTCGTAAATTGCAATTACCTAAATAATTTACTATTTTAATAGTTTCGTAATAATATTTAATAAAATATTGAAATTATTACCAAACTCATATATAGTAAAATTTAAGATACCTTTGAAAATTTTACAGGTACATTTATTTGATTTCCGGTAACATTGTGAGGAACCTTACAAAATTTTTCTTTCAGCCAAATTTGCAGTTGGAATATAGCACTATAATTTAAAATATTAAGAACGCAAATTTTACGTGAATCGGAAAATCGCAACGACGGAAGATCTTCCGTTTTAACCGGTGCAGGAATGTGCCTTGCAGTGCCAACACATAAACGAAATGTGGGGCATGAGCGGCTCTCGAGCACCAACTGATAAATCCAATGTGAGTAACTCTACTATGTATTATTTGTCCCGTCAGTATGTACAAACGCATGTGTATGCATATGTATCTAACTAAATACATTTAAATGAAAACTTATAGTATACTCACACAGGTGTGCATATATGTAATACGTCACACGCTCCCATGATTCCATTCACGTAAAAATTAATTGGAAAGTTTAATTTACTTTTTCCATAAAATTATGAAATAAATTAATTTTTAATAAAAAATTATTCTATACAAATAGAAAATAATTTGATTTTCGAAATCGTTGATATTTGGTATCAGATTCTGATTATATGAATTAACAATAGGATCTGTTATTTGTTTTTTTAATGTGTCGTCAAATTCGAATTTAGATGGTTGCCGTTTCCATAAAGAAATTTTCTGATTGGTCAAGTCTATTATTTTATGTCATGCGACTCAACCCTGCTTAGTAGCGGTATAACCTATGCTTTGGCTGTCAATTGTACAAATATAGCCTAAGATTAATATATTTATTATGAAATTATATAATAATTTTATTTAAACAGTTTGTAAAAGATTATCTAGTTATTTTCTTAAGTATTTATTTTTTAAGTAAGGTAAATAATTGAATCACAGTTGATATTAATAATTTCGTAGAATATTATTATGTGAATTTTGGTAATCCAACCTACATAAATAAATATAGATTAACATTTAATAAATAATTTAATTTAACATTAACTAATTATTTTGAATCTCCTAAATTATAAGGCTGCAAATATACGCGGGTTGGTTGCCATTGTCCCCACTTGTCATTTGTCATAATTTTCGCCAACTACCGCATCCTGCTCTAGTGGAAATTTAGTGACGGTAGTTGACAAGAATTATGACATGAATAGTGGGGACAATGCAACCTACCATTCGATGTCCTTCTGGTTTGACGGAATTTTGTGAAAAGTGGTGATACTTCTATGATAATTTTATTACTTCGTGGCGCATAGTGTAGAAACATTATGGTTAGGGTTTTCCAAAAAAACTCTTTTATATTAATGATGAATAACAAATAAACAATATAATTATGATATAAAACATTGAAGAATTGTTGAAAAAGGTGAAATTTCAAAAAGCTTGTTTTATATTAATAATAAATCATAAAATAACATTAAAGAAAAACAATTTAGTAGTGCAAATCCAAATGCTTGATACAAATTATGATTATATTTCACGTTAATTACTATAAATTTTGTATTTATTATTTATTAATTTGATGTTTTTTCAAAATAAATTACCATAAAAATAATACAAAACAACGCTATCGAAAGATAGCAACTTAAAAAAAATTAACATAAATTCGGTTTTATATTCTTTACTTTCCTTTGAATCGAATTTTCATTTTATTCATATATATACATTTTTTGTAGTTAATTTTATATTAATGATTAAAAATAAATAATAATTACAAAGATGAAAGTTAAATGTATTCGAAAATACAATTTTTTTATTCAATTTAACATTTCTACTAGAATTATATAAAGTTAATGAATTTAAAAAAAAATAAAGTCGAAGGAATCGGGAATACTAAAAATTGAAAATTTTATCTCAGTTTCTTGGGAATTAAAATGATTCAAATATAAGCATATAGAATATAAACAGTGCGATGATATAGAATACATAGATGAATTAAACAATTAATAATAACTTACAATAATTAATAATGCTTAATAATTAATAATAATAACTAATAATACATAGTAATTAATAAATCAAATAATTAAGAAAATAAAAATGGAAAATGAGAAACAAAGAAAAGTAAAGGGAAAATGGGTAAAAAATATAAGAATCTAAGGGTAAAATATAAATTTTAATAAATACAATATGCGGACTATAATCGATATTGTTAAAATAGTTATATTAAGATCAAAGTAACTTTTTCTATTATATCCAATAGTATAATTATAATCGGTGATAGTTACAAACGACAGTAGTTTACAATTGATTGCTAATATCGATATAGTATAACATATACTTTCTTCTTCTCCCTGATCACTTTTATAATTACTGTGCGAGGGGAAAAAGTGAAACGCAATTTATATGCTGACGCTCTAGAAACACGATAAAACATGTAGCATATATATATATATGCAAAAACAAATAAAATGTACCATGTACAGCCTTATTACGTACAATGAGAACACTCAGGTGCTCATTCTGAATAGAAAAACTAACAGACGTGTTATCTACTTGAAATCTATTTTACACCTGCGGCTGTTTTTTGTGCCATTTAGAAAAACACTATAACACATATTTTAAATAAATATACCTGCTACCTATATATATTAGTTTATTATTATTTATTTTAGATAACTTACAAATCTTATAATGAATGTACCACTTACGGTCCATCTCAGACTAAACACTCACATAAAAGCAAAAAATTTTTACACTTTTTTGTAAAAAGTATACACTGGAGTCTCCCAAGAGAGGACTTCTGAAGAGAGGACTAAGTAGTGACGCGGCGCGGTAAGGAGTGAGGGGGGAAGAGATGGGCGGAATCAGAAAGAGGAACGTGAACTCAGGAGCGTTTGTTTTTAGTGTACCTTTCTCGCGTAGTGTTTTACATACGTAACAGAATGTATTCTGTTAAAAAAAACACATCTCTGTGATACGATATACGGCCCTGGAGTGTTTACAATTTTCGGCGTCAAGGACGAATTCCGTAGAGAGGTCCAAGACTCTTTCTGTCCTCTCTTCGGAGACTCTAGTGTAATTGATAATTTTTTTTTACGCCAAATAATTTAATTAAAATTTTAAATATATAAAAATTGAATTAATATGTAATTAAAGTTTTTTTTTTATTAATTTTATTTAAATTGTTTCACGTTTATGATTTATAAAATATGTGGTCGGAAATTAAGAAAATCATGATTTGAGCTGTCCGAGTTTTGGACCAGCTAATTACGTTAGTAAAAGAAATCTTTGGAAAAGTATGCTTAAACCAAAAATTTCAAACATAGTACATACGTGCCACGAAACATATATATATATGAAAATCTGATGAAAGAATAATTCCCAGGTTAAAAAAAAATAAATATTAATTATTTTCAACATTTGTTATATAGAAAGTAAAATGAATTTTCCATCATTAATGCTCATCATAATGAATGAATGTAAAGTAGTGTATGTCATTGTATTATTTCTCGCACGTTACAGAAGAACAACATAATTGCAACTATGGAAACAGTGTATATACAAGAAAAAATTATAGTATTAATTCTTATGCCTATATAGATACACTTCATACCTATTTCGTTCTCTTATATTTTACTTCGTGTGAGAATTACATATTAGGTAATGATGAGATGGGATTTTTTTCGACGTTTGCTCTATTATTAACCTTCACGAGATGGGAAAAGATTTTCGAAAAATTAAATATATTGAAGAATTCAGAAACAACCGAAAAATCAAATTTAAATTCAGACCAAATCTTATCTTCTACATAATTCTGTAGATGGTAAAAATTCTATCATGGGGCTCAGGAAATTAACGCAATATTTCCGTTTGGATTCCATTGTATTGTCCGCAGGGTAGATTCTGTTGGATATTCCACAGAACTCGGGAGGATTTGTAAGCACTTGGTTCAAATTATTTTTGCCAGCGAAATAAACCAAGAAGGTATGGTTTTAGATTGAACGCCAAGTCTGGATAACCCAGATTGGGATCAGCGTTAATGCCATCATCAGTTCAAAATTCGATATCAATGCTCATCCCAAGCACATTTTATGCTTGGTAGATTGATCCCATTGTCGCTTCTCACCTGGGGTTGCTTATAAATTTAATATAGAATTTAGCTAAACCACTGTTAATTTTAGTGAAATCTCATGAGGTAATACCGTAATTTAATTTTTAAAATTAGCAAAAAGATCTTCACAATCGGATTGTCGAGAGAAGATTCCAGAGATGAAGAGGAATTATATCAGCAGAAACTTTTACCGGAACTTGGAGGGAATTTACCCTGGAATATTCAGGAATTCTTCAAAATTTCAGTAGAAGCTTCTATCACTAATCTTCCCGGATAAGTACTCCAAAACTTTAAGGAAGATATCGTGATATTTGGAACCTAAATTTCTAAAACAGGAAACTAGGAATTCTTATGAGATTATGAATGATGGATTTGATTTGATTGTTAAATTGACAATTCTATTTATTTTTTTTTTAAAGTAAGTAACAACCTAATCAGAAAATTCGAATTACTGACAATTTAAAAAATCACCTAATAATCAAAATCATAAAAGAAAAATTAATGCGTTTCCCCAACAGAAATAATACCATATTTCGTCCAGTTTGTGAATGAATAATTTAATACCAGAAAAACTAAAGGTATTACGAGTGTTTTCACGGTAAGAGCACCCGATTGCACAACTGATTTTGCTCCTCACGAACACCTATAGAAGAACCCCAGAGAGAATAGAGCCGCCAGGCACATTGCATTGTGTGGGAGCCCCAAGAAAGAGGGGCTCTCAAGAACCCCTTCTCCTTATTCTCATCTTCATCGAGACATATATACCACCAACTTGGTATCATCTTCCAACAAACACTTCGTACCAGTGAATCATCTTTGATCGGTCAATTTCTTTTTGCACAAAAAAATAAAAATAAATAAATAAAAACATTTCTAAAATTTAATAATAAACAAGTGTCATGTTTCATTTTATCTTTTCATTTAATTAATAATGAATAAATGCATTACACGTGGCGTAATTGTGTATTAAGGTGAATTCAATTTATTCAAATAAGGTGCGTGATTTAAAAAAAAAAAATTATCAGATTTATGGCATAGTTCAGAAATTTGTTTTCTGTTCATATAAAATAATTGGATCTTTTTCATTATAGATATTTAATTCAAAGTCATTGCAATTTTTTTTTGGAATATTTTGATACTTTTAGAATATCATTTTTGGAATAAAAATTATTATGGGAAATTATTATTATTATTATTTTGGAAATTAGTTTCTTTTTTCTACATTTAATTTTTCGCTTTTTGATTTTGAAACACCTTTTTTGAACGAAAAAAACAGTAATCGCTTTTATTTTTAAAAACATTTTTTTAGTATATTTCAATGAAGCAGAATTTTCTGAAAATAGGTTTGCAACGATTTGGGATAAAATATAATGAAATGACCTAATATTAATTTTTTTTATAAGCAGTCTCCTTCCCTCACTGTCGTCTTGCAAAAAAAAATTGGAATTTGTAATTTTTAAATATTCAAAAATTTTTTATATTATACATTTAAATAAATTACGAAATATTTTTTATTTTTGGAGCGTTCGATTTCACCTAGAACGAAAAATTATCTTTTTGTAATTGTTATTTTTAATACTATATTACAAAAAAATGTTAAAAATCGTATAAAAATTAATTTTACACCAAATTTGTATTTAAAAATTAAATTTTTTAGTACCATAAATCTTGATACACAAAAGTAAATATAAAAAAATTCATTTTTTGACATTTAAAAATTGTATTTGTTAATAAAATTCAATAAAAAAATTTATTTTGAAAATATATCAATTTTGATCTATATTTTTTTCACAAAACGACATTAGAGTGATAAAGGGATAAATATTGTTGTTTATTTAATTTTTTTATATAAATTTTTTTAATTAAATTAAATTCTGTAATTTCTGAACATTTTTTAACAATATTATCGAAAAGAAGTTTGCGACAGAATTATTCAAAAGAGTTCCAACGATTTCAGATGATTTCTCGATATCAGTTAATCTGCGCCCTTATACTATTTGGATTAATGGTAATCTACCAAACAATGGCGGTAAGAAATACATTTTTTAATATTAATACTTCACTCGTCATATTACTAAACAAAATCTGTACCAATTTTAGATTTTGATTTTTAAATAAATTTTAAATATTATTATTTATTTATTTGTTATTATTTTTAAATTTTTTGTAGCATTTTTTCATAAAAAAATCGAAACTGATAGCAGACTGTAATTGGTAAAATTGAATTCGATTTTCAAAATCCAAAATGGCGGATCAAATATGGCGAAGTAAATTTTCAAAAATTGATCTGGACACTAATATTTATCGAAAATTTTAAGAGTCGCCATCAATAATCAAAAATTAAAAAAAATAAATTTATTAATAGAAACAGAAAATTATAAAAAAAAACTTTTTATTGATAAAACGAATATTTTTTGTAATTGAACCTCAATGACTCTGAAAATAAATAATAACGAATAACAAAATTTCGAAATTTAACTTCCGCAAAATTCGCCAATTACATTTGAACTGCCATTTAAAATTTTTTAAATCTGATTTTTTTCAAAATAAATTTTTTGATCCAATAGAAGAAAAACGCTTTATAAAAAAAATTATTACAATTAAAAATACGTTTTAATTAATTTTATTTATGCCCTATATTACAAATGTAAATTCTTAAAATTCTATCCCATTTATATTTTTAAAAATTTTATTAATTTTATTTAACATTTTTAACAATTATTTAATTATGAGACTGTCTAATTAGAAATTAGATAAAACAATGCTTCAAAGTGTCTTGTCTCATTGAAAGTGAACTGGGATAAAAATTATGCAAGGCAGAAAGATGTAACACCTTACGTGGGTTCTTTGCGTGCTATGATATTTTGATAAGTTTTGAGACAATTGTTGACTTACGAAATATCTTTACTTTGTGAAATTGATGATTATTATTATTTTATTATTTTTATTTTATTATTTTGGTGCGTGAACGCAGACTGAATTCTCACATATTATCGCATAATGTATATATATATATGTATATAGTATATAATGACACAAAGACAAGTGAGCTGCATCTCCCACACATCATTATCTTAGTTCCAGTAGGACATTAAGTAATTAATTAACTTTCTCGCGTGTGTCTAGAAATCATTGCAGGGAATTTTGTGAAACGATTAACGATAAAATTATTTGTAAAGCATAAATGGAGGTCTTAGTTCACATGCCTTCTAATAATTTTTTGTAGAAATTTTAATTTTTCGTAATGAATTTAATGGAAGACTAATTTTTAAAATCTAATATCAGATTTAGACCCTAAAAACATCCAAGTAACTCAATTAAATTAATCTCCTTTTAACGATTAAATTAATTTTGAATAAATATAAAATTCGAAAATAATATTTAAAATTCAAATTAAAGCAATAATTATAATTTCAGAAATGAGAAATTGAAAATTATAACAAAATTAATTACCCAATAGAAATAAAATTTTAAAAAATAAAATTCTCATAATCTTTCTCTGGTTTATCATGGGGACTTATGGTCATACTATTCTCTACATAAAAAATAGTTTGGGCTTCTACTGCAGTTTGCAAACTTATGATCGACTTCACTGTATTTGAAGCACGCAGTTGATCTGTCCGTTGCCCTACAAACTATTACTGTGTGGCTGTATTAGTGGCACCGAACGACCATCACCTTTCTTTTTATTGGGGAACACCTAAAACCAATCTTTATGCATCCCAATTTCTCCAGCCTGTCCGCCTCCTCTGGGTAGGTGACTACAACTGCGAGATTCATTCCTCAACGGTTGGATTCTAGGACTGTCACTTTCCTGACTTCTGGAGCACCTTTACCAATTCCTGTTGGATCTTTTCTTCCTGGGTAAGGCAATACAGGTCGCAGATCTCCAGTGTAACCTGTCGATCCAGGTCTGCACCTTCCTAATGCTTCCAACTGCTTTGGTGACCTCAGCAGTGAATGCCTCCTTATTGGAGTTTCCTCCGATTTTGATCAGGAGATCTCCCTTGCTTGTATCCTTGCACCCATGGCCTGCGTGTATCTGATGTTCGGATTCACTTCCCTCCGAAGTTTGGTCAGTACCTCGGCATACGTTATTCCTGTTGCGACTCGGATCACCATTGTAGATCCAATCGTCGCTTTCTTTTTACTAGTTTGCTTAGGATTCGGTGCCTACAACTGCCAGATTCATTCCTCAACGGTTGGGTCCTAGGATCATAACTTTCCTGCTTCCTGACTTCTGGAGCACTTTTACTAATTCCTGTTGGATCTTTTCTTCCTGGGTAAGGCAATCCAGGTCGCGGATCTCCAGTGTAACCTATCGATCCACGGTCTGAACCTTCCCAATGCTTCCAACCACTTTAATGACATCAGTGGTAAATGCCTCCTTATTGGAGTCTCCTACTATTTTGATCAGGAAATCTCCCTTTCTTGTAGGCCTTGTTGCCTTTCTACCACCTTAGTAGCCTCCATAGTGAAACCCTTCTTGTTGTAGTCGCCTTTGAATTTAATCAGAAGATCTATTTTTTGGTAGGTCTTGCTTCTACCACTCTTGTGTCCGGTTTTATCTCACTGCGAAGTTTGCTCAGAGCGTCGGCATACGTCTTTCCTTTGGTGACTCTGATCATCATCGTTGTTCCTTTCCTGATGCTCCATCTTTTGACTTACGTAGCACTCTAGTGGCTTTGGTTTTTCTTCAGTCACCTTTTCGACGCTTTTGGATTACCGCTCCTCCTTGCACGTTTCCTAGCTCTGATCTGAACGTCCAAAGACTTGATCACCTTCTAGACTTCTTCTTTGATCCTACTTAGCATTTCTGCTGTCTCCTCCAGTTTCATCTGGAAATATCATTATTCGAAAATTAATTTCATTTCCATCAATTCCTAAATATATTAAGAAATTACTTAAAAGTAATTTCTTGATATATTCAGGAATTGATCTACTCCAGAACAAAATTAGAAAATAGTTTGCATTTTTTCAAATTACAATTGACCCTTTACAAAATGTTTCGACAAAGAAAAAAAAGGATGTTACTGAATAAAAGCCCAAACAATTAAATTCGTCGAGTGTGAAGGTTACAGAATCCTATCACGCAATGGGCGCAGGACTTGCGTTTGTTTTCTCTCCATCAGAGCAATGACCGTGAACACTGATTGAAATCATAATAAACGCCTCCAAATTGCATTTTTTTTTCTTTTCTCTTTGGAAAACACCTTTCTGATATAATAAAGAGATTATATCAAACAAATGTTTCTTCATTCTTTTGTCATTTTATTCTTTTTAAATTTATATAAATAAATATAATGAATAATAAACATAATATATCCACTTTGAAAAAAAATGTAAAAGAAATTATTTTTAACGCAAAAAAGTTGTTTCATCAAAAAAGTTGTTTATCCTAAAATAATTTTTTTCAATTCATTTATTATTTTTAAAATTTGATTATTTATTTATATTTTAATTTTATTTTGTAAGAAAATTATTTTAAAGAAATTTTTTTATATGCGCAATGTTTTGTTTTTGCGGAGATTAAATAAGAAGTTTGAGATGTACATCAGTTGAATGAAACAATGTACTCGATTTCCGGTCAATCTTCTGCTTGAACTTTAAAAGCAGTGATGACGAAACTTTTTCTCTGTTTCGACTACTATACGTTTTGCTCATTATTGCGAAAAAAGGAACAACGAAACACGGAAATCTTCTTCTCATAAGTCAAATTCACCACATGATCCACTTTTATTCTTTTCCTCATCTTACAAAATTTCAAGAGGAGTTAAATAATATGTTCTTAGATAATAATTAAACGTTTTTCTAATATTTGTTTATTTCATCATTCTTATTGGGTATAAATTTTTCATAATAATTTTTCATTATTTTATTATTTAATTTAAAAAAATTTAATAATTTATTTACAATAATAAAGAAGGAGTTTACAAAAATTAAACTTCCCTTTCGTACAAAATAGCACTATTTTACGGGAAAAAAAATTAAAATAACTATTTATGCGTTTGGAGATAATTTCTGTGATGATAGTAATAATGGTTTTAATAATTTTGTAAAAAAAATTTTTTTTCAACTTTTCCTTTATGCACAAAACTAATGGGAATTTAATAAATATTTTCAGCAAGTAGACGGTTATACGCCTGGGGTAGACTATCCAATATACGACTCTGTACCATTTGGATTGACTTTTACCTGCAGAGACAAATTACCTGGTTATTACGCCGATCCAGAAGCCAGATGTCAGGTTAATCTTATTTTCATTGTTTTTATTTCTTTATCTCATTCTGTAAATTATTTTATATTAATTAAATGATCAGCGTCTTTATAGTTGTTTATAGAACTACTGAATTTAATATTACCAATTAATTATATTATAAATTTGAAGTTATCAATAACTATTTTATTATTTATATTTTTAATATTTTTTATCAAATTCAAAATGGCAAATCCAATATGGCGGCCAATTTATAAAATTCTTTAGATTCAGTTTTGAAAACTGTATAAACATTTTGACATATAATTATTTTTAGGTTTGGGAGTAATTGTTTATTATTATTACTATTATTATTTTCACTATTATTATTATTATTGCTATTATTAATTATTTCCTTTTTTTAATAATTTGACGTTTTATCATTCAGGTGTGGCATTGGTGTGTACCCGGAGGAAGACAATTTAGTTTCCTCTGTCCAAATGGTACTGTTTTCAGTCAAACGACTCGAGTCTGTGATTGGTGGTTTAAGGTAAATTTAATTGTATATTTATTTTTAAATTAATTACAAAAAAAAAAATTGGTGTAATTTTAAAAGTTTTTCTAAACTCAGGCAATATTGTATTTTTTTAATTAATTAAAGAAAAGGAATTTATCATTCGTTAATAATTATTAAATTAAAGGGATTAATTTTTAATTAATTACTAAAATTTAATTTTGTATTGTTTTATATTTAAGGTGGACTGCAATGATTCTCCTCGATTATACAGTATCAACGAAGATTTGTATCGAGATGCACGAGGAAATTACATTTAAAAAGAAAATATATATAGAACAAAGAAGAATGCACACATTTTATTTAATTTTTTGATAAAAAAAATTTTTTCTTTTTTGATACTTTGACAAAGAGTTTGTTACCAAAAAAAGATGCTGTAAATATTAGAATAGTTTTTGTAAATGTAATTATAAAAAGCAAAAAGTTGAAATAAATAAATTAGCAAATGCTAAAATAACAAATTTTTTATTTTTACTATATGAAAGGTTTGTGTAACGTTTGTCGTGTTTAAGATAAACTGTATGCAGGTAAAAAGAATGCAATGTGGCGTACTGGGAAAACGTGGAAAAAGATAGTAATCAGGGGCTGATTTGAAGCCTTGCATGCATGTGTTTCTTATGAGAAACCTAACTTAGACCTTAATGTAGTTTTCTTTTTTACCAACATTCTCTGTGTACAAACTGATTAGTGACTCGAATAAAATTATTAATATTGCAGAATTTAAACAAACCCAAGAAATATCCTGAATTCGATTTCATTTTTATTTAATTATAATTAATTTTTCTTCCTCGTGGAGGAAGCTTTGTAGTCCTTTCGTTTATAAAACTTTTCAAAGTGGCGGAAACAAATTTTCTTCTTTATAGAAACATGTTATATGAGATCCTGATCAATTGTCCAGATGTATGTATGTGTGTGTGTATGTGTGTGTGTGGATCCCTTTTTTGTTTAGAAGATAACTTTAACAGGTTTTAAAGGATTTAGATAAAATTTAGTAGGCTCATTTATCATATTAATATCTCAAATCTGACCAAAGGATTTTGAAAAATACAATAAAAAAAAAATTTTATGGTCATTTTTCCAAAAATTTTTTTTCAATCGAAAAAATTTTTAAATAGAAAAATTTAAGGTTATATATAACAAAATCGTATTTTTTACGTCAAGACGAATCGATCGATATATATAAAGTATTTATTTGAGGTAAATTTAAAGAATTAATGAAAGTTAAAAAATCAAAAATTCACATTTTGTCAATAAAATTTTGCTATCTCCACGAGGAAGCAAATTTTATTGCTGATCGTAAAAAGGAAGCAAAATGTTCATGTAATGAACATCTGAATTTACAACTTTTTGGTAAGTTTTTTATGCTTTTGGATGCGTTTTTGGTGGTAAAAAGGGTCTTCCTCTACTCGGATCTGGGTGTCAATTTTTTTCTACACTTTTCAGTGTATTCTGTGCAAGAATATGCATTATTCCCGAGTCATTATCTGGCAAATTTTTTTTCTCGAAAATTTTTTCCCAGTTTTAGTGAGCGTAGCTCAGCATCCGGTGGACCAATCAAAAAGTGCGCCATACATTTTTTGTTCGACACTTTTTGCTCAATTTTTTGGCATTATTCCCGAGTCATTATTATTTACAAGCTACAATCAGATAAATTTTTTAAAAAATCTTAAAAAATTAAATTTGCGAGATAATTGATCGGGAATACCGCCAAAGTCTTAACCCGGGAGTCTCGAACAAAAAATGTATGGCGCACTTTTTGATTGGTCCAGTGGATGCTGAGGTACAATCAGATAAATTTTTTAAAAAATTTTGAAATATTAAATTTGCGAGATAATTAATCGGGAATACCTCCAAAGTCTTAACCCGGGAGTCTCGAACAAAAAATGTATGGCGCACTTTTTGAATGGTCCAGCGGATGCGGAGCTACAATCAGATAAATTTTTTAAAAATTTTTAAAAAATTATATTTGTGAGATAATTGGGCGGGAATATCGCCAAAGTCTTAACTCGGGAGTCTCGAACAAAAAATGTATGGCGCACTTTTTGATTGGTCCAGCGGATGCTGAGCTACACTCAGATAAATTTTTTAAAAAATTTTGAAAAATTAAATTTGCGAGATATTTGATCGGGAATACCACCAAACTCTTAACCCGGGAGTCTCGAACAAAAAATGTAGGGCGCACTTTTTGATTGGTCCAGCGGATGCTGAGCTACACTCAGATAAATTTTTTAAAAAATTTCCAAAAATTAAATTTGCGAGATAATTGATCTGGAATACCGCCAAAGTCTTAACCCAGGACTCTCGAACAAAAAATGTATGGCGCACTTTTTGATTGGTCCAGCGGATGCTGAGCTACAATCAGATAAATTTTATAAAAAATTTTAAAAAATTAAATTTGCGAGATAATTGATCGGGAATACCGCCAAAGTCTTAACCCAGGACTCACGAACAAAAAATGTATGGCGCACTTTTTTATTGGTCCAGCGGATGCTGAGGTACACTCAGATAAATTTTTTAAAAAATTTTGAAAAATTAAATTTGCGAGATAATTAATCGGGAATACCGCCAAAGTCTTAACCTGGGAGTCTCGAAGAAAAAATGTATGGCGCACTTTTTGATTGGTCCAGCGGATGCTGAGCTACACTCAGATAAATTTTTTAAAAAATTTCGAAAAATTAAATTTGCGAGATATTTGATCGGGAATACCGCCAAAGTCTTAACCCTGGAGTCTCGAACAAAAAATGTATGGCGCACATTTTGATTGGTCCAGCGGATGCTGAGCTACAATCAGATAAATATTATAAAAAATTTTAAAAAATTAAATTTGCGAGATAATTGATCGGGAATACCACCAAAGTCTTAACCCAGGACTCACGAACAAAAAATGTATGGCGCACTTTTTTATTGGTCCAGCGGATGCTGAGCTACACTCAGATAAATTTTTTAAAAAATTTCCAAAAATTAAATTTGCGAGATAATTGATCTGGAATACCGCCAAAGTCTTAACCCAGGACTCTCGAACAAAAAATGTATGGCGCACTTTTTGATTGGTCCAGCGGATGCTGAGCTACAATCAGATAAATTTTATAAAAAATTTTAAAAAATTAAATTTGCGAGATAATTGATCGGGAATACCGCCAAAGTCTTAACCCAGGACTCACGAACAAAAAATGTATGGCGCACTTTTTTATTGGTCCAGCGGATGCTGAGCTACACTCAGATAAATTTTTTAAAAAATTTTGAAAAATTAAATTTGCGAGATATTTGATCGGGAATACCACCAAACTCTTAACCCGGGAGTCTCGAACAAAAAATGTAGGGCGCACTTTTTGATTGGTCCAGCGGATGCTGAGCTACACTCAGATAAATTTTTTAAAAAATTTCCAAAAATTAAATTTGCGAGATAATTGATCTGGAATACCGCCAAAGTCTTAACCCAGGACTCTCGAACAAAAAATGTATGGCGCACTTTTTGATTGGTCCAGCGGATGCTGAGCTACAATCAGATAAATTTTATAAAAAATTTTAAAAAATTAAATTTGCGAGATAATTGATCGGGAATACCGCCAAAGTCTTAACCCAGGACTCACGAACAAAAAATGTATGGCGCACTTTTTTATTGGTCCAGCGGATGCTGAGGTACACTCAGATAAATTTTTTAAAAAATTTTGAAAAATTAAATTTGCGAGATAATTAATCGGGAATACCGCCAAAGTCTTAACCTGGGAGTCTCGAAGAAAAAATGTATGGCGCACTTTTTGATTGGTCCAGCGGATGCTGAGCTACACTCAGATAAATTTTTTAAAAAATTTCGAAAAATTAAATTTGCGAGATATTTGATCGGGAATACCGCCAAAGTCTTAACCCTGGAGTCTCGAACAAAAAATGTATGGCGCACATTTTGATTGGTCCAGCGGATGCTGAGCTACAATCAGATAAATATTATAAAAAATTTTAAAAAATTAAATTTGCGAGATAATTGATCGGGAATACCACCAAAGTCTTAACCCAGGACTCACGAACAAAAAATGTATGGCGCACTTTTTTATTGGTCCAGCGGATGCTGAGCTACCCTCAGATAAATTTTTTAAAAAATTTCGAAAAATTATATTTGCGAGATATTTGATCGGGAATACCGCTAAAGTCTTAACCTGGGAGTCTCGAAGAAAAAATGTATGGCGCACTTTTTGATTGGTCCAGCGGATGCTGAGCTACACTCAGATAAATTTTTTAAAAAATTATAAAAAATTAAATTTGCGAGATAATTGATCGGAAATACCGCCAAAGTCTTAACCCGGGAGTCTCGAACAAAAAATGTATGGCGCACTTTTTGATTGGTCCAGCGGATGCTGAGCTACACTCTGATAAATTTTTTAAAAAATTTTGAAACATTAAATTTGCGAGATAATTAATCGGGAATACCGCCAAAGTCTTAACCCGGGACTCTCGAACAAAAAATGTATGGCGCACTTTTTGATTGGTCCAGTGGATGCTGAGGTACAATCAGATAAATTTTTTAAAATTTTTTAAAAAATTTTGAAAAATTAAATTTGCCAGATAATTGATCGGAAATACCGTCAAAGTCTTAACCCGGGAGTCTCGAACAAAAAATGTATGGCGCACTTTTTGATTGGTCCAGCGGATGCGGAGCTACAAACATATAAATTTTTTTAAAAATTTAAAAAAATTAAATTAGAGAGTCAAAAAGTGCGCTATACATTTTTTGTTCGAGACTTTTTGCTCAATTTTTTGGCATTATTCCCGAGTCATTATCTGGCAAATTTTTTTTTTCGAAAATTTTTTCCCAGTTTTAGTGAGTGTAGCTCAGCATCCGCTAGACCAGTCTAAAGGTGCGCCATACATTTTTTGTTCGAGACTTTTTGCTCAATTTTTTGGCATTATTCCCGAGTCATTATCTGGCAAATTTTTTTTTTCGAAAATTTTTTCCCAGTTTTAGTGAGTGTAGCTCAGCATCCGCTGGACCAGTCAAAAGGTGCGCCATACATTTTTTGTTCGAAACTTTTTGCTCAATTTTTTGGCATTATTCCCGAGTCATTATCTGGCAAATTTTTTTTTTCGAAAATTTTTTCCCAGTTTTAGTGAGTGTAGCTCAGCATCCGCTGGACCAGTCAAAAAGTGCGCTATAAATTTTATGTTCGAGACTTTTTGCTCAATTTTTTGGCATTATTCCCGAGTCATTATTATTTACAAGCTACAATCAGATAAATTTTTTAAAAAATTTTAAAAAATTAAATTTGCGAGATAATTGATCTGGAATACCGCCAAAGTCTTAACCTAGGCCTCTCGAACAAAAAATGTATGGCGCACTTTTTTATTGGTCCAGCGGATGCTGAGCTACACTCAGATAAATTTTTTAAAAAATTTTGAATAATTAAATTTGCGACATATTTGATCGGGAATACCGCCAAAGTCTTAACCCGGGAGTCTCGAACAAAAAATG